ACTTCTTACTCGTAAAATAGGTTTCGCAGAGTTCCTAGAGTAGTTGACGTCATTTTTGAAGGAATTCCTCTAATTTAAAGCCTTTGTAATGGTAGTTGCTTTATTTGGCGTAGTATTGAGCAGACTTCTCCGTAGTAGGGGTGCTGCATACTTACTGGAGGCAATTGTGTACTTCCTTTGCAGTAGCATACTTCTTGATATAGACAGCTATGTCTGCTGTAACTGTTGCTTCTATGTAAATAATTACTTTGAGATCGAGTTTATCCCACTCTTTCTAAATACGTTTGATTGTACCGAGAAGAATATCGATATTGACCCGTACCTTTTAGTGTGAACTATTGCCTTTCCCAGTCAGAAGGAAGTTGGCTGACTTCATGGTCCACTTCTCATTATATTCCTATTATAGCTTGACAATCGCAGCGTTGACCTCATCCTGATTTGCTTCATCGGTGCTGATATCCGCAGGGCGAGTGATCGTACCAATAAATACCCCCCATAGCTCATCGTCCTAAGTACGCATATACTTCTCGATTCGCTGATACCATATTCTCCAGTTAGAGGAATCCTTTAGCTTAGGAACCAGCTCACTAATCTTCAGCGAAGAGTCAGATGACATAATAGCGATGTATGGTGATGAAAGGTAAGAGGCAAGCAAGAGATAACAAGTAAGTGAGGAAGGAGTAAAGTAAACACGTTACGCGTCGTCCGATAAACCGTGACCGGAAGTAAACAGTATCTGATCTGAACCGAATGAGGGTTGGGAATAGCTTCAAATCGTGTGATCTGGCAGCTAATGCACAAAAAGACTTATAACCTCTTCAGCAGGGAAGGGTTACTAGACCAGGATACTGCTTTGGAACGTTGGTTTAAATTGGTTGAGAGGAGAGAGAAGATCTAAACTAGCTAGGGCTGGTCATCTACAGTGGGCACCTGAGGCAAAACTTTGCAAACACAGATCATCTCATTACCTGCGGTCCAAATCAACTTCACACTAACCCTAAGTGTTCGATTGTCCCTGTTCCCCTGAAAGAATTTCCAGCAACAATCAGACTGAGTTCTCCAGGTTGCCGATCTGCTTCAATCGCGGCGGAGGAATGTACAACTTGGTTTGTGAGTTTGCTCCACAGGCTCACCCTACCCGGAGTTTATTTGCAGATAAAGGTTCTGCTCAGATATTAATTGCAGCTAGGAATTCCTCATTCGCATACATCTCATCTATTCGCATTTGTGCAACAAACACATTGACGCCGAGAACTGCGTTTTTTCCCACGGTGAACTCCGCACAACACTGGATGCTCAATCATGGCATACTTTCATGAAATCCAATCTCCGGGGGCCGTACATAAATGTCAACGTTCTCCTCGATGATATCACTCCTGTTGCTTCTCATAATGACTCCGAAGATGACGTGTTCTTTGTTTCTGACAGGGGGGATGATGACACTTGGATCAAAGTCCACAAGAAGCACTTATCTGAAGAAACACTCAACGCTTTCAACCTTCCTTGGGAATGGGATGAAAAAGTAAGTCCTCTGTACGAGGTTGTCTGAGCGAGCTTCTCTGAGCGTTCCCCTCTGAAATGATTCATGGATTAATCGGCTTTTAGGACCCTGAATTCATGGTGATCAAGACTTGGATTAATGAAGCTTTCCAGGAAATACTGTTTGAACACACTCGAAACCTTTGGCGGGACGAGCTGGATACAAACAAAAAGTCAAGTTCCAAAGAGCCTCAGGTGACCACAAAGTACAAAATAGATTCCCCAAGAAGTGAAGTCAAGGGTAGGGCTTGGCCTGCTCGGCATTGGCCTGGATGTGATACAGCAGACCCTGCTAGCGAACTGAAAAGGAGAACTGAGGGGTACAACTTCTGGTTCCCAGAGCCAACAATTCTGGAGTTCTTCGCGGCCATTGAAGAGCAGAACCAAGTATCGGATACAGACTTGCTTCGACCCCCAAGTACTTCAGAAAACCCAAGTGGAAATAAATTCCAATCCCCCGGGGTCGAAAAGGTTTTGCCTTACCTCTCTTGGCCTCTTGCGCCTCATCTTCCAACATTGTCTCGTTTACCAGGCCAGCAGACGGCAGGGCGAATCCCAGAATCAAAAAAGGATTACTATAAAAAAGCACAACAACCAACTGCCCATGCAAAAATCCTTGCAGATCACCTTCATGAGCAACTTTTGCTTTCCGGGGTGTCATGGGAAGAAGTCCCCACAAGAGCAAAAGAAGAACTGAACGATTTACTCGCAAAAGTATCATTCGAAAGAATAGAGTCCCGAACTTATGTACCCTCAGGTTCCGAACATGAAGTCTGCCGGTCTTTCTGCGAATTACTCGATCACTATCTACCGGAAGGTCTGGAATGCATCCTAAAGTCAAAAGTCCATGGGGCTCTTTATGCAATGATTCAAGTTCGCAATCTCCTTTCTCTGGCTTGTGACTCAAGTGTACTGACCTAAGAATGTGATAGGGTCCCATCTCGGGAGAACCCAGAGAGGACAGAGTCTATGCATTTCTGACTCGGATCAAAACAGATGTTTGGTCACTGCTTGACTTGTCAAATGATATCCGTGCAGGCATACGCGGTGCTTCCGATCGCCTTCCCCTTCTTCAGGGTCATGTGAACTCTTTAAAAGAAATTTGTCTTGCGGTTGCGTCGATGTATTCCCACCTAAACGTGTCTGAGTCAGCCAAGCGTCGAACAACAGTGACTGACTCCCCTGCTTCAGGGGGCTCAATGTTTGTCGACTTCAAAAAAGCTAGCTCCCAGTGTTCAAATCCAGATCAGCGAGATTCATGGGCAGAGTCACTTCCAGATGATCAAAGCTCCCACGATGGCACAAGTCCAAAGCAACCCGGTGATTCTTCATCCCTCGAAGGATACGAAAGTTCCGAACTCATGTCAATGGCACATGAAGAAGTTCGTGATCCGTCTTGTCCAAATTTTTGGAAAGGCCGCGAACGTGCTATCCCGTCCCTCAATTACGCCAGCTTGTCCGACGAACAGGAAAGTCCGGACACGATGAGCTGGCAGGGAACACAAAAGTTTTCCACATATCAGGCGTTGAGTAATATAGGTTATTCTATGCAACAGTCGAAGTATTGGATAATTTGTGTTTTATTCGACACGAACTCTCCCACACTGAAGGACTATCTTGCTTTCAACCCATTGCAGGTCCTGTCATCAATCACCGAGTACATCTCTCTCGGTTTGAATGAGTCAAAGGATGGGTCCTTGATGAGCCTCGAAGATATCTACCAAGAATATCAATCTCAATTGGTCTGTTTAATTCCATCCTTCGGGTGCTGCGTGTTGGCTAACTTCATCGACTCTAGAGGCTCAAAGTACGCGACAAACCTTCTCGCACTTTACTTGATGATCTAGATCTCTTGGAAGAGGAACTAGACAGCATAAAGATGGCGATTAGGAAGTAACAGTCCAGTGTGAAGGAATTGCTGGATTTCGCGTCGGTGAAGCAATCGGAGTCAAACCACACAAAGCGAGGACCAAATGAGGTGCTTCGTAGGACGACTCGGGGTCTGAAAGACAGAGAAGCCTTTTTTGAGGAATTGAGGTCGGGGATTGAACCTCTGAGAAGACGAGTAAGTATTCTAAGCGAGTTACTCGATCAGGTAGAACGCCACCTGACATTCTATCTGATTTTCATCCCAAAAATACATGTTAACAATTCACTCGACATCCTAAACTAACAGTAATTTTGCCAGGTTGTACGACAAGTCGACCTCCAGCAAGACACCAACAGCAAAGCGATCTTGGTGTTCACGATCGTTACCATCGTCTTCTTGCCCATGTCTTTCATCACCAGTTACCTTGGAATGAACACTAACGACGTTCGTAACATGGAACTTAATCAGTGGATATTCTGGGCAACTGCTGCCCCTTTCACGGCTGTAGTTGTCGGGGTATGTATGTTCATTGCCTACGAGGGTGACAAGGTACGAGAAGCTGTTAAAGAGGGATGGTTTAACAGCCGGAATTACTCACAAAGGACGAAATCATATCGGTAACACCCCATGGTGAAGATTGAATTTCGTTCAATACTGACTAAAAATTCCATTGCAACATCCACTGTGTATTCCTCCCAAACAAGTGATAAACCTGTTGGCCCAACAGCCAACCACTTGCGCACTACATGTGGTGGTCATGTGATCTGGTTAATAGGTCTGATCGCGTCCCTTTCACTCTCTCTTCTCTTTTTTTCGGTCCGATTTTGCCTTTACCGTCGAAAAATACTGTTTTACAGCGATGTCTTGCTCCTTCGTAGATAAGCTTGTTCTTCGGGCTCTCTTCGAGGGCTGTGCAAAGCGTTCGTTAAGATGCCCGCCGAAGGCAACCTGCGGGCGCCTATATGACTTCGTAGATTGGTTGGTCAGAATGTCTTCGACTCACGCCCGCCCCGATGATCGAAGCGCGAACAAGGGTCACGAAAACCCATGAATCATTGGACAGAATTTGGGGGACAATCGTCTGTGCTGGCATGGCTGACCTTCAGAGGCACTTTCATTTTCGCGATGAAATAGAATCTCAGGCTAAGCACCCGTGGTCCTCTCTACACCTATCACTGCCCCACCCTGGATGCGACCGCTACGAGTACAGAGGAATTTAGGATCAGGAAAGATTTACTTGGGAAGTTTCCTGTCAAGGCCGAATTTTTCCAACTCCAAGTTCCATTCAACGCAGCTCAACATGTAGGTATTCCTACCTTTCCAGGCGTACTCGTATTTTCCCCAGCTAAAACCAGCTAACGTGGTGACATCTAGGTCAAATTTGTACACCGCCTCGATAGTTGACCGTCTACATCAATCAAAGTCTTCGATAGAGAAAATACGTTCTGCTGAAGGTGTTCCCGGGATCTGAGTGGGGGTCTTACACCAGGGCAGCTTTGCGCAAACCGACAACTTTGGATTCCAAGACGTTTCAAAAGCTATCCCGACAGATTCAGACACACTGTATGGAGTCGGCTCTCTGACGAAATCCATGGTGTCTGCCGGTATTGGCAAGCTAGTGGAAAGTGGAAAATTTGAATGGAACACCCCTGTGCGACAACTTTTGCCTAAGTTTTCTCACCACGACAGTCAATTTGCGGAGAAGGTTACCATTGCTGATTTTCTAGCGCATCGTACTGGATTATCTGGTGGAGTTGCACTTAATCTTGCATTCCAGGGCGATGGCGAAATGTTATTATCAACGGGTTCATTGTTAGAAGTTCTCCACCACGTTCCTCGTGTGGCTGCGGTTGGAGAGAGCTGGATGTACTTTGTCTGGGGGTACTCAATTGCCGGACTTGTCATTGAAGAGGTGACACAGTTGCCGCTCCACCAATATTTGCAACAAGAAGTGTTCCGCCCAACTGGTATGGATCGTACAACACTTCGACCATCCTTCCAAGACGGCAATATCTCCAAGGCATACGCATCCTTGAGTGATAGTGATGCGTGTGAGTTGCAAAAAAGACAGCCATTTGCTGAAAATCTTTTCGAAGCATCGGGTGGTGCCTACTCTACCGTGAACGATCTTCTGCGGTGGTCGAAAGAAACTATGTATGCAGGCCAAGAGACTGGAACACCGAGCAAGTCAATTTTGAAACAGATCCCCGAAATTCTCCGACCACAGATTGCGATAGACAGCAAGCTACTCCCGGGACAATCCTACGCTTTCGGCTGGCTGCGCGCTCATCTCCCGGGCGTGGTGGGACTAATGGGTGACAACCCGGATCTTTGGGAGATCTCTGATCTGCCCATCTTGGGGGACGGAGGTGAGCCTCGACTGATTATATATCAACAAGGCGCGACAGTGGGTTATTACTCCTTCCTGGCTTTGTTTCCAGAGACGCAGTCGGCAGTAGTTGTTCTTACCAACTCCATTGCTATGAGTGATGTCGCCGAGTGGGTTGGTCGCATTCTCATTGAAGCGCTGTTCGATTTCCCAATCCGGACAGATTATGTCAGTCTGTCTAGAGAAGGGAAGCACCGAAGACTTCAACTATTCAAAGATATGCAAGCCAATTTGGCGAAAGAGCGTGCCCCCGAAACAAAACCGCTGCCACTCGAGGCATATGTGGGCAAATATGCGAACCAGACTTACAAGTCTATCCTGGAAATTTCTATGGATCCCGATCAGGGGGACTCCCTTGTTGTTTCATTCCAATGTATGCGTTCCCAAGAATATAGGCTTCGTCATTTGCGCGAAAATGTCTTTGAATGGGCATTGGGTCATGATGAGGGGAAACGAAGAGGGAGGTACACCTTTGCTGATGCCTCATACTTCAAATTTTCATTTGCGGTGGGACCGGGCAATCAGGCCGACAAGATAGTCTGGAACTTAGATGAGTCTTCCCAGCCGGGTGGGGTCATATTCTCGCGTTTGCGTGGGCAAAAATTATGAGATGGTAAGGAGTAGGACTCTCCAGCTTCCTCCGCCATGATTTCGAAAGAGATGAAGGAAGATATTTGGCTTATTGGATATAGGTATGGGAAACTAGCCAGTTCGTATGATGGAGAATGGAATAAGAGAGAGATGACAGGAGGAATTCGCCAGTTCGTAAGAACCGGAATACAGAGTCATTGGCTTGAATGAATCTATTATACATAGTGGTGAAAAGGGGCATTTACGTGTGTTCCGGGGGCGGGGAGTTAGTTTGGAACCTTGGAATAGGTACTTGATGAATAACGATGTCCTTTGGTGGTAAAATACCACCCCTCAGTTTGACAGAAAATTCTAAATGAAGTACAAAACTGTTGTGATATGAGGTTGGTGCAGATCAGACCAAGGCGCACCATCGGAATTAGCTCCGAATCGTCCATACAGACGACCAGGTTGATTGCTGTATATATAAGAGAATTCACACCTCTGAATTACAACAGAAACGAATAATATTTGCAGGGAACAAAATGCCTATCGCAATTCCTTGATGATGTTATGTGAATATTTGTATCCATGCCAATCCTGTTGTTAGATAAATGAAAAATACCGTAGTTAATTTTTCTTTTTGATAAGAAAACATGAGTATCGAGGCTGTGTGCTACATCAAGTGAGCGAGTGGTGACCTCACGAGCAAACGAATTTGCTATTGAGGAACGCTTCGCATATTTCATAATCAGCCAGTTAGATCAAAAACCATCGCAGAACTGCTAAAGGGCAGCTTTCACCCTTCGCTTTGGAGCATAAGCTGACCCCTCCACCTGCTGGACATCATCCACCCTATGTAGCCATTCCACGCGGTTTTTAGTATATTGCTCAACTCTCGGTCTCAGCCTCGTCTCATGCAAGTTGAAATCATCCACTGTTCCAATGCGCAGGATGCTATGGCCTGGGAAAGCTTCGCCGACACGATACATTAGAGAACCACACGATGAACAAAAATAGTTGGTCATTGCCTTGCCAGAAGCAATAGTTCGCGATTGACTGAATGTTTTGAGGTTCTCGCGGCCTCGCAAATGCTTGAGATAAATGTCCGATACAATGAAGTTGGATGCGAACATCGATGCTGTTATTTTGCGACAGTCTGCACAGTGACAGATAAACGTGTCAACTAGTCCAGGACCTTGGGTTGGCTAAACTCAACAAATTAGCGATCTCAGATCGGTAAATCGATTCCATGGCTGAGACGTTGACCTTACAAAGGACAACTGTACCGCACCACAATAGCATGTAGCCGTCGCTTGATTTTCCGTGGACCATCCATCATCAGCACCCCCGGCAAGTGGTATGTAAGGGCTGGACTTTCTGATAGGCATGAGGATTCAAATCCGTTGAAGTTAGCTGGTCACAGGTAGGAAGCGTGAGATTTCTTATTCTACTGTAATGCAACCGGATCTTATCTACCAAACTGAGACAACTTGCCTCGGTAAATTCGGCCGCGAGCGGGGATACTTCGGCTTGGCACCGACCCGGTGATCCCAATGTCCTCTTAAGTCGAACGCATTAGACCTTTAAAGTATGACTTTTCAGCACTCCCAAACTGAAAATTCCACTACTCCTATTTCGAAAATCTCGTGTTCTTGACACCCTCAAGCAGAACCTTCTCCGGATTTAACGAATTCCTGGTTACAGAGAGGATGAATGGATGGTATCATTTACCCCGACCTCTCGCAAAGCGATAGACAGGCTTCAGCAGCTATATATCACCGTATATGTACATGTATGATGTTCCATTTCTAAAGTTCCTGAAAACGAACTTGGAGCCTCGTCAAGGCCTAATGTAGCCTAATTGCCGTTCGATCTGTTAGGCTGTCCTCGTGGCGCGCGACTTTTGAATCGTTGTGACTCCCCAGCGAAGTCCAGCACGGCCTCAACCGTCCTATCTCAAGACTCCGTATCGTATCCAACCAATTGGAGATATCAAAGACTCTGCATTGTACTTACCGGGCTAGTTCACGCTCCTATGTAATCAATGCATCGGATCAACCATAGATCCGGTCTTCCTGAAGTCCTTCAGTATTAATAAGGTAATGCCGACATTCGATGTCAACTACAGCTTATGCCGGCCAATCATATGGTGTTGCGAACTCTCCTTCTTATTACCCATGTTTCTGGCAAATTATACTAGGCGGTAACTAAGTCAACTGTTAGAGGAATATTGGTAACCGGGGCAATGGTATGCTAAATAGAGAGTGGAATCAGAAGGGCGGGGGATGAAGAAAAAAAGGTGGGAAAGTGGCACTACGAAATAGCATGTTCTGTCAATAACCAAGTCATCATGTGCCAGGGGGGACTGGGATTTACGATGAATGCATGAAACGGTTCTCGACTTGGATAGGTACATATGTGGTCACTCGAGCCGCTTTACCCTGCAGGGGCTGCCGATCCTTACTCGCATAAGCCAAAAACCGAAACGAAGTCATGCAGGAGCTTTGATAATTTTAACTTGGGTTAGATCAACAAGCTATATTCGGGCCTTTACTAATTTGGCTTAGCTGCCGTACAATAGATGTGTTCAGTTGTTTTGATTGAACAGTCGTTTTCACACTTGGGCCCTGGTTCTATTTAATCCGGGGTATATCTCTAGTTAACGTCACAACCCACATCAATAAAGATATATGGACTAGTAAATCTTGAGATAGCGTAAGACAAAGCTATTGATATATTTTGTCATTCATCATCACATGCTCTTCATGCTCTAAATTGCTTAGCCTCCTGTATGAAATACGCCTTCCTGCAGTAGCCCCCGAGGTCCCTAGCCAAGACCCTTCACCATCTAACTATTCGGACTACCGACGGGCGAAGAGTGGCAATCGATTTAAAGCTCACCTGTGCAGTCGCCAAGATTCACGATCATACCTTCTCCGCTAGAATCTTCAGCACGGAGATTAAATGCCTCAGCGGCTAGACGAGCCCTAAAGCCTACAATCCTCCGTGATTCCTTGCTATGGACAATCGCCGTTTTTGCGCATCTTGCGTTGGCGATGGGAATGTTACAATCCTAGATGCTTGGCACCTTGGCATTTCCTTGGTCACTTTATCAAAGCAAGATCGTTGGCTAAAGCGATGAGTTGCTCTGTTCAATCTACTCCTTCTCCGTCGGGGTTGAGGATATCGCATCATTCTCATCCTAAGATTACGGTAGTAGAGAGGGGGCGGAGGCCGGAATACCGGCGGCGATGAGTATCTCGACAAACCCTCGTTTGCATTTAAAGACGAGCTTTTTGTCCCGAAGTTGAAGATTCTGTTCAACATCTTCCTGGGGCTTTAAAGTATTTTCTTAAGATCTTCATCATCTCAAACAACAATCATGGGTTTCCTCAAGGTCCTCATCACGTCCCTTGCGACTCTAGCAGTCGTCGATGCCGGTACTCTTCTTACCGCCAGCAAGCCCGACGCAGTCGTTCCCAGCTCCTACATTGTTGTCATGAACGATGATGTTAGTACCGCTGAGTTTGAGGTGCATCGCAACTGGGCTGCAAATGTTCACAATCGTCTTTCACGCCGTAAGAATGGCGAGACTGGACCAGGAAAGCATTTCGAAATCAATGGCCTCAAAGGATACACCGCGAGCTTCGATGAGGATACCGCCAAGGATATCGCCAATGACCCAGCGGTATGTTTCTTTATTACCAATCCTGATTGGGAAGCCTTTGCAATCTAACGCATGGAAAAATAGGTGAAGTACATTGAACCCGACATGATTGTGAACGCAACCGCGAACGTGGTTCAATCCAGTGTTCCCTCATGGGGTCTTGCTCGCATTTCTAGCAAGACGTCCGGTGCTACCAACTATGTGTATGATTCCACTGCCGGTCAGGGCGTCGTAATCTACGGCATCGACACCGGGATTGAGATCTCGCACTCCGACTTCGGGGGCCGCGCTACGTGGGGTACTAACACTGTTGATAATTCTAATACCGATGGCAATGGCCACGGCACCCACACTGCGTCTACTGCAGCTGGTACCAAGTACGGTGTTGCAAAGAAGGCCTCTCTCGTTGCTGTTAAGGTCCTTGGTGCCGATGGCTCTGGCACTAACTCGGGTGTCATCGCTGGTATGGACTGGGCTGTTAAAGATGCCAAGTCTCGCGGGGTCACAGGAAAGGCTGTTGCGATCATGTCTCTTGGTGGAGAATATTCGAAGGCTATGAATGACGCCGCTGCCAATGTTGTCAAATCCGGTATCTTCCTCTCTGTTGCTGCCGGAAATGAAGCCGAGAATGCCAGCAACAGCTCCCCTGCTTCTGCTTCGGAAGTATGCACTATCGCGGCCTCTACCAGCACAGACGGCAGTGCTTCATTCACTAACTATGGATCTCTTGGTAAGAGCTCCACCTGCCCATCGTTTGAAAAATTTCTCTATTCAAAGCAGCGTACTGACAGTACTACTACAGTGGACCTCTATGCTCCCGGGCAGAGCATCACAGCTGCGTACCCCGGTGGTGGCTCAAAGACCCTCTCTGGAACCTCCATGGCCGCTCCCCACGCTGCCGGTGTTGCTGCATACCTGATTGCTCTCGAGGGCGTGTCGGCTGGTAACGCTTGTGCACGTCTTGTCCAGCTTGCTACCTCGTCTATCACCAGGGCTCCTTCTGGAACTACGAGCAAGCTTCTCTACAACGGTATCAACGTTTGATGAGCAACCTCATAGCATGGTGGATGATTTAACCTTGGAACTATGGCCCATTGATTGCTATGCTTAGATTCTTAGACAAGCTTTTGCAAAGCCAAGGGAGGCTGTATCTATGCGTGTTAGACATCACAGTCTATTGAATGTTTTAGCTTATCTTACTCTTATTGAAGTCTGCAATGAAAATTTGAAGATACATTCAATATCGTGATGACTATATGACTTTCTAGGGTAACGAGAATTTCCATGGCTCAACACCATCCGCGCCTCCCAGGGGGTCACATTAGCCAGCCGATTTGGGGATGGATTAGCAGTAAAATATTCAAGCCAAAAGCGCGCATGCGATTCGGAATAAGGTAGCGCACTGGGGTGCGCTGTATGCAGGCGTGTCATGGTTGCCTCCAGCTTGCTAAGGGCTATTGGTGTAACAGTCACAAGTGAAAGAGATGGCTGTTTGTGTCTGGTGCACGCGACAGTGTAGACCCAGCGGCATATATCACTGTCAGGGGACCATAATTCTATCGTTACCCCAGGACTTATCCTACTAGCGTGGAGAGGACGCCTGTGGCTTCTCCATCAACTTATGCCAAAGCCTTAACAACAAAGTATTCGGTCGGCCTCGAGATTGGCTAAACAGATACAATCCTGATCACGGTTTGTTTATTCCACATGAAATTCCGTATGGCAGATGAGGTGGAATTCATGAGTAAAGTAAAGGTCACCAGGGAAAACTCAATTTCTATTCGTAAGTTTCGACTATGCAATAGATAGAGATACCATTTTGCAATACTAGAAATGTCAGTCAATTAATTCCCCGGCAAAACGAAAAGGACTCACGTCGAATTTTGCAGCAATGTGCTTGACCTCATGCTCTAAAGCGATTTTGATCAAGTTGGTCGTCCGATCCTGCTGTGGGTCACCTATCCAACTGACGGTTTCGCCATTGAAGACTGGGCGTAATGCACGAATTCCACGATCATCGGCGACTACTTTGAATCCCCGCAGGCTTCGATTGCAAAGGTCAACCGTCACTTGACTTCCAGGTAGCCGATACCCAAGGGTCATGTTCCCCCCATCTGCACTGATTAGATCAAAGCCGATGATGTGAGTCGTTGTGCCTGCCGTAGTCCCTTCGGTCAAAATGAACGCAGTCAGTGCTATATGACCTGGCAACAAGTCGATGTGCAACATGGGAATTGGGTCTTGTCGATCACACATGCATGGAGCGGGATTCTCTCGCGGTAGCCTATTTTTCATCACCCTCTCGCAGCGAACCTCAGCTGCAGCTACCATCCAGGCTACCTCGGGCAAATCCCTCTCGGGCCCAGTTTGACCGCTCGGGGTTTTTGTCATAGAATATCTGTCCCTTGGCCAAAGATCATTCCTCCACTGCCGACGCATCGACCAATGGTGGTGATACAATTTTTCATTTGTTGCTGTGCAGTGGTAGATTGATCGCCAATTTTTGCGTTGGGAGGGATTTTCTGTGAAAACCGCCAAATACCCCCGGTCTCCGTTAATACGAAACCGTGTCTTCCAGAAAGATTGTAGTGAGAAAATAGTTGCCATCATTCGGGATACAGTTCGAAGATTGAGGAAATCAACAGTAGGAAGGTAGGCCGCAATCTCGAGTCGGACCTCCATTGGCAGTATACCGAAACAATCAGCGCCAGGGGGGATATGTTTGGCTTTGCTGATGTCCAAACGTTGGATTTTCGCAATTTGCTTCGAGGCATCCCCAATACCCCGGATTGTCGGTCTTTGGAGTGGATGCTGGAGATTGTGGTAGAAGTCCGAGAATTGATCCAACAAGCCCATGTATTCCGCTGTTCTGGAAGCTGGTCTGAATCTGCATACTTCGAACAACCTGTCAAGGTTGATCTCATTTGCGAAATGTCTTTTCAACAGTGACCAACAGCTAGGGTGGATGAGGAAGGCTTTGGGTGGGATAGTGCAAGTCATGCTTCCCCATGGACCAGCTGCTAGTGGTGGGAGTCTGTCATCAGGGGTGCCATTCCACCTATCATGCTCTTCTGATCCGACCTCGTAGATACCCGACAGTTCCGTGCCCTCCGGGGGGGAATATACTAGGTGTATTGAGTGAGTCTCAAAAGAAACGTCGTCATATCCAGGGCCCAGGTGCGGTCTTACTGGCTTGATAACTGAACATCCAAGGATAGTCATCGTTTATTGTCAATTCACAAGCTATGCAATCGTGGCAAAGATTATAGCATGGATCGTCGAAGTGGCTGAAGTAATCGGATATCGCTGCTTCGTCCATTGTGCTCAGTTGTGAGAAAATCTCTCAACGGGACAAGAGTGAAACCAAGTCGTAGAAGTGAAAAGAGGATCACTTGAGTAAATGAAGATGTCATTGTGATATCAAATTTCACAACAGAAATTTCTCTCTTTAACTTGTTTCAAAAACTGGACAAGCTTTGAAGACCCAAAGTTCAGTCCATCACCCAGGGAAATAAACCAAAAGAGATAGCTTTGGCAATCTTTTATTTCACTCTTGTCACTTCTTCGCAACTCAACAGCTCAGTCATTCAGTCGGTCAAAACAGCCTTACTGCATCTTTATCTGATGTTCTCATTGGCCAGATTGACTGTCACGAACCTATATGAGATCTATAGAGCCCCTCATTGTATTTATAGATCTTGAATTCCCACACATATATGATTCTAAACAAACGACTATGGCCAACATAGAGATTCAGCATCCAATAAATGGATCATCAATCTAATTTCAACCACATTTATGATCTCAACCAAGGCCTATCCTCCGTCTCTTCCCCCCTCCTTCCTCTTGTCTTCCCCTGACTTCTTTCTTCACTCTTTCCTTCTCTTCTCCTCTTCCCTCACTCTTTCCTTCTCTCTCCCACTCTCTCCTTCTTTCTTCCATTCTCAATCTCCACCACAGCAATTCACTTCACTCGCTGCTCTCCTGTGATCTTGCTCCAAAAGCACCTGAATCTGAGAATCTTCTGGATGCTTTGACTTTCTTTCTACAATAAGAAAATGTCTTCATCACGGGCTGTGAGTAATTTCAGAGAACACAGAATCATCTCGACGGATCACTGATGATACCAGCAAACATACGCAGACAACGAGCTGATCAAGCTTTACATCAATCACCGCACCGAACTCCGAGAAAACAGGGTGGACGAAGTCTGGGCTCAGATTCTCGCATTCTACTGGCCAATCGAATCGAACTATGCGATCGAACGAGAACCTTATGCGGCAGAAGGGGCCGGATCCCGAGCCGATATCGTTCTCACCACCAACATTAAGAGACGTATCTTCAAGTGTCTCTTTGTTGAGTGCAAGAGAGACAAAACGCTGGTCGAAGATCGTGATTGGGATAGCTCAAAGCTCCAATTGGAGCGGTACGTTCAGCGATGGCAGCAGAGAAGCCCCTCGCGGCCCGTGTACGGCCTTCTTTGTATTGGACATGCAGTCCGCTTTTATGTGATGCCTCCAAAGGAAAGGAGGTTTCAGGATTTCAAATCCGCGGGCTTGACTTTGTCTATCAAAGATGATGTTGCCGCCGTCGATGCAATCCTGAGGGACATCCGCGAGTTGCTAGCTGTTACCTACCATGCCAACTAGAGTGCTTCAGCCGTTGAATCCTTTGTCACTCTTCTAGGGCAGCAATCATCATACAAATTTCCAAATGCTTCACTAAACTCCCGCCGGTATGATACCAATAGTTGACCATCTGAAGGGGGATATGTATGACATGGCGCCGCCCAGTATTTTTGATCGATGTCTAGAAATTGTGTTCAAATCTTGTACCCCTACCCAGTCACTCTCCAAAATGACCAGCAACGTGATGCGCCACAGCAGCCTCGTCGCCCTCAAAATCACCACACACAGGACATTTGAGAGACCCTGATTTCTGAGCAGGACCACCTGTATCTATCGCATCCTCACTCTGTCCAGCCTGTGTCTTTTTACCCTTCTTCTTCCCCTTCGCAGGACGTATGTACATATCCAACCCCAACGGCTCCGCCTCAGGCTCCTCGGGACCATCAAGACGCATATCACGCGACGCGAACCGATTTCCTTTCCCGCTCCCATCACCTCCCTCCGCCCGTATTTGAAAAGATGCGCCCTGTGTCCCCTCCATCACATCTGGTTCCGGCGTCGGCTCACCATTTCGAATACTCTGCACCCTCCCGACGCGCCCGTCAGCGAGACGCACCTTGACACCTCGTGGGTGATCGCCGCGCGTGAGCAAATCGCTCACTAACCCCGATACTGTGCGTCCTGTGGGTTGGTCGGCTTTGAGGATAATGTTGACGGATGTGCCGGGGGTGATGGCTTTGAAGGGGGGGACGTGTGGGTGGGAGGGACGTGATCCCCCGCGTCCGCGTCCGCGTCCCCTTCCGCCGCGTCCACCGCGTCCACCACGTTCAGGCCCGGTCTGTCGGTTTTGTCTATTCATTGAGGATGGTGCGGAGGTATGATACTGGGGTATTGATGCAGGTCTCTTGGCCGGCGTGGCGCGAAGTAGAAATTTCCAAAGAGACATGTGGTTCAAGGTGGTCGGGTAAGGAACATCGGACTTCAGATTTTGAGTCCGACAACTTCACTGCGATTCTACAACTTTTTTTTTTTTTTTTTTAAAAAAAAAAAAAAAAAAAAAAAAAAAAAAAACCTCTTAGCTGCAAAGCTTGAGATTTCTTCATTTCGACTGTCCATTTCTTCGAAAATTCAAGAAAAAGTACTTGATACTGAAGAGGTCGGTCTATTCATGCCGAGACCCCCGAACAAACGCTATGGTTGGGCTACAGCCTCATTCATAAGGGACCCTGAGCATAGTCCGAACTACAGGGCTAAATATTGACATATAAGATTGACCTCTACGCGCCCTTGGTCTTCAAGATACCCGTTCAGTACTCATTTTACCTTTTTCATCATTAAGCTCTATTTTGCCTAAGCCGGATCTAGGACGATATACCCTTGACCTTTATTGCCCGTCGCAGCTTGCTTACCCGGAATTATAAGCTTTGTCCTCCGCGTTGACCCCCTAAATAAAGTGCTTACCGGCTGGAATTAACATCGATTACTCAGCATTTACACTGCGCCCTTTCTAACTAAGCCCCTACCCCTAAACAAGCCCCTGATCAAGCCCCGTGGAACGGTGTCTCAACTATAGGTGAGACATCGGAAGCAAAGGGCACACGCTACTATGTGCAGTTATAATTGCTTGGTGCATCCGACTGAGATCAATGAAGATAATGACATAACAGGAATCGGAGTGAGCATAGCCAATTCTCGAAATCCACATTCAATTGAGTTAAAGCGCTCATCTTAAAAGGTTTTAATAGGATACTGTGCAACTGCGGGCATCGCGGTATTCATTATTGTCTTCCACTACTTCTTTTCCTATGAACCTCGGCTGGACCCTTTTCGAAACAAGCAGGATGACCCTACAATGTGCGTACGGCCGCGACCGAACCCAATTGATGAAATGCTGCTTCGACGTCCACGGGAGCTGTTTTACAAGGCATTTGGCACCACGAGCAAAAGGCGAAAAAATCATGTTCGACTCGAAAACTCGCTTGTTAAGGTGTGTTACCGACAAACACTCCTAAAGTGATCAATGACCAGTAATATTCAACGAAGGAAAAGTGCATTCTCGCAATGAGTGATATTCAAATCATTACCGGTATTTCCATCATCGTCAGTGGTGCGGCGCAGCTCAAATGCGGCATCTCGACATACCAGTGGCAGGTCCTGGTGTATCTAGCCTGGTTCTCTAGCCTAACCCATCTCTCGTGTCTGACACTTCTGCGAAACTACCTTCATCAGCGGCCGGCAGAACGGATCTGGAGGCTTATCTGTATGTTTGTACTGCTTGTGCTACTCAGCTTGGCACTTCTACCGACAGGAAATTACAGGTGGCAGTATGGATATCCCGCAACACCCACTGGTCGCCCTGCGCCTCAGGATTACGCCATCTGCTATCTCAGACCAGGACAAGGCCGTGATACAATTCCGAATCCGGGGTTTGCTTCGATTGACTATGGTCAATCTCGCCCCGGGCGCCCGAGCTATGGTCATACCTTGAGTGGAAACTCCACGATGGCTATGTGTATATCCGTTGTTTTGATGTCTGTTGGATTCGTTTGTCGGGTGTCGAAACTGCACCAGTGTCTGTCGAACTTTCTTACTGGGTGTATCCGCGACAGAAGCAGTCATTTGCTACGTAAACCCCTTCGAACGATTGAAGCCTGGGGTGGTACCCCAACCTTTCTTCATAGTCTGCAGAGACTTCTGCTGTATCGGCCCCTTTTGGCCCTTTTCCTCACCCTGCGTATCCTAGTCGACACTTGGGACTCGATGTTTTTTGAGGTGGGCTTGTCCAGCATCGAAGTGAATCAAAGCTTACTGAAAATACAGGTTTGGTGGCTCATGGTCAGTTTCAGTTGGGGCGTCCAACGTTTATTCGGCGTTGTCGCTCTTTTTCCCGATAAAGGGAACATGGAATGGAGCTTCGGTCAGGTCATGGCCATCACACTTCTTGCTGTTCCCTTGGTATCTGCTTTTGAATTTTTCTATCCTGGTGAGCTTATAGTGTATATGCGATCCACCTCCCAAACACTTGCTGACCCATCTCAAGAACCCAAGAGGTCAGAAGTTGAGGAAAGCCAGGGCCGACTCTGCTCTCTTTCGGTCGGCAGTAGTAACAACAGGTCTGAGATTCCGACCGACAGCGAGCTAACCATGCCGGACTCACGAGACTTCACCCGTCGAACCTTCAACGACCACCCTGATTACGAGCTTTACTACGAATCTGGCTCTCTGACCACTGCCACCATGACGCTTATACTCTCTATCGTTTCCCTATCCTTTTGGTGTCTCGTGCTAGCATACAAGCATAAAGGCCTGAAAGAGCTGGGGTTCTTGCAGCTTTCATTCTATCCTTGGGTCTTGCCGCCCTTAGTTTTCATGTTTTGCATTCTCTACGGTGTTCTTTTCTCCTTTTTGATCGCCACTATCGGATCTGAAAAGCGACGCAAAGATGGAATTTCTACCTTGCTTGGCTGGTTCCTTTCTTTGGTGGCAATCCTATGCTTGACTGCTGCCTGTTTTATAATGTCTGCTTTTGGGACTTTGCATTCCGTCGGTTGGGCTGGTTTTGCTGTGGCTGGTTTTTATGTTCTTTGCTGTTTGTTTGCTTCAGCCTGTGGGTGGTATACACGAGTTAAAATTGCTGAGGTTTGATGGACTCCTAGAATTAGGGGCTGATTTCAAATAGAAGTTGCAGAACAATGAAGCAGGCGATTGGAACCTGATAACGCCGAAGAACCGAGAGGGCGAGATATGATGGAGCAGGAGTTTCAGCGGTCAATGCAACAGTAGAAAATTTCTCAATATCGCCTCCCTGTGAGTTCAAATCATCGATCTGGGTTTTCATTGCTGCTTCCCATCGTGGCCACAAGGGGGACGCCTTGGCTTCACCGTACGTCTTTGGAATGACGATATGTCGTGCATGTAAAGGTTCGTCGCTCTCGTAGATCCATCATCGGGGATTTTCCGACTCACAGGGAGGCGATATTGACAGATTTTCTACCTTTGCATCGACCGCTGAAGCTCCTGCTCCATCAAGATACAAACAGCAATCTATTCATAAAACGAGAGAGGTTGTAAGAAGTAATCTCTGAAATGCAAATACTGGGACTGAAAAATATCTCATCCTCTCTATATATTAAAATATTTTTGGCTGTTGTGATATTTAAGTATAGATGTTCGCGAAGCCTCGGAACTAGTCCTCCAGTTACTATGTCAGGTAATTCTACCTACAAGCCAGGGCTCTCCAGGGCTTTAACCAATACTTACTAAAGTAGGTGAAATTCGGTAGGCCCCCTTACCTCTCGTTCTGTCACGTGACTGCACGTACATATATCATTAGCTAGGCAGGACGAATACAACAATCTTTACATCCCCAAGCCTTGGCTTACATGTACGTATCACGTACGGTAGGCCGCCCCTTACAGTCTCTTTTACTTCCACTTCACTCGCCGCTCATTTGGAATTGCCAGCTTTGACTGTAGTTCGCAGAACCAAACTAAAATTCATAATTAGTAAAATAACAGCCAAATTCCAAATGGCAATGATGTTAATTTAACAGGATATCCACATGTATGGATCTAACTCGATAACGCCTTGCACCTCGTTCCATTCAAGCGCGAACAACCATGGGGGCACGGGTAACTTGAATCAAACTGCCACGAGAAATAAGGATCAGTCTCGTTGGCGAGAACATTCCCTACGAATCGTGACTGGCTGGGGAGATCAAAAGAGGCTTCAAAGACATCCCACGAAGAGATACGAATCTGACTCCAACCCTTTTGAATTAATGTATCGATCGAGGTCCCAAACACATATTCTCGGAACCCCGCCCATCGAATCGCCGAAGCACACTTTTTCTTCGTTAGCCCATCACCCAGGAGGTTACGAGTTGCGAAAATCATACCATCGGACAGCTCTCGGCATTTGTATATAGCGTTAGGTCGGCGAATGCATTTTGTGCCTCAGACGCAGTCATACGGAAATCGCCGTGGGGGTCGGTTAGAATCCTTGTGCAATTTGTGATGGCTGCGATTTCTCCTACATGGAGTATCACATTAGGACATGAAGAGAGTTCGCATTAAGAAACTAGTGACTCTTACCATGGAGAGAAGGATTCCCGGTTTTTGCATTCTCATTGACGCCCTTGCAAATAAGTTCGCCGGCGTCGGAGGCCGTATGGTTGACAATGACCGTTCCGAAGGCAGCAAAGGGGCAAGGGGACCCACCGATTTCAACCAAAGCTTTATTTGCTTGGCGGATCCAATGGGCTCGAGTTTGGAATGGAATTCCACTGATTGTCGCATCTGGAGCCGCCAGGACCTGCGCCAGTGCTGTGGGAAGAAACGCAGTCAGGACGGTAGAGGCATAGGCTAGAGAACGCATGCTTGGAGCCCTAGAACTAGATCAACGCATCCATTCTCAGCTTTATCTTTTTGAATGGTGAGCTTTGAAGTAGGACGTACGTAAAGTGAGGGGCACAGCAGCTAAGCCCGATGTTGCCTGATTTTGCCTGAATCTTGCCTTGGTGCCTGAATCATGGCGGACAGACAACAATATCAGAATCACAGAATAGCAATAGATGGAAGTGTACTGCTACCGTGGAGACCGGAAAGAGAAGGAGAGTATGACACTAATCTCTACCTAAGCGTATGATCGTAGTTTACTGAATATGCATTTCGTGTAGTGGATCACAACATACAATTAGCCAGTATCACTTTCAAATCCGAGACCTCAACTTCTTCCAAAAGAGACTCTACTGATTTCTCCAGCTTTTGATAAAAAGGCACCACCTTGGGGACCGGTAGGATGCACTTGCCGGACAAGGTCGAAGGAAATTCTTCACCTGGGGAGATGGAAGACTCTGTCATCTGGGCGAGACGCAAGGGGGACATTTTCACGGCACGTTTAGCGGTGAGACTCCGTGGAAGGACTCGTCTCCTTGGACCCACTATCTACATGCAGATGTATCAAAGCGGTATTCGTGGGCCAACCAAGGCATCTCATTTTCGAAACCTTGCTGTAACGAGTGTATAGCGCGTTTCTGCGGAATTGAGAATATAAGTTCAACTATAACCAACTGATTCATAGACTGACACGTGCTCTTATCAAGTTTTCTCCTTGAAGAATACTTGGGTAACCCGCAAATTGACTAATTTCCTATTTTGATATACACCATGACAGTCAATACTCAAGTGTCAGCTGAGTTCTCTAGATCACGCGACGTGGATTGGTATCATCCAACTTTGACTCAGCTCCCTGAGACATCGGCGCAGGTCTTTCGTGAATATTCCGGCATTCCTGAAGACCAAGTTCTGGACCACATTCAACGCATTCGAGAGAAAGCGTGGGAGATGTATGTTTTCTCCGTTTTTGTTGCCCATCTAGTACATTGAATGATTGAATACTTATGCCATCCAGCTTTCCCTATCCATGCATTGGCATTTTTCGATTTATTGATTTCGGTGCTTGTCAAAGCCCGGTATACCCTAGTGTCGTCGAAAGGATTAAGAAAGGTCAGATGTTCCTTGACCTGGGTTGTTGTTTTGGACAAGACATACGGAAACTTGTCTTTGATGGGGCTCCTTCAGACAATCTTATTGGTGTCGATCTCCATGCCGGCTTCCATGAGCTGGGATATGAACTTTTCGGGGATAAGGAGACCCTCAAAGCCCGTTTCGAAGCCCAAAGTATCTTCGATGACGATTTTCTGCCTGAACTGCAAGGGAAGATAGACATGATCTATATGGGGGCTTTCCTTCACTTGTTTGAGCCAGTCCAGCAAACTATCATTATGCGGAAGGTATCGAGCCTTTTAAGCGACCAGAAAGGCTCACTTGTGTTTGGTCGCCATGCGGGAGCTGAAGAGGCAGGACAAATTGGAGGCAATGTAGGGTCACAGTGGTACGTGTATGGGCACAGTGATTCTACAATCCGGGAGCTTTTTAACGGATTAGTGGAAGGCGAATGGGAAGTGGATTCCCAATTGATGCCTTTCGCGCAAAAGGATATAGACGAGAAGAATCGCTCGGGAAGGTTTGGGGAGAAAGTTCGTATGATGTTCTTCTCTGCATCTCGATTGTAATTCTTGCCGGAATTGAAAAGTGATACGCATCCAATGTTGGAATATTTGTATTCTTTCCAGCTAGAGTCGGCATATTGCGGTTTGGCAAATTCTCAAGTGGCTCATGAGTAACTAGTTGAATGGGCAATGTCCTTCGCTTGCAGTAGGTTATCCTGCAAGTTGTTGATCTTTTTTTGGAAGCGATTGTAGCAATCCGAGCCCAGAGGTAACCGAAACAGTTCACCCTTCCCAGCACCCATCCCTGTGCCGTCTATGACTTCCAGAATTCTCTGAGCACATTTGACGGCATCGCCAGGCTGTTTTCCCTTGTTCGACTTGAATGCATCAAGGACATTCTCCAAGGGTGTCCCAGTATATCCTTCATTCATACCGGCGGCTGGCTCAACGTAGGCTGTCCAGAAGTTGGTCCGAAGTGATCCTGGCTCGACGACAAGGACTCGAATATCGAATGGCGCTAGCTCCTTCGCAAGGCTTTCAGACATGCCTGCTCAATGGATATTAGCAACCGATTTGTTCGAAGAAAATATATCATGTCATGATTAGCTTCCGAGGTTGAATGGACTCACCTTCAAGAGCAAACTTCGTCCCGGCGTATATGGCACATGTGGGCAGTCCATCAATCCCAGCACTGCTACTGATATTCACAACAGTGCCAGATTTCCTGGCCCGCATGAGAGGAAGGGCACCCTTCAACACACGAACGGGACCGTAGACGTTGGTGCTGAATTGAGTCTCGATTTCGGCCTCGCTCATATCTTCGATGCTGCCAAGCAAGGAATACCCGGCATTGTTGACAACCACATCAATCACACCACCCGCTTGATTAATCGCGCTTTCGACTGCTCTGGCGGTATCGGAGCTCGTTACATCAAGCTTGATCCAAGTGCCGCCCAGGCTGGAAATTTGCGGGTTGGCTTCCGCTGCTTTGGTGGGGTTGCGGGCCGTGGCGATCACTGAGTGGCCCGCTTGAAGGGCCGCCTCGGCGATTGCGGCCCCGAGGCCTGAAGATGCACCGGTGACAAGCCAGACTTTTGGTGTCATCTTGATATTGCAATCTCGATCGGAACGGGCGTATGCAATAAAGTGCTCGAAGGTTGTATCCTTGAATAAATGAGCTCTCTAGAGGGGGTTAGAAGAAATGTGTTCCTGGGCGTGGAACGACTGCCTTTTATGTGTGAAGTGCAGTAAACCTCCATGGCTGCCATTTCGGAGATAAGCGGAGCGGAGTTTAGCTACTAGTGCCATTAGAGCCTCTGAGGAGAACATTGCTCCGTTGACTTCGCAGAGAGATGAAGTTGCTTGTCCCATTGGTCTCGTTTGTTCCGTTTGGTTTGCATTGTTTGCATTGTTTCTGTCCCTCACATGACGTCCTGAAAGATCCATCATATACCCCTTCACGTCTTTGTTTGGTCTCCGATTTTTGTCTCGCCGTCCTTTTTGATCAGTCTCATAGGGTTCATGATATTTCTTGTTTTGACCAACATTTCATCCTCTGCCAAAACCTGTGACCACCGACTCCACACAACGGCTCACGCGTTGCGTTCTCAGGGGAGAAGCCATCCGCGAAGCGCTTCAAGCAGAATACACCTTCAGTAACAGAGGCATTCGGTACCGATGGCTGATGTACAAGATATCCATATCAGACAAGATATTCATGTCATGAGATCTTCATGCGTGCTGTGCCGACAACCTCCAACTGCAGGAACAAGAATCCTCGGTACATCATCTCCCCCTATCATTTAGCTTGTCTGATCCAATCTACAGACCTGAGTCAGAATCAGCTCGAAGTGCCAGAGTGTAAAGGCCCCTGCTTGATCTGCAATCGGGCCCCTAATCCACGGGCTTGGTTTCATGTATCATGCTATGATATTCTAATGATCACCTATCAGCCATCGGAAGGGCCCACCGGTCAAGAATTGGGAGAGTTTGCTGACGCCACGAGCTCCTTTGGCAAATCCGGAGACAAGGGAAATGGCGAAATCGCGTCAATATTTGAAGGGTTATCGAGTGAATATGCAAGAAGAATTACCGAAGCGGATTTCCGATATGATTTATTCATGCAGTTGCCGATGGAGATCAAAGTCATGATCGCCGAGCTCATTTTTCCATGCTGGTATCTGAAGGTACTAGGCGAGACTCGTCGTCTGATCGAACAATTGAGGAGCCTTCGCCATCATGAAGACCGACGTGAGCAGCTTGAGCTAACACAAAATGTCTGGGTGCGGAGAACGATCTACCGAGGTATCGCTTACGTGGCATGGCTCAGTACTCTGCCACTGAAAGCGACTGCCACTTCTACTGTGGACCACATAAAAATCCCAGATACAGTTGACAAGATTGTTCTTTCCGCCGACCTCATCGGCATACGTGGAGTGCAGTTTGTTGACAATAACTCACAACCGCAAACCGACGGCTCACCATGGTACGAGATTCTCGAACCGAAAGCTCCCGGCACAGAGATCAAAGTTATATCTGACGTATGAACCACTGATGCTCGGTAACAGAACAAGTACTGACATGGGCAGGGTCTTTTCATGCGATATATTCAGCTTATTTCACAGGCACCAGCTTTCAATATGTTCTGGAGCTCTCCTTGCCCGCCCAAGTTCCAACCTTGGAACTTTTACAGCGTCCGGGAAAAGCCTCGATTGAACTATTTGAGATTCGATGCCCAAGTCAGAGGACTTCTTGTTTGTTGTGCCAATGGTCGGATGGCCGGTATCCATGGTTTCTCAGGCATCTCAAAAAAATTCAAGGAGTTCGTCGAATTGATGCATCAGCGCATGAAATCGTTATACAAGAACTGGATTTACTTCCCATTCAATCGAGGGGAATCTATTAACGGCGCCTGGGTCCGGAAATCCAAGATCTGCCGCGGGCCGGCTTCTGACCCAGTCTTGGTTGTGAGTCTATCCCCTCCATTTCAGCTACGATGACTCACTGGCGAAAGCTGCAAACATCCTTAGGAAGAACCGTAACATTCGGGCCTCATTTTACAACTCGCCTCAACGATGTATCTGAGTACATTCCTCTCTTCAAGGATAGTGATGGCCCTATCTCGGGTCTCTTCGATGATGGCTTGGATCCAGTTTTCAATTTCGTCTTTGAATTTGGAGTTACATGCAGTCGCAAGTCCCAGGGCAGGACTTCAGATCTGATGCCCATGGATGATACTCGTCTTGAACCCCCACCACTTCCACGCGGCGGACCGTCACCCAAAGCGTCGATGACTTGGTATATGACAAAGGCTTCATTGAATGGGCTTGTTAAGGCCCAAATATTTAGGAGTCAGGATCAGTCGCATCATCCAATATCGGGCCTGCTGTTGTTTTTCAATGACGAGCATGTCGAATCGCTCGGACAAGTGCGCTGGGACTGGGATGTTGGCGAAGAGGTTTTCATGCCTATCTTTATTGAAAGAGGCACCATCGAGGAAAGAAGATACATCAAGAACATCCAAAACAGGCATGATCCTGGAATTGATATCGAAACAGGGGAATGGCAAAAGCTCCCAAAATGTGGTACCGTTGTTTGGTGGTTTGGTCGATACGGGGACCAAATAACCGCATATGACGAAGAAAATATTTGAATTCTCACACCTAAAAGTGATAAATGACAGGTTTCGGAAACAGCTGTTCTCTATAAAGAGCTGTTGACATTTAGATTGATTTTCCTAGCCTAGACCCCCCCCCAGTATTCGCCCGTTTGATAGGTTGCTTCCTCAACCTCTCGCTACTCCCGAACCCATCGTTGCAGCATCTCTGTTCTTCTTTTCTGCAATATACCCAGTATGAGCCTTATGAGGTTGTTGAGACTTATTGGCGAGAGAAAGAGAAGGGAACCGACTGAATTTACTCTGCGGGGAGGGAAAGAGAGAGGAGGGAGAAGCCAGAAGGCTGGGAACTATCTACACATGGGGGTTGGAACGAACTCCCTACACAACAGAGGTGAACAAAGAATGTTCTATAGTTCCTGTTGAACCTACAGGGAGAGAAGAAGATGCGGACAGAACCGATTGAATTGACTCTGGAGAGAGAGAGAGAAGAAGAAGAAGAAGAAGAAGAAGGGAGAAGCGGGGAGCGGATCTATCTACAAACGAGGGTTGGGACGAACTCCCTACACAACAGTTCCAACAAGCTATCAATATGGTGGTTCATCTTTCATCTTTTGGACAGCTTGTCTGATCAGTCCAGCCTCCGAGGAGTGTAATTCAACATACTGGTCCCGTTCAGCCAATTCATCCGAACCAAAGAGGGGGAACAAGTAATCGTCAATTCGAGAGCACCGCCATGCTCTACCTTTCGATCCGAATGATGTGAACGCGTACACAAACTTAAATTCAGGGTGCTCTCCAAGATACCTCATACATGCATCGAATGCTTGTGCCTCCGCTTCTTGGACACGTTGAGGTCCTGCGTTCAATGCCTTTGCTTCGTGAAAGGCCAGAACCGCACGTTTGTTCCCCATGCCCAAATACCGTATGGTAATATCCACCCGTCGACGGCCACTGCCCTCGGGAGGAGTCTCCGAGGAAATGAGCCACTCTTTCTCAGTGAAGAGGTGTTTGTACCATAAATAACCCCAGAGATCCACTGAAGCCCACTCCTCAGAAGGTTTTGCCTGGACTGTATCCCAGAGATTCTTGAGGAGATGATCGGTAATGAGCGACATTGTCCTGTAATCTTTAGTTTTGTCACAAAAGTCGGTTTGACCACATACCAATAGTGTGTCTATTTCTAGTAAGTTCTTGTTTCTTCAGCAAGCTGACCAGATAGCACAGTTCCTGATTTTGATAAAGCACTGATCAAATCCTGGGATATCGAGGTATCGGCTTTAGAAATACACACCTCTGTATTGCGAGACTACCCTTTTACTGAGAAAATGCAGATTACTTATAGCTTGATGGGCCGACTTGGCCAAGCCCTGTGGAACTTTGGAATCGCAGTTTGGTAATCAGATATCAAATAACACTCGTAATTCACAGTACATCAAGCGCCCGAACTCCTTAAGTCATCACTTAAGCCAATGATTTCAGCCACCAACCCAACAGGTCCGTGCTTCGAAGCACAAGATACGTGTTAGGCAGTCATCGAATGCCTGGGGATTCGCCTAACAGACTGATGTAACAGTTCTGGAGGAAAGAAAATATGTATTGGTTTGCTCTGGGCTGTAGCCCCAAAGTTCCTGAGCCGGCCCTTGGCACTCGTCGGTTTGATTAGGCGCCCGTTGTACTACCTGCTAGTGGGTACACGGACTTTGGAACACGAACACGCATCGGCAACGCCCCTCAAGAAGTTACCGTTGGCTACGTGAAATCGACATGCATATTGCTACTCCGTGTTAGAATTAAAGTTTTTTGATGTTGTTCCAGACCTTTTGTCTCCAAAGTATGGGGTTCGACTTGAGATGAGTACGAAAAGAATACCGGCAGTTTTATGCTAGGGTTTGAGGGAGCTTTGTGCAGATCAATATCATTTTACGCATGTACCTGGAATTCTATAGATATAGGAGATGTGGAATACAGTCTTGCAAAATGACAATGTTGGTTTAGTGATCAACCAACGGCCCCATCTAAGTATGCGCTTTGCGATGAAAGCGCGTCGCGGGTGACATGGGCGTTAAATGGTTCGTTATCGTACAAGTTGAAGTAAAAATGCGTCACTCCAACAATCCGCGTTTTCCAATCATTTGGCAGGACTGTCCCACAAGAGGTTATCAATGCGCTCTACAATTTTCACTTGGTGCTTGCGCAGCCGCTTCGACGTGTCCATCACCCCGTTTGCGGGGACTACAGCGCCCAATGATCGGAAACTTTTTCCGGATACTCGAGATCGTGGAACTGGGGCTGTGTCAGTTTAACCTGGCGAAAAAAAATTATAATGCCTAAATCTGGTTGGAAAATCAATCGGATAGCTTTCAAATCACGCACGGAAAGTAAATCAAGGATGGGATTCTTACGAGTACTATCGCATCACCAAGCGCCGCTTACAATCCTTAGTACGGGATAATCTTGAAACCTTCTATCAGCGGGTATTATCACATATCCAAAACAGTTTCCGACCCTTCTAAAGTTGGACGCTATGCCTATGGGGAGTTATCGTAATATCAATACACAACCTTGCAATGCCGTCTGTGAACATTTACAGCCCGCACAAGGATCGTGTGTGTTTCGCTTCGTCAAATGTTGAAGAGGGTGTAGAAAGCAAGGGAGAAACTATAGTCAGGTATCTTAAAGATCTATGGTTGTAGAAAATTGTCATATGCTCCTCATGATCTTCGTAGTAAAACCTTTCCCTTGGGGTCTGAAAATTCAAGCCCAACACTTGTAGAGTCAGCAGAGGTCTCCATCTTGCTGAGGGTAGAGTGCTCCTCTGCATCATTCAGAAGATCATCATCAAGACCGTGGTACAGCACAGGTAAGGTAGATGTTTTCCACAGCGCACGATCTTCCAACTTGGTAATTCGAGCTGTAAATATCAGGAGCACAGACGACGCAATAATTACCACCGCTGGTAGAGACACCCATGGCCAATGGACTTGCACATAAACCTCTGAAATATGTGGGGTTCCAAAGCTTTTGTTCAATGACTCCCGCAGAGCCAGGTTGGTCAATGAGTCCGCGATATTATTCATGATCTTTTCGAGTCCAAGTCTCACACCGCGCTCAAAAGCATCAGTACTATTGAAATCATTTATCTCACCACTGCGACCCCAGTGAATTTGGTGGGGCGAGATCGCAAAGCGTTCGTAAATCGTCCCCCCAATGAATTGTATAATATCTGGCACAAGAGAATCGACCTCGCAGAAGGCAGACCCCTGAGGCTCAATGATCTGACCCGGGGCACGAAAGCTCCACTGAGAAGGCGGAATTTCGCTGTATGGAAAGGGTTGGTATGGCATTGGATCACCTTTCCATTGCTTCCAACACATATCCCAAGTGTAAAGTCCTAATCTTTGAAAGTCCAACGAAAGTGTCATATTGGGTGCATGAGGGTAATTGACCGAGGTCCAACGACGAGGAAACCAAGTTTCACCAAAGTCTGGGGAAGAGACTTCAACTTTAGGATTACCATTTTTGACAGAGACGTTGTAAGTTCTCGAGCAAAGCGATAACACGCATTCTGTGACTCGGCTCAATTGTCGTCCAACTTGCTCTGGGCGTCCAATGAGGTCTTTTTCTGAGATGTCGTCTACGATCTCAGCTTGCCCGAGGACTAACAACGGGTTGTCCACACCTAGGAAAGTAGAATTTGGCAAGAATGTGTTCTGCTGGTAAAGTTCAGAAATGTTGTGAATCTGCCAGATCACAGTTCGTGGCATTGTCTGTTCGTAAATTCTCTCACGGGTGTTGTTCGAGTCTGCGAAGGTCATATTGAGTGGGAGCGGCTTCCCTTCTGGTAGGGAGATTGTGCAGTTGCTAGACTGGGCATGGGTTATCGTGCTATTGAAAGGCATCGAATAAGGCAAAGACACTTTGTCGCAGCCGACGAATCTGGCTGAACTCGTGACGTCCGCGCACTTGGCGCAGTAGCCAACAGATCGAAATGGCTCCCAAGTACAGTTTGCCGAGGCGCAGGTGGGATTTATCTGGGGTGGACTAGACCAAATTCCGGACAAAATAGCATCTCGGAAGTTCGTCGTGTATGCCTCCAGTTCTTCCGGGATCTCATTAGAAAACACGAAATCAGTCCCGGGGATATGGGGTGGTGAAATATTGTAAACTTGACTGAACGAGGAATCATGAGAGTTCGAACTCGACCGTATGGGTATCTGTCTTAGCGGGAACGTCAAGACTTGTTGAAGGAAAGGATCAAAGGCAAGCGCTAGAATGGTAATCAATGCGCCAAGAGATGCAATTGATGCGCCTTTATGTTGCCATAGCATGACAACGGAGCCCCAAGGTCCACGGCTGGCGCTATCGAACGATTGAAAATCTCGTAGCGCTTTCTGGATTTCCAGAACCACATCCATTTCAACTGGCCCAGAGATTCTGCCACGGCAAATATCAACGAGGATTTAGAAGCAGTGCCAAGGATTGATATCACACTGTTCAGTGTAATTCCATAAGGTAGACTCGGGGATGCTTGCTGATCATAAACCCACACCACACAAAACATGGCAGTAAAGCACAGTATACTGAAGATTATTGCCAAAGCCTCCCAGAGCCAAGTATCAGCACCGAGTTTAGTCCCCTGCGAAGATCTATGGGCTTCGTTCTCCCTGAATTCCGTCTCTTCCCTCATGGCCTCATCGACAGCATCTTCAGGTGTTTGTTTCTTTGAAGGGGTGGATGATACCCTCTCCCACCTGATTGTAAGAGACTTGATCCATCGCAAAGGAAGCTTGAAAATATTCGCCAATTTGTTGGGCATGAGAAACGCCAACGCAGCGAGCACAGCCAAACCGCCGAGGCTCACGGCAATACCAATTCCTGCTTTCGCACCAGTGGAGAGTTCCCTTGTCCCATATGAGGCTTCGGCTTCTCTTTTAGTTTTGGAGGTTGTCGCAGAAGCATTCAGTGCCATAGATGAGTTCGCTGTCACATCTGACTTGAGATCTTCCAGTACCATGAAAATCGGGGAATTTATCTGAGGGCCGGTGAAACTGAAGGCGTCTTGATTATTCGGAATGAAAGTCGCAACCATTTCATTAGCGCGAGAGAGAACCTCGGTGGGAACATCAACTTTCCATTTGTGAGAACCATCAGAGGCGATATTTATGTTGGCTGTTTCCCAGAATCCTTAGTCTCGCGTTTCCTTGTCTGGTGGTGAGGATGACCTACATGTGAGAAGCTCAGACCACTTCGAGTGTTCTGAATCCGCAGATGCCACATATAGTTTGGCTCGCGGTTCTCCGCTCTCCATGAATTTTTCCGTCTCATCTGCGCCCCATCCTTTCCATTCTATATTCAACGTGTCCCCAATTTGATAACTCGTTTTTGTATCTTTGGTATCATCGCCGTCGGGCTTCACCCAGCGATCTCGGCGTGTTTCCTCACTTCGGACTACCCTCAACACCAAGAGCAACAGCAGCCAGATCCACGGTACTTTAGCCATGGATCCAACAGAAGTAGCCTCTTTGTCCTTTTGTGACCCGATCACTAGCAGATCCAGCACCGGAGCTGGCGGAGTCAAGGTTTTACCGGCTTTGCGAATATCGAAAAGATCCCGACCGCTAACTCGACGGAGATCGCACAGAGATTGTAGGCGTATTTTCAGGGAAAGCTGTTATGAAAATGAGAGACTTGGAGCAGAAGATATCCATTCGCACCATGTCCCTTGAGACACCGGGGGCTAATATGCAGGGCGCACAGCCCCTCTCAGTCACTTTTGAATTCCCAGATTCCGCTCAATGCGACGGAAGCGAAATACCCATAGATCATTTCTGCCCCACAAAAAGGATATTGGTCTATATGGTTAATTACCGATGCAATAAACACAGCTCGCTTTTGGACCTGGGTAATGTAACTTCATTCTTCCCTTCACAGGCGTATGAGAATACCCATCTCACTTTCAGCGTTTGCAAGTGATTGGCGAAAGGCAAACAGGCAAAAAGGTGCCAAGATCAGCCTGAATCCTTGGCAGTCGAGATCTTCGTAGGGCCCGGTCCGTCGCACTCTGTCTAGCGGTACTCCGCCACGTTACTAAACACACCTAGGTGCTGTTTATGGTACAATTTAAAGATGCTAATTTTAAAGCTGCTGACTACATTGCCACACCAGGTCTTCATCACAAAGCAAAGGAGAGACTCATTCCCCTTGTGTCACAGCTACCGTCAAACAATTGTACTCCGTCGAGATCTGCATTAATCGTATTGACACGGAAATGTGGACGGGGAAACAAACACAGACCCTGGAATCGGAACCTTGGAAGATCCCGCCTTGAGGCTGAGACGAACCGAACTTTCCGTCCAGGGTGGGGCAAAGATCTCCACAATTCGCAAAAACACATGGGATCTGGGAACACCGAACATCAAAACACTCCATACGGAGTACAAAGTGACTACGAAGCGAAGTATAAAGAGAGAGTAGTAAATTCTAGGCGAAGATTCTGACTCAATTCTTTTCAACACAAAACGAGCATCTACCACTCAAGCAAACTGACTGGGTCTGATCATACTGATCCATAAAAATGTTGGGTCTACTCAACTATTAGGGGTTTAACGCGCCACCTAGAGAGCAATAACACCTGATCGATGATCCGATAACTCCGGAATTTATCCATATAACTTTAAAGGGTGCACCAGGTTACAGTTGGGTGGGCGAGCCCTGGGGGGCAAGGTGCGGTTTTGAAGGGGGCTGGGATGGGTCCACTCAGGCACATTTCAACATGATAGGGACAGGAGCACTTCTTGAACTATGTAAGCCACTCGTACTCCGTAACCTCGGGAAGTTATCAGTCCTATGTATCACATTGTCAAGAAAACTCAATCATCCACACATCCCCCAATCGCTCATTTGATTCCCCCAACCCACCATGAACCACAACTGTGTTTACACCCACAACATCCGCATCAAACCAGCCCCGTGCAAGAGGCAGTTGATCCCCTTGGACAACGACCTCCTCCCAGTTCTTACTTTCAATGTCGAATGCCCATACATCATTCAACATCTTCCCCGCTCCTTGGTGGCCCAAGGAACTGGGGTCATGCTCACCAAACAAGGTGACTAAAAATGATCGGCCATTCAGACGAAGTGGCAACAAGGCACTCACACTTCGCGCGGCCGGCCCATCGTTGCCATCGGGCGGATAACTGTGCGAACTCCAAGACGCCGCTTCGGGAGAGTAAATGTCCACACTCCCTCCCTGCTCGGTATTCCCATCGAAGCCATTCATCCGATACAAATTACCATCCGCGAAGGCAATCGAGGTACCCCCGCGTGGAGGATCAAATGCCGGGGTAAGCTCAGTCCAGACCCGCTGAGACAAGTTGAAAGCCCACAGGTCCGACAACCTTCCCTTTTCGGGGCAACCAGCATGAAGGTAAAGCGTGTCTTTCCCGTCACTGGTCATACAATGATAGCTGCGAGCGGCTGGGAGATTCCTCGCGTTCGTGCCCGCAGGCAGAATGAACGACCAGGTTGTTGTCGCAGGGTCGAATTCCCAGACCGCGCCCTGCTCCTCCACCGGGGCCATTGCCACGCCACCTCGGCCTGAGAAGAGATATATCTTGCCGTTCAGGGTACAGGCGGCAGTTCCCACACGTGGCGAGGGAGAGTGGGATGTTGCAGACTTGGAAGTCATCGTGGCATTTTCTATCGAATAGCAGAGGCTTAGTCTCATCATTCAGATTCAAAGCCCTCTCGTTCACCAATATGTTGCGACTTACCACTGTCCAACGAAACAGCATGGACATCATTGTCTCGTGGCTCGCGCGGACGCAGCTCTCCGCCAAAAATGTACGCTTGATCACCAACAACCGAAAGGATTTGTGAGGAGCGACGAAGGACTTCATTCTCCAGAATCTTGTGACATAGAGCAGTGATTTTCGTCATTGTAAAGATAAGGGCTCGTTAAGGTGGATTTTGTGACTGAAGTGAGGGACAGGAAAAGTTGTCATGCCATGCCAGGGCCGACTTCTTTATATGAGCAACGATGCATTGGCCCCCTTCAGATCGACAGTAGTAAGACGGAAGTGATTTTCCATATTTTTGATCAACTTCGTATAGTTGGCGCTTTTTCGATTCGAGAATCTATGAGCGCGGCCGCCGAAAACGCCGAGAGGACCTTGGGGGCTCCCGTCGGAGGTTTCGGGGGCTTGGCGACGTGTTGCCTCCGAAATCGCCGAACGGGACTTGTCAACTCCAATTCCAACATTGTTTTAGTGTCAAGTTGATTATGTTGTTTTCGCCTTTTATTAACATGATAATAGCTTTCAATCTTCATCTAACTTGATCAGGACGTAGTCAGATCCAAGAATAACATTAAAACGCTATGTTCACGATCCGACAATGCTGATTTGCTTTTATGTGATCCAAAGCCGGTCTGCTACCAATGTTCCAAATGATCAGTGTGATTGATCTTTTTCATTCAAGTTGCTATTGGTATGCATTCACTAGAACTGGTATTTTGATGACAAAATCCATGCATATCCGATTAGTACCAAGACGACATGTCTCTCGGGTCTGTCACCACAGAACCAATAGCATCGTCCATTTCCCCTTTCACAACCTTCGCAATAAGCTCACCACCAGCGGCAGCTATGGCAGCACCACAATCAAGCATTGCCTGATCAGTACCAACGCATCTGGTTCCAAGCGTACCAGGGTCCGCACCAAGAACCTTGAATCGTTCATCTCGCAGACGATTCCAGTAAGTTTTAATCAGCATGTTCAGAGCATCCCTGCTAAGGTCTTCCTCAAATTTGTGGGCGCTGTAGCGCATCAAGCAATAACCGGAAATCTGAGAGACTGAGCCCACGCTGGACGGAACGAAGACCAGACGACGCTCTGTAGACTTGCGCAAAAGATCGAGGAAGGTCTCCGTCACGGTGAGAGTGTCTGCGAGGTTCTCGTTTATCATTTTACGATATTCCGGTTTGGAAGGCAAGCTTGTTTGCGAAACGGCGGCGGGAATGTTGACCAGGATGTCCAGACGGCCGTGGTCTGCAGCCACCTTCTCTACAGCGGCGTCCACAGAATTGATATTGGCCCCATCGAGTTCAATGGCTGACACGGTTCCCTTGACATCTTTCTCGGCTTGTAGCTTCCTCGCGGTTTCCTTTTCGTTGGCCAGTTCACGGCTACCCAGAATGATGTGGCAGTTGGGCCAGTCCTTTAGGAGCATTTTGGCTACTTCATATCCGACGCCTTTCTTTGCACCTGTATTAGGATCCAGTTTATTAGCTGAAATATTCATCTGAAATGTTATCCAGCGGGCCTGAAATTACCTGTCACCAGCACGATCTTGTTAGGAATGGGGACGTGGGCGGGTTTGAGAGAGGGCTCTGTTGAGTCCTGATCTTGAGAAGTAGTGGGTTTGATATCTGGTTCGTCGGTGCCGGCAGTAGGCTTAGGAGCGGGCTTGGACTTTTGCTTGTGATTCAGCCTGGGCTTGAGTTTGGGCCTCCTGTCTGCCGCCATGGTGTTTCTTGGGGCGGTGGAGAGGTCCTGTAGACTGTTTTGATGGAGAGCAAAAGGGATCAAAACCAAGTACAGAGAATGTAGCAAGCAGCGTCGGTTGAATACTGCTCGTGTATCAATGGGGTGGCTAGAAAAAAGAGAGGAAAGAGAGGAAAGAGAGGAAAGAGAGGAAAGAGAGGAAAGAGAGGAAAGAGAGGAAAGAGAGGAAAGAGAGACAGAGGGATGGAAGAATGGGCCACACCACTCATCTGCTCGCGCCTCGATAGCATTGCACCCTTCAGGATCAATATTTGAGATGGAGACACTACTCCAGCTTCTACTTCTACATGTATTGCATTTCCTTTTCTCTGATATCTTATACTCATTCAGGCATCAAGGCAGAAACCTTGACAAACCTCGGCAAAATTAGCCGGGTCCACTATGCCCTAAACAGGTAAAGTGCGGCTCAACTAGTACTGAGGGGGGCTCCGAAGATATAAGTACCGGCCCCGGGGCCACTTCTGTTTCCTCTTTCAACTTCCGTTGCTTTGAGCTCACATAGAGCTCAACGGAAACCACCACTTACTGTACAGATTACATTTGGCCCACCATGGCACTGTCAGATTCAGATTCCGATGACTCTGATGTCTTGATGGTCAACCCTGACGATGTCCAGGATTTTAACCAAGAAAATATTCTGCCCCTCGAAGACACTGATCTGAAGAAGATCAGAGAGTGGCTGCAGCCAACACCGTATGATCTGGAGGGCTCTGAATTTTCACGCCACCTCGAGTCATACCTGGCCGGTACAGGTCAATGGCTTATCTCCACAAACACCTATCAGCAGTGGCATGAAGGTGAAACGAACGGTTTGCTATGGATCAAAGGCATACCGGGATCTGGAAAATCGGTCATGGCTGCATCCATCATCCACCAACTACGTAAAGAAAACGTGCCAGTTCTGTTTTTCTTCTTCCGACAAATTATCGATGCAAACCATCAACCAGTTGCAGTCCTGCGGGACTGGTTGTGCCAACTCCTCCCCTTTAGTCCGAGCTTGCAGATGAAATTGAAGAAGGAATACCTCGACAATACACGCTCTATCGATAGTCTAGCTGTGAATGATCTGTGGAAAGATATCCGTTTTGCTCTCACTGCCATCCCCAAGGCTTACTGTGTCGTCGATGCCTTGGACGAAATGGACCAAGGTAATGATGAATTCCTCCAGGCTTTGGTACAGTTCAGCCAATGGCGCCCCGCCAACATCAAGGTTTTGATGTTGTCGCGCCCGGTCGTTGCAGTGGAGTCGCCTTTGAGACCATTCAATGTGCCCGTTCTGCCCTTGGATGAGCGGCTGGTCGATATCGATATCGCTGCATACGTGCAGCATCGACTGCGAAATTCACCCGTACCTGAGGAGTTTTGGACTCGCATAACTGAAGCCGTTCCCGGCCGAGCGAATGGTCTGTTTCTGTATGCCAGGCTTTCCATGGATGCATTCTCGAAACCTGGCGCCGATGCCGGAGATGTGCTCGGCAAGTTGCCCATCAACCTGAACGTGATGTATGACGGCCTACTCCGCGACCATGCGGAGCACTCCAATATCCCCAAAAACCTTCAGATCCTTATACTGCAATCCATTACACATGCCACTCGCCCTCTTCGACTTCTCGAAGTTGCTGAGATGATCAAAGCGACCCATGCTCCACTTGGATCATCTAACTTGAAAGAGATCAAGAGTATTGTCCGAGCGGCCTGTGGTCCCTTGCTTCAGATTCTTCATGACGAAACCGTGTCAGTGGTTCACCATTCTTTGACTGAATTCCTCAAGGGAGTCACTCGCTCTGCTGTCATTGATGAATTAGCTTTCCCAATTCTGGAGGCCGGCCCAACTAACCATCGACTTGCTGTCGCATGCTTGGATTACCTCATGTCTGGCTGCCTAGAAAGCATTGATGTCAAGAAGCGCAATAAGCGTGACGAATACTTCAATCCTAAAAAGATCCAGCAGAGTGAGGTTCGCCTGAAATTCCCATTTCTTGAATATGCAGCGAGCAATTGGTACATTCATACTCGCCGTGCTGCTTTGACTGGGATGGATCTATCATCCCTTTACTCGGTGATTGACAAATTTTTCGGAAGTAAGAAACAGTTCATCGCTTGGTTGGACATCGACTGGCCGGAAGTCTCTATTCAAGGTGTCACTCCGCTTCATGCTGCTGCCAAGTGCGGGCTAGCTCAGTACGCCGCGCACTTGTTTCAAAAGGGCAACGTCGACCCAAATGCTCAGAACCACAATGGGGATACGCCTCTTTACTGGGCTGCCTCTGGTGGCCATGCGGATGTTGCACAATCTCTCATTCAGAACGGGGCTGATCCGGACGGCGAAGCGAATCAAGGATACAAGCCTCTTCATGAGGCCGCCGACAAAAACCACGCTGATGTCATCAAAGCCTTGCTTGCTGCTGGTGTTGATCCAATGACGCCGAAGACAAAAGAAAGACCTGGCAGGCGCTGTGGCAATGCACCGACATCAATTGGACAGACTCCATTGATGTACGCATGTAACAATGGTCACCTCGAGGCAGTAACTGAGTTTTTACCCTATCTATCAGAGGCCAACATCATGAAAGCCCTCGGCTGGCTTTCGGGCTCAGGACACGCGGCCTGTGTGTCACTCGTTCTTCGAAAAAACGTTGTGGACATGAAATCAAACTTCGGGGCGAGTCTTTTGTTCAAAGCCTGCTTGAATGGTGACCTAGACACAATCAAGGTTCTTGTTGAAGCAGGTGCGGATCCCAATATTCGCTGTTTGTATCCAAACAACAAGCTTGGGATGCGTTATCCAAGGAGAGCCCCTTTAAAGCCAGATGAGCCCAAGGGCTTCACTGCTCTACAGGCTTTGAGTGGAATCAAAGAACGGGGCTCACCTCGCCAGATCCCGCTGGAATGTGTTTCAGTCCTCCTCCAAGCTGGCGCTGATGTTCACATGACGTGCGAGGATGATGGAAAAACAGCTTTGCACTTTGCCTGTGCAAACAACATCGATATCGTCCCACTTCTCCTGGAGGCAGGAGCGGACCCTTACGCCAAAACCGACAGGGGAGCCACCATACTACACACTGACGGAACGACTGACAGGAAGCTACTTCCCGTCCTGCTTGATTCGACAGCTGTTGATATCAGTAGAATGATACTGGAGAGCAATGGCGGACCCTTGTTCACTCGTCTTCGCGGTTACGATATGAAAAGCGCAATTGAGATGCTAAAGTACACCACGGACCTGAATCTGACCGAACCGAACGGCAATGGCTTTCTCCATGTGTTACTTGATCAGTCTCATCATACTGATCAAGATACTGCGCTTGATGCCTTGCTATCCGCTGGCGCTGACCCGAATCTTCAAAACAAAAAAGGCGAAACGCCCCTGCATACAATGAGCCGCGAAACCAAAGTTGACCTAATGTCTAAGTTGGTCAAGGCAGGTGCAGATCTTGAGATCCGGGATCTGAATGGTGAAACACCACTGTTCAAAAGTCTTTCCGGGCATTACGGCATGTCCAGTTTTGTCAAAAGCCTCTTGAGCCTAGGCGCCCGACTGGACACGCGGGACAACAAGGGCCGTACTCTTTTCCACGTATTGGCGTCCAAGGGTGATTCTCTGGACGAGTTGATCAAGATGATTGATTTTGACCCTTCAGTCGCCGATCATGAAGGCAATACGCTTGCCCTTGAGGTCGCCTTCCAAAGTGGTACTTCGGAAAAGCTGTCAACGTTCAAACATCTCAAAAGTCTCGGGGTTGATATTGGCCATCCTAATTCCCACGGGTGGACAGTCTTGCATCAAATGTCCTCCTATTCTCGGAATCATTGTCACGGGAGTCCTGCTACGGAGACAACTTTTGACTATATCCTCGCAGAATCCAAGAACAAAAGTCCCCCGGATACAGATGGGATTCAGCCTTTGCATATTGCCGCCGCGCTGTCAGCAGGTAAAGTGTTTACGCTTCTCTGCGCCGGGGCTAATATGTTCGCCGTCACAAACGAAGGCATGACAGTCCTTCATGTCGCAGCTAGATCCCGAAAAGCCGACATAGTTGGTCTTGTCCTTTCCAGAATGGTCGACCTTGATGAAGAAACACGGATCGCCTTCATCAATCGCAAAAATGCGGAAGGAGACACGGCACTTCACTACGCGTGCAGCTCTGGTCAATGCGAGACTGTCGATCTTTTGTTAGATGCTGGCGCAGATCCCAACCTGCCGGGCAAGGATGGTTATACTCCATTGAGAGCATGTGTCAATTTTGAAAAGGAAGAAGAACGACGGGATCAAATTGGCAATATCGAGGACACCAAGGCTCTCAGAGCAGCCAGCATCTGGCTTGGTATCCGAAGCCTACCACCGGCAAAAGATCAGACTGAGGACAAATCCAGGCAGTCTCAAGTGGAATACATGAATCACAAGGCTGCTTCAGGCACGACTCGTCTAGATGAGATTCTGACATCATTGGCACTGCGAAGCAAAACCCCTGCTTTAGACAAAGAATCGCTTTTGGAAGCATTCCAAGAAGCAGTATCCAATCAACGCGACTATACCGCGGAGTGTTTCCTCCGGCTGCAGAAGCGTGTTTTCCCTGACCTGAACCTGATGGAAGGGCCGGATGGCGACGGCTTTGCCCTGTGCAACAGTCGGCTCCAAGCCGAAAGATTGTCTCTCAAGGAGAGAGAAAGGTCGCTACTGGAATTCACGAAAGCAAATGGTGGAAGCCTCAATATCCACTACGAGCAAATGATTCGGTATCTTCGTCTTCGGCAATACGGTCTAGTCGAGGAAATGGCTTCACAAGCCGATATCCTCCGGCTAGAGTACTCCAATATCTCTCTTGTTCATTTTCTTGTGGATGATGGGCTTTCAGAACTCTTGGGTCGTGTCTGCACTCCAGAGCAGGCTCAAAAGTTTGATGACCCCAAATGGTGCGAGTACAATGAGAATAACTGTACCCGCGAGGGTTCTCGCATGCGTGGCAACAATAGGACAGTGCCGCTCCTGGTGCACGCATGCAACCGTGACTTGCCAAATATGAAAGTGGTCCGAACACTTGTGGAAAATATGGGGGTGAACATCGATGCAAAGTACAGGTCAAGAAGATGGGTTGACGATAGGCATAAGAACGTGCTGGATGGTGCCGTTCTACATAACCTCGCTCATGGCAGTACTTGGTGGAGCGTGCATCAGGCTTTGCCATACCTGATCAGCAAGGGTGCAAATCTGGAGCTGGGCAATGACAAGGGGGATACACCTTTGCATATCGCCCTCGACTACAACAAGTCCAAAGGCGTCTTTTACAGAGATTCTGTGGACATCCTTTTGGATCATGGCGCAGATGTCAACGCCGTCAATGCCAACGGGGAAACCTGCCTTTCAAAGGCTGGCGCTGATATTGACTTGGTCAATTTGCTTCTGTCTCGTGGCGCCACAATTACTGCCAATGCCATCTTCGCCGCCATTCAGCTTGGCAACGTTGATTTGCTGGAGCTCTACCTCTCCCATGGTGATGTCGCCAACATGCGACGGCCTGCGCCAAAGGTCCTTGATTGGCCTGATAGAACCGAAGACCCCAAAATCTCAACTGCTGAGCAGTACCCTTTGTTCTTTGCAGCAACTCACAGATCCGTTGGTTCCTCCCCTGAGAACAAGTCAAATGTTGATCCCATCCGAACTGCCATGATGGTAGCGCTTCTCCGGAATGGTGCAGACCCATACGCTACATTCATTGAGCTCCATCCAGTAAAAGATGACTCTCTCAGTGATAGCGAAGATTCGGACTCGATTGATCTGGGTCCTGGTCCCATAGAACGATGGGAACCCGAAACCCGCACTGTCATCCATGAGATCTTGGCTCGAGCGAAAACGGACGTGTTGGAGCCACTGCTTCAACTGCCATCTCTCCAACTGGAATGCCGAGATTGCAAAGGGAGAACTTTGATCCTTTGTACCACTGAACCCGACGTGATTCGGCGCCTTGTCGACCGCGGGGCCGACCTTACCGCTCAAGACAAATCTGGCAAGACCATTGTTCACGCACTCGTACAACACTCAGCTAAGGAAGAAATCAGCATAATGCGAGCTCTCCTTGACAAGGATCCTAGCATTGTGCAGAAAGGGGATGAAGCCGGTGATACCCCGCTCCACTATGCGCTTCGCGAAAATTTCATAACGTTCGAACATGTCGATCTACTACTCGGATACGGTGCAGATCCGCACCAACCCGATTCGAATGGCGATACAGCTCTCCATATCCTTTGCAGAAAGGCATCGGAACACAAGGCACGCATTGAGCAGTTCTTGGCCTTCGGTCTGGACATCAACGCCCGCAACAAGAAAGGCGAAACTCCACTCATGCAGTATCTTGCAGAGGGCGGATTACGACACAATTTGTTCTCATACATTGGCGACAGTTCTAAGGACAATGACAGCCTGCTCTTCCTCCAGCGTCTGGGTGCAGATTTCCACGCACGAAACGACGCGGGGATGTCGATGCTTCATATCGTTGCTGGGAGGACGTTGCGCAATGCTCATATTGCTCGTGATAATGAGCTCAAAGATCAACATGAAAACCTTGTCAGCTGGTTCAATTTCATCATGGGCTTGGGTGTCGATCCTATGGTTGAGGATGCTCAACAGCGAACTTCTTTGGATCACGCTGCTGCTTGTGGCAATGAGCATATCTTGAAACTGTTCAAGCAGAAGGACGCTCAGGGGTGATGCAGGGATGCGCTCCTGGATTCCCGGTCATTCTGTGATATTCAGGGGTTTCCCGGGGTCTTTCAAGATCTCTTCTATGCAGTCATAGTGATAGTGATCCTTGTTATTCATCGATTCTTATTCTAAGGTTCCCATAGCTAATGCCAAAGCACTTTAAGATACAGAGTATGACTTTCTATCCCCATCTACTGATTTAATTTGCACCATAACTTGTCCGGTGGAAGGGAGGTAGCGATCTGATTAAAGTAAAGCCGGCCCCCGGGGGCGTACAGCTACCGCGGGCCGACACACGGGCTCCCGCGGGGATCCCGGTTTCATCCATGGATCCCGTGTCCACACGTGCTCCCGATTCCGGATGATTAAGCGGGGCTTCCCGTGCTCCGTGTGGTCTAAGAACCCGATGAGAACACAGCCCCATTGTATTGTCTGTACGAGTAGCGACACTTGAGGATCAGATAACCCGTAGGATCAATGTGGTGAGATATAAATAGACTAGGTACAGCCCCAGAAACGTTCTCCTGAAGTCAAACCCTAAACCTTGGCATGAAGTCATACAATTTCTTTCTGCACAGGGAGAAATAAACTTTAGAACCGTTGCTCGAGTGTGATATGTATGTACGAGTAGAAATGTGTTAGCGTATCACTTTAGCATCAGAAAATGCACAATCCATGGAAGGTTCAAGTTCAAAATTGAGTATACGTTGACTCGTTTTTGAGCCACCTCCCGAGCCTCGGGGCCGAGAATCATGATTTTCACGGATTACCCGAATTATCATCGGGATGACGTATTTATACAGAACCGAAGTGACGATTTACTAATTAATGAGTGTGCATTAGCAGAGAGCTATGGATGATATGCACTGTGTGATAATTCTAGACTTACTCGTATGTGTACATACGAGTTCTTCGTACGAGTACTCGTACATAGTAGATCTCCGTACTGATTCTATGACGACATCCATTTTATCCCGAAGTCAGACTCCAAGGTCCCTCCAGCTTCTGCTCCTACTGTACTCCGTACTCGCACTCCATTGCTTCGTACACCACACATCACCTCCACTTGGGCACCTGGGCATGTCTATCACCTTAAACCAATTTGGGCGTCGCTAAGGCCTCATGCAACGTCTGGACCCGCTGGCCTTGTTTTATCACAGAGAATACTTCCTTGTATTCAGCTTCTGGGCCTTCAAATCCTCATCACGTCACAACTCATCCCCTGATGAGTGGGTCTGTAACGCAACTATTCTGCATGATTGTCGTGGATCGACAACTTCCGTGAAGATCATTCTCGAATAATTTCCCCTTTCCAGTCAAGCTTACGAACGAGGTGAATGATCTTCAGAGGTCAATTTTGGATTTGAAGTCAAGTTGTCCAGCCTTACGAGTATATCTTAGGTATCTTTTCTCTGAAGAATTGATCTAATCAGATTATCCTCAGACACATTCAGCAATAGGTAAGTAAGCATCCTACACCTACACCGTCACCTTGGGATGACTTTTTCAACAATAAATGACATAAACTAACGCTCTTGAAAGTCTGATAAAAAAAAAACATAACTGTCTAATTACACAATGGTGGCCACCCTGACATCCCGGGCGCTGCTCTGGACAGCCATTCTGGCAGCACTGGTCCCAAGCTCCGCTGCATTCTCATACGACCGAGAAGAAGATGGCCCTGTCAATGTGACGAGGAGTCAAGACATTTTCTCCGCTGAATCCGAAGCTAAAATGTCGGCAAATGCAACGGAAGAAGGCGAAGTAGGTCATCCCCTGAGTTAATACCTCACGATACAAGCTAACCGGTCGTCTAAAGGGCCACGGTGATATTAAAGTACCGGATGGGGCTAAATTCACCTCATTCGCCGTGAACCAAAAGGGCAACGAGGAGATCGCCGGTTTCATTTCAGAAGATTACAACATGACATCACTAGAGCATCTCTATATTGTCATTCACGGGAGACTCCGAGATGGAAACGGGTACTGGAAGACCCTGCACAATGCCATCAAGGACGCCCGAGAAGACAATTTCTCCGGAACGGACCGCAAAATGGCAGTTCTCGCGCCGCAGTTCTTCTCCAAGAAATACAACTTGGGCCAGTACGAGAGCAATCAGCTGGCCTGGGATGATTTGAACGCATGGCAGCCTGGTGGCCAAGCTAGCCACCCTGAAAACACCACTCTGACCTCCTTCGATGTCCTGGACGGTCTTGTCAAGCTTCATTCAGACAAGACGAAGTACCCGAGCTTGACCAATGTTACGGTCGTTGGCCATGGTGGTGGTGGTCAGCTTGCACAGCGGTACTCGGCTGTTGGCAGTAACCCCCCTGATAATGTGCATCTTCGATACATTCACGGTGACCCATCATCATGCATGTATTTCACCAAAGACCGTCCAATTCTCCCAGACACCAAGGCATCGAACGAGACCTGCAATGACTTCAATGTCTGGCGATACGGTTTCGACAAATTCCCCGGCACAGCAGACAAGCCAAAGACTCCAAAGGAGTATTTCGCTCAGTATGTGAGTCGCGATGTTGTCTCCATCGTCGGAATCGATGACACAGGAAGCTCTGGTGATACGAGTTGCATGGCACAGGTGCAAGGAGGTATCAATAGGCGTGCTCGTAACCTGGTGTGGTACCGGTATATCAATGAGCTTGCGCGTACGGATGAAGAGCTAGACGGATTCCCTGGCTCATTCGAGGATCTTCCGGACTGGAGTGATGCTGTCAATGGGACGAGCAGACTGCGACTCGTTGCTGTTCAGGGTGTCGCTCATAATGCCGACAAATTGTTTGCGACAAAACTTGGACGGGGGGCGCTCTTCCACGATCGCCACATTGATGGAGGCTGGCGTCCTGAGGAGGATGACAATTAAATATTATTCTAAATACATACAGCGTGATAGATTATAGATTTCAAGGCGCAATAATAGGATGCCTCTTCACGTTCCAAGGTCAAATCTCGCCCTCCCTGTATTTTCTTTCTTTCCTGTCTCCAATAATCATCTTGATATTACAATAGCACATCATCTGCCGTTTTGGGTTGATCCTAGCTCAGCAGGTAAGGCGTAAAGCTCATGAGAGCCCGGCTTTGCCTTCTGGCCGTCATCGCTCAGTGTCTGGGCCGTGGGAAGCCCGTTTGGGTCTGTTTTGGGGTCCTGGTTGTAGCCACCTGTTGGTGTCGATTCCATCTCTTGCGGTGATGGTCGATTGCGCCGTCGGAATATGAGAAAGCCCAGCGCTGCCAATGTTGCTAAGCCACCGATGCTCACGCCGACACCGATTCCTGCTTTGGCCCCTGTCGACAGACCCTTTGTCTCAGATGATGCATTTGGACTGGATGCGGCAGTATTTGTGATTGTTGTTGAGCCAGTTGTGCTGGAAGAAGTCGTGGTCGCTGTAGACTTGGACTGAACGCGGAATCTTGGTGAGGATATATGGGTTTCGAGGTTGTAAGGTTTACCGGCCGGGACAAAAACAAAACAGTACTCCTTGGTTTTTGATAACTCTTTCTCGTCAATCTTAATCGTCCAATCGATCGATTGCTTTCCACTGGAGATGTCTATTGAGACGTCTGTAATAGATTGTTAGTTCATCATCTCACACTGTAAGGCTACCTAAGGGGGTAGAGATAACTTACTGTTTATTGATTCATTGAATGTGGATATTTTCGGGTTCCATGCAGCCACGTATAAATTCGCTGTCTTGCTCTTGTTCATACTGTGGTCTATCTGTGATTTGCTGAAGCCTTCCCATTGAATAGGAAACTTGTAGCCAATGGGATGTGTCTCGATGGAAGCCCTATTATCAGGCTTAATCCAGCGGTCCTTCGCATAATCAGCGCTCTCAGCGACTTGAGCCACAAACGCCAGGATCAGCCAAAGCCATCTCAAGCTGGTCATGTCGAAGGCCCAAATGCAAAATGCAAAATCTCCGTAGTCTGGTTGCAGCAAAGGCGATAGTTCGTTTGATTCTTAAGGAGATGGGAGTTGAAAGGAGAAATCGGTCAATCCAGGAGACTTGCCGTTGAGCCCACTAGAGCAAGGAAGCAATCATAAGGAGTTTGCGGTACAGAGTACAAGCGATGTACTTCTGGGCAGAAGGATAAGAAAAGAGAGGGAGAAAGAGATGGACACAGAAGCAGTTTGGAGGGAGAGAACAGGCAACATTTTTCAGGGCATAATCCCTTACAAGTTCCAATATGCACAGCTGCTAAACCCTGCTATTCGGAAATGAACGGGCAGATCCCGACATGCGCCCGGGTGCGAGGAGACGAATGTGATACATAGATGATCTGTGATCTGGGATAGTACTCCATATCTCAAGTTTCGGTTCAATCAGACCTGCTCTGGCCACGCCTCGATATTTCAACCCATTTTCTGCACTCGCGGGTCATTTCAACAATGTAACATTAGCTCAGCGGTGCGTACGAGTCATGAGTGGAGGCATAAAAAGCAATTAGTTGGCCGTATGCGCCAAGACAAGGTTGTCTCCTTGGCAGATGAGATCTACATTCTAGATTCCTCGTTTCAGCCGTTTTGCACCCTACTCATCCACCAGCCCTGGAGCTGCTACGGGTAATCTTGAAGCTCTTATAATTCATTGCACAATACTCTGTGAATCAAGTGAACCACTAGAACCATTATATCTGGTGTCACAGTTCCGCACTCCCATAAGGGTGATCTCTACGAAATACACTCCTTCAAGTCTTTCAGGTACCCAAAGACGTCAAAACAACCCTGCTCTCTCCCATGTGCGTAAGGCGCAAACAACGTGAGATCATCCATGGACGGAGATGAGGCTGATTGAAGAACTTGACCAATCACAGCCCTTGGTGCACAGACCCTTTGAAAATCCAGACTGTTTTTATGTGGGAGTAGTTAGTGAGTAGAGTATGGGGTACAATGGATTCAAGATGATGTGAGTAGATGCCAATAAAATTTACAGAGGAATCTGTTTCATTCGTTTTCTCAAGATGGTTGTCGCCCAGATCGATACGATGTCTCCCGAGGTTGATCTTGTAGTTGAATTCAGCCCCCAAATCCTCGTATGATTACTTCGGAAGAACCAATGATCCTGAAATCTGCCCCTGACGGCAATGATCTTCTTGTTTGAACATACCCCGTGCGGAGTACATAGTCGCTTAATACACAATGTCGCAGCCTGCAACAGTCACCAGATATGCGAGTGAGTACCACATCTACACGTCTTTTTTCTCTTGCAGAATCATCAATTTTGACAAACGATCTTACCAATTAGGCCCCAATGAACGACGTACCATCAGTCGTGAGGACGTTGGGTTCTACCATGCACTAGTGATTGGAGCCATTTATGAAATCCCAAGTGATGCTATAGATGTTAACTCGGCTCGCTCATTCATCTCACCTTTGACATGCTGCGTCCAAGAATACCCGTACCTCGGCGTGGTTGTCAAAGACAAAGATACCGAGCAATCATTTTATGAGGCATGTTCGAGTGTCAACCTCGAACATCACATTTCTATCATTCAAAAAGATCCCAGTAGCGATGGAGAAAATGCCACTATCCAGCAATGCCTGCCAGAAATCCTTGACAGACCCTGGCTAGCCGATTTACCACCTTGGCGAATCGTTGTGGTTCCTCTTACGCCGGAAGCTCCCGGGTTGAGTCGCTTTTTCGTTGCATTTGCATTCTCACATGCTCTCGGTGATGGCATGGTCGGGGTAGCATTCCATCGCACCTTTCTGAACGCGCTTCGACGATCGTCTGGTTCCAAGGACGATTCGTTCCTAGTAACTCTGCCAAGCAAAACACTTGCAGAACCCTTCGACACACCCGAACGACTTCCCATCTCATGGAGCTTCCTCCTAGAGCCCCTGATCGCGGTGTATTTGCCGAAATTCATTGGAAAACTGCTCGGACTGCGCGCTGCCGCCAGTACTGTAGATGCCGGCACATGGATCGGACCACCCATGTTCTTTGACCCGACCGCCACGGAAACAAGCAGAGTAAAGATTCTTGAAATCGAAGCTCTGCTTGTTCAAAATGCTGTCCGGGTTTCAAGAAGCCATGACACCAAGCTCACCGGGACGATACATCAAATGATCATTCGGGCTTTAAGCAAGGCCATTCCCGACGCCAGTGTTACAAATTTCGTGTCCGCCACCCCGGTTGATATGCGGGCATCTATCGGTACCCCCGGTCTGACATGGGGTCTGTTCGTTTCGGGGTACTATGGCGTACATCCTCGTCCTTCCGGCGCGGAGGCTCCCAAGTTGTCCGAAGAGTCGTGGACGTCTGCTAGCACGATGACAAAGGGAATGTCTGCATGTGCTGCTACCCTCCAGGATCAAGCGATCGGGCTGTTGAGATATGTCCCTGGAATCCGGAAGTGGACTTTAAGTAAATTGGGCCAGCAGCGGGATTCCTCGTACGAGTTGAGCAACCTGCTTGCTTTTGATAATTCGGATGAGGGCCATCGGTGCAGGGTCTCTAAAATGGTGTTCTCGCAACCCGGCAATGTCACTAGTGCACCTCTGGTATTTAACGTCATCAGTGTGAAGGGAGGCAGCTTGACCTGCACTGTGAGTTGGCAAGCTGGAGCTCTGGGTGTACCGCTTCACGAGGAGCGGGCATTCGTTGATGGAATATGTCTGTCAATTCGAGCGGATTTCGAGACTTTGGAGTAGGTGAAAACGTTCTTCACGGTGTAAATTATATTCTTCTCACGCCAACCTAATAGTATGTTTCACCTTCGTTAGTAACCAGACACCAACCGTAGAGTGACAATTGAAAATAAACAAAGGACGATGTGCCAATTGCGATCTGACCTTCAAATCTAACGCGTTCTGATTGGCTGCCAGGTCGACACCTTGGCGCCTGAACTTCCAGGCAGAAAAATCAGATAAGACTAGTCCCAATGCAGAAGGCGGTCTCCCAACTTTTTTTTTCTTCGGCGTCAAGATCTTTGCGGAACTGGGTCTTTCAAGGTTGTCACTCATCAATTCCAATCATGTCTGACGAAATTGTCTGGCAGGTTATTAACCAGCAGTTCTGCTCCTACAAGCTCAAGTGAGTATCATTCTCCCCCAATATCCCTCCCCAGATCTTTCACCTCTGGTCGTCTTGGATCAAAAAAAACAAGAAAAAGACTGTAGACTAACAATACCTCCAGAACCACAAAAGAGCAGAACTTCTGTCGCAATGAATACAACGTCAGCGGTCTGTGCAACCGCCAGTCCTGCCCCCTGGCCAACTCGCGATATGCGACTGTCCGAACCGACCCCGAAACCGGTGTCATGTACCTGTACATGAAGACCGTCGAACGAGCCCACATGCCCAGCAAATGGTGGGAGCGAGTCCGCCTGTCTTCCAACTATGCCAAAGCACTCGAGCAAGTCGATGAGCGACTCATCTACTGGCCTAAATTCCTGACCCACAAGTGCAAGCAGCGTCTCACCCGTCTGACGCAAGTGAACATCCGCATGAAGAACATCGCCAAGGAAGACGAGCGTCTTGGTGAAAAGCTGGTGCCCAAGCTGGCGCCTAAGATCCGTCGTCGTGAGGAGACTCGTGAGCGCAAGGCCGAGTCTGCTGCTAAGGTTGAGAGAGCCATTGAGCGTGAGCTTATTGAGCGTCTGCGCAGTGGTGCTTACGGTGACCGACCGCTCAATGTTGAGGAGGGGATCTGGAAGAAGGTTCTCCGGGGACTTGAGCGGGCTGGTGACGGTGAGCGTGATGTCGATATGGATGATGGTGAAGAGATCGAGGAGGAGGAAGAGGGTGTTGGCGAGGTGGAGTATGTCAGTGATCTTGATGAGGAGGAGGATCTCGAGGATATGGAGGATTGGCTGGGTGTGGACTCGGCTGACTCTAGTGATGACGATGAGGATGCTGATGAGAGCGACGAGGACAGTGAGGAGGAGTCCAGTGAGGATGAAAAGAAGCCCAAGCCTAGTGCTAAGCGGAAGGCAGCACCTGCTCCCAGCAAGCCTCGCAAGAAGGGACCTCGCATCGAAATCGAATACGAGACCGAGGGTGCTGGCAAGGACCAAATCATGGCATGATTGGAGATTTGGAAAAAAAGTTCACCGGATCTTGCATGGCGTTCGGGTTTTTGTTTTATATTCTGTGCTAGTGATCGGGCATCATACCCTGTTATTGCATTTACGATACTAGTTTTCAATGTCTATTATTTCGTCAACTGTCTTTCCCCAGTTAACACCTGAGAAATCAGGTTTATAATATCACGTGAAGTGACCTGTCCAGAGTTCATTCCAAGCCGGATAAGCTCGAAGACACGCAATATTGATAATCCGGATATAGATCGCACTCCATTGCAGCTCTAGAATCTGAGTGAGGATGAAATGCAACTGATTATCATGATGGATGGGCATCCTTGCTTAAGTGGCCTACTCAAATCACCTCCCATAGACGAACAGACCTCGTTGATGATGAATACTATCCGAACGGTGATCTTCACACATACTACGAGAACCATCAGGTCTCATCGGAGCGTCGATCATGATGGTTCCCAAATTATTGAGGCTATTTAGTCATTCATCAGCAGGCAGACTTACTCGGGTCTCGCCTTACAGTAACTTAGAATATTTCATTGACTGCAAATTCAATCTACGCCTTGGCGATTTCAACTCATCCCAATATCCTGGGCATCCCGCGCTTGAAGGCTGTTGGAGTGATGATTTTCGTCGGCAGCAGAGGTATCTCAGGTATAGAAATCCATCTATCGTTTATTCTCGTTCCTGACCCTTCCAAAATTAGTCCTTTCGGGTGCGTTACCATAAAGATGTCGTTATATATTTTCCGAGGAAACAAGCAAATATCGGCTTTGGTCAATCAACAGAGTAAGCTGAGTCCTTTTCCAAGGTTGCCTCTAAATATTTATCAGCAAGATCCATGACCTCGCGAGATAATCTTCTGAGACCATTGGTTAAATGGCAAGTGTACAAAGAACTTCCTCGAGTCTAGCCCACTATTTCCTCTTTAGGTGCCAATCAAACCTGAGTTTTCAGGCTCCAAGCCAGTTGACCACGTGAGCGGATGGACATCTGGACATTCGGTTTCACTTCGGTTTCACTTTCTACTTCACCCTCAGGAGCCGGTTCTTCTGTGAAACTAATAAACTGTTTTCTCAAGTGCGATAATCTTCAATCTTCAATTCTTTGTCCGCCACTTGCGCACCTCAAGCTCCAAGCTCCGAACCCCACCCCGCATTCTAAAGTTCAGCTCCCGCGCTGCAGACCGCGCATCATCCAACCTTGGAAAGCACAACATGAGCTCCTACTTCTCGTCCTTGACCACCTCGTCGGCCATTTCTGGTCTTGGCTCTCGGCTCACCAATCTCCGCCGCGCCATCACCCTCGGCGACGAGGGCGACGACCCAGACAATGAAGACTGCTCTCACATCTCCAACGCCCTCCGCGCCTACTACACAGAGAAAGGCCGACCATTCCCACCCTGGCTACCCCAAGATCCCAAAGCACCAGCACCAGCCCCCTCCCGCACAATCGCCACCTCGCAACACCCCTCCGGCCAAGCTCCCGTCCAAGGTCGGAGTGGCGGTCTAGGCGATCTATGGGGTGATTCCGGCGCCCAGCAAAACCAGCAAAACCCCCAAACAGCCAGTCTGCGTCGCGGCCGCGGGGGAATGGCACCACCACTTGCATCTGCCAACAGTGCGCCCTCGGGCCAATCTGCGTCCTCTACGCCACCCCTCACTCAATCACACTCCTACTCGCCTGCCGCCTCGGGGAATCTCCACCCGGGCGGCGCGCGACCACTCCCCAGTCAGCGATCTGGATCGTCTCAGTCTTCGCAGAGTCGACCAAATCTCGACCGTGCTGGTTCTGGTGGTGGCTCTGCTCAGGATCGTCTCAGGGCCAGATTGCAGGGCGGCAGATCCCCCAGTCCTAATATTGATCCGAGTGTTCGGAAGCCGGTTGGCTTGCCCCGACGGTGAAGCTTGCATTGCAAAGCATGGCGCTGGAGTTATTATATTTGTACATACATTTCAATGAAAGCTTGAATCGGATGATCGGATCGATGTGTAGCCTGTACGTGGTGCTTGGCAGGCGGAATTTCCGAGCTTCTTGTCTGATCTGTTTTTGTCTGCAGCATACATGGGCGGATCCGATACTCAGCTTCAAGTCTCAATGGACCGCGAATAGGTATATTGGCTTGCGGGAAACAACTTTCGAAAAACCACAATCTGCCCTTGATTTGAGTCTTCCTCACTGAGTACGAGTAAAACACCAATTCCAAGCAGACCAGTGAAGCTCGATCCAGGTTTGGAAGAACATCTTCCAGTCGAGATGTCAATCTCACATGGTACCACATCTGGTTTTCTCCGACGTCTCGCCGACCTCCACGAGGAAACCCCAGATCATTAGAACATCAGTCAAACCATGCTCAGAGGCTATGTGAGTGACGAGCAAGGCTGACATTCTCTTTTCTGGCAAGATCTCTTTCTGTCGGTGTCGACTTCACCATACGGACCATAGCCAAGCAAAACAAGCATGGCTAAGCCTTGAGACAACGGGAAGCCGGGTCTTCCAGAAATAAGGCCGACTTCTATTGTACGAGTACGCAGCTGCTGTGCTCGATATGCGGTCTGAGCGTTAATTCGCCCATCACTCTGCTGCATCCTGAACGGGACATGAGATATGGTGCAATATCATTCGTCGAGAGCCTTGCATTCCGGCCTTGATTCTCATTCTTATCCCTGCACTCGACTACGCTTTTGCCTCCGGTGATCCCGTGTTTGCTGCCCCTCTCCTCTCTTGTTCTCGGATAGTTGGTCCCGATTCTCCTCTTTTCCCCATACCGTGGAGTGCATATACTCCACATTGCATCTGGCGTGCTCTATTGACTGGGCTGAACCCCGCCTCCATGCCGTGCGTGGCAGATAGGATCCGTCATTCCAATTCGGTATTTATAGTTCTGCATTCCCACTGAATTTGACAGTCGCGGGCTGTCTACACGTTGCCATATAATCGGGAGCCGTCGACTTTGTTTTGTCGCTGTCATTTTGAATGCCAAAAGACTTATCCCTCCCAAGGGATATAACATACGATGCCTGACTCTAAAGACGTCGAGGCCCACGACACCAACAACGAAGAGAAGGATATCGCTCAGGAAGCAGACGATGTAGCCGACGCCAAGCTACATAATGGCCTGACCGAGGCAGCGATGGATGCCGAGCTACAGCAACTGGAAGCTCAACTACACGAGCTGCCAAAGTCTCGATTTGACTTCTCTATGGCCAGCCCGAAGAACTTCACATACATCCTTGTTGCGTTTGCATCGATGGGAGGTATGCTCTCTGGTCTGGACCAGTCGCTCATCAGTGGTGCAAACCTCTTCCTGCCCAAGGACCTTCATCTTTCATCTGCCGATAACAGTCTTGTCAATGCCGGTATGCCACTCGGCGCTGTGGCCGGTGCTCTCATTCTTTCTCCGGCAAATGAATACCTCGGTCGTCGCATGGCCATCATCGTCTCCTGCGTCTTATATACTATAGGCGCAGCCCTAGAAGCTGGCGCCATAAACTTCGGAATGATATTCGCCGGTCGATTCATTCTCGGTGCCGGTGTCGGTTTAGAGGGCGGTACTGTCCCCGTCTACGTTGCCGAATGTGGTATGTCCAAAACACTACCCTTGAATGATCCAAATTAACCAAGCAAGTCCCCCGTAAAATCCGCGGAAATCTCGTCTCCCTATACCAACTCAACATTGCCCTCGGCGAAGTCCTCGGCTACGCCGTCGCAGCAATGTTCGTCAGCGTCCCCGGAAACTGGCGCTACATCCTCGGCTCATCCCTCCTCTTCTCCACCATCCTCTTCATAGGCATGCTCTTCCTCCCCGAAAGTCCCCGCTTCCTCATGCACAAAGGCCGGGAGATCGAAGCATACGCTGTATGGAAGAAAATCCGGGGATTCGTCGAGCACGAGGCCAAAGACGAATTCCTAGGCATGCGGCAAGCCGTCACAGCCGAGCGCGCAGAACAAGCCACGAGTAAGTACGCCTGGATGGACTTCTTCACTGTTCCGCGTGCCCGGCGCGCAATGGTCTACGCCAATATCATGATTTTCCTGGGCCAATTCACAGGCGTGAATGCAGTCATGTATTACATGTCGACACTAATGCAAGCCATTGGCTTCGACGACAAAGACGCCGTCTTCATGTCCCTCGTTGGTGGTGGATCATTGCTCATCGGCGCAATCCCAGCCGTGCTATACATGGAGCGCTTTGGTCGTCGGTACTGGGCCAACGTGATGCTACCTGGATTCTTCATCGGACTTGTCCTCGTCGGCGCAGGATATACTATCGATATCCACAAGTACCCATCTGCAGCGCAGGGGGTCTATCTCACTGGTATTATTTTGTATATGGGGTTCTTTGGCTCGTATGCCTGTTTGACGTGGGTTGTGCCGTCGGAGGTGTTTCCGACGTATCTTCGGTCCTATGGAATGACGACTGCGGATGCGAATCTCTTTTTGTGTTCGTTTATTGTGACTTATAATTTTACGCGGATGATGGAGGCTATGCATCGGATTGGATTGACGCTTGGGTTTTATGGGGGGATTGCGGTTGTGGGTTGGGTTTATCAGGTTGTTTTTATGCCTGAGACGAAGAATAAGTCGTTGGAGGAGATTGATGAGTTGTTTTCGTTGCCTACTTCTGTTATTGTGAAGCGGAATTTGAAACAGAGTGCGCTGGTTGCGAGGGATTTGTCGAGGTTGAGGTTGAGGAAGGTTTTTTTGCCTGAGCCTAGGTCTGTTTAATATGTTCTATTCTCTAAAAGTATTCTATGTTATGGGGAGAAATAGATTTATTTTTGTCTAGTAATCTAGTCGATCGAGGAACAAGTTGCCACCGTCAGCGCTAAATGCGCACTAAAATGAATCATCGTGAATCAAGTGGAGACTGTCTGACAGTCATGACTTGTCATTCACTTTAGAATACTTAAAACTATTTAAATACTTGAATTCCCTGTTCAATTACTATCACTCAATACTCTATACAAACAACAAGAAACAAAATGTTAACCTTCTACGACGTGGCCATGGGTCCCCCCCTCCACCAGCGCAACAGCGCCGTGAATCCCTGGAAGTCACGACTGGCCCTGAACTTCAAGAACATCCCCCACCAAACCACCTGGGTCCCCCTCCCCAACATCACCAAAGTCCGCACCAACCTCGGCATCCCCGCCTGTCGCAAGTTCGCCGACGGCACAGACTTCTACACCCTCCCCATACTAACCGACCCCACCACATCCGCCAAGATCGGCGACTCCTTCGACATAGCCATCTACCTGCACAAACAATACCCCAACTCAGGCGGCAATCTCTTCCCACCCCAACCCCTAGAATACACCTACGATCCAGGCGTGGATATCCTCGTCCCACTGTCAGATATCAACGAATCAGAGTACCCGCAATATGCACGGTTCAACGCAAATGTCGACGCAGTCTTCACAATGCATACCATGTTAATGGTTGGCGGAATGCCATTTGATCCTGAGACAGAAGATGAGGCGAAGAAGGAATTCCTGCGGCGTGCGGGGCTGAGTTCCTGGGATCAGTTTGCGATTGGGGTGGAGGCGAGACAGCAGATGCTGCAGTCTTTTGAGAAGGCGCTGGCGGATTTGGCGAAATTGTTTGGGGATGGTCCTTTTATTACGGAGGAGGCTAGTTATGCGGATCTTATTGTGGGGGGTTGGTTGCGGATGGCGAATCGGACTTTGCCGAAGGAGGAGTGGGAGGCTTTGAGGGGGTGGCATGGGGGTGTTTTTGGACGGTTGCATGATGCTTTGGAGGTTTGGGCTGGTGTTAATTAGTATACTATATTGGTACTATATTGGATGGATCTGAACTATACAGCCCTATGGATTTCAATTGGGACTGTTCCCAATAAGCTCTGATTCATTATGATAGGAACAAGTATCCATTCTAAGACATAGAAGGCATGCTTTGACTCAGTACTTGAGATATCATCTAACTAGAATGTTCCAATTAAGCAGCAAAGCCCAGTCACCTAAGCCCTGTTGTAAGGTTCCTCTTTGTCCAAAGTACCTCTAGAGCTATGGGCTCATACTGCAGGAAATGGGGTAAATAGGAATATCAAATTTAGCAGTAAGAGAGGTCAAGAGGAAGAAAAAGAGCAATAAGAGAGGCTAAGAGAAAGTTAAGGAGCAACTTTCTAACTCCTACCTCCAATAGCTCAATTGGATTATGCACGCAGGGTTCGCCTCTTCCTTCCGGGGTTGAGTTCCTCACTTTGGTGTTGAATAGCCACCTGCTAGCGTCAACTGTGCCAGTAATTTGATGCTTGCGCGTTCGAGTCTTGACGGAGTCGATTGGAATTTATTCCTTTCTTTCCTGAAGACGCGTTTAAAGCCTGTCACTCTACTGGATGGTGAAAGCCGGAGGATAAGCACAACTGGTCTCCTGCGCACGGCCAACTCATATGAAGCTCGTGAAAAGGGAGTTGTAGTTTCTGGAACCAACAAGAGGAATAGCTGCCTCTTAACATCTTTTTTTTTGCCTTCTTCTCTAAATACTCTATACCTACGTTGTTGGATTGTATGTTTCCTAATCGGGCAACCATGTTTGCACTGTTTGTGTCTTCCATATCTTCACAGGCCGAGGCACGACCCACTACACTAACGCTTAAGTAGAACAACTAACCAACTTCAGCACATTCTATTTCTAGTGCTTATCCCGTGAAGACTCTAGGAGAAAGACTCCAGAGAGAAAATAGCCCCCAACAGTAATAGCCCCCAAAACTTTTTAGAAGCCAGCAGAACTGCCCACTTTATATACCAAAGTAAATCCCACCCCAACTCCACAAGTCAATTGAATCCAATCCCTTCCCTTCCCAACCCTACCTCCAAGTGAAACACAATGCACAAAACCCCCGGCGCCGACGGCGCCTGGATGTACAACCGCATCATGCTATCCATCTACGACATCTGGGTCCTGGGCATCGTAAACACCTACGCCTGGCACTGTCCGACAAAAAGCATCCAACTACCATTTTTCCAAAAACACCTCAGCACACGCCACCTGGACATCGGGCCCGGAACAGGCTACTACCTCGCTAACGCCGGAATCCCATCCACCACCAGCGTGGACGTTCTAGACCTGAACCCGAATTGTCTGGATGATGCGAAGAGAGCACTCAACAGGCCTGGTATGACTACATTCCTGGCTGATGTGCTTGAGCCACTGCCTTTGCGGGAAAAGTATGGATCTATTTCGATGTTTTATTTGATTCATTGTTTGCCTGGGCCTTTGGAGAGGAAGATGGGGTTGTTTAAGAATTTGAAGGGGTTTTTGGAGGAGGATGGGGTGGTTTATGGGACGACTATTCTGGGGACGGGGGTTTTTAATTGGTTTGGGAGGGTTATTATGCATTTTTTGAATAAGGGGAGGGTTTTTGATAATCGGGGGGATGGGGAGGTTGGGATTAGAGAGGCTTTGAAGAGGGATTATAAGGTGGTTAGGACGGAGGTGGTGGGGAATATTTTGTTTTTTGAGGCTTCGCAGCCTATTTTCTAAAAATGTTCCAAGGTTTCTACTTAAGTAATTTTGAATGAAGATTTTAGATCCAACGTTGGAAGTGATGTGGTTTACATTGGCCTGTTTCGCTCTAGAGCTCTATATATTTCAACCTCCAGGGCTGGAGCGTGAGGACAGAACCTCAACCAGAATTCTTACCTACACAACGCCAATGACAGGTAGGAATACAAACGAGGACGGCGATTGACATGAATTAAAAGAAAAGAGAGAAAAAGAGAGAAAAAGCAAATGTATGTTGGCATTGGTGATTTATAGTCAAGTAGGGCATCAGCGCGCATGGATTAAATATTGTCATGAGCGTGTCCTTATGCTCCAGATAACCTGCCATAAACCTGGAAGTTCTAAAGCTGGACATTGTCAGGTATCATAGTCAATCGATAGAACCGATTCAGTTACAGGCCAGATGAACCAGAGCAACCTGTCATCAAACTACTTAGAGGAACTACTTAGGCAAATTGAAAACGCCAAATTCGCTTTAGATATACAGGCGAGTCAAGCTAGAAGTAAAATGCAGATGGATTCTAGAGTAATGCAAATCAAACATTACCCACGGACCTTCCTATAGCTAGGCGGGTGCCAGGACTGTTTAATCATTTTACCAGCCCAAACCGGAACCAGCGAAACAGCCAGCACGACAACAACACGCCACAACCAATCCAAAGTAATGACATATCCAAGGTCAAAGTACTCACCCAGGAAAGGAACACTGCCCGCATAAACAAGGAGCGTACCAAGCAAGCAGAAGATCATGACGGGATGCCAGGTCGTGATGGAGGTAGCAACCATACCAAGCTCATTAAGAACAAGCGCCGTGAAAGACAGACTGATCAACTGTGGTCCGGTGATTGTGTCCAGTAGAATCTGGGACAGGCCTTGGATGACGGCTCCCTGGTAGACTGAGATCATGACCCAGCCAAAGAAGGAACGGTAGCTCAGACTTTTCCCGGTTTTTAATTCCTTATACAGCTCCGGGTAAAGATTTGCGAGACGTTCATCGACATCCCGATCGAAGGCGAGTGAGAAGACGGGCGCGTTGGTGTATACCGTTGCGTAGCCGACCATCAGCCAGTTGATGAAGAGACCTTTTGGATCGAAGTGGCTGGCGATACTGTACATGGTTTGGCAAACACTGATGATCAATCCACGGTGCATGATGAATTGAGCTAGCTTGGCTGAGCGCTTGTATGAATTGCGGCCGTGCCAGACGAGAAGCTTGGTGAGGTGGTGGAATTGGGTGATGCTGAAATCAGCAGCGAGGGACGCTTGTCGGCCTTCTTTACCGACGATACCGATTCCGACATCGGCGGCTTGAATCATTGAGACGTCGTTACCGCCATCGCCGATGCAGCAGACGCGCTTTTTGGTATGTTGGCGGATCAGGTCGGCGATTTCAGCCTTTTGAGTGGGAGAGCATCGGCATGCAATCACAGCAGGCAGAAGGACGGCAACAGAGATGAATGCCGTTCGAAATTGGCCAAGCATGAGATTGAGGGACTCGCCATCGATCAGGAGACAGCAATCGGTCTTGTTGCGCAGGAAGTCAAGCGCTTCCTGGGCTGTGGATTTGTCCGTGACCTTAGTGACGGTGTGAATGTATTGGCCTCGGGATACCAATTTGGCCGAGATAGCGACGCATCGCGCTGTCTCCACCTTGTCACCTGTCAACATCCAGATTTTAACGCCGGCATTGCGCAACAGCTCGAGAGAGGATTTGACGTCGCGCTGCAACCGATCCTCCACACCTGTTACACCGGAGAGCTCCAGGTCTTGCTCGAGATATTCGCTCACGACCTTTGCCATTCCTGCATCACGTCCTTGAAGGGACAACGACGCTTGGCGGAACTTTGTAGAAAACTCTTGGTATTGCTGTGACGAAAGGCGCTTTCGACCAACGACGAGAGTACGCAGACCTTCACGAGCCATATTTGCAGTTTCCTCGTCCAGCCAGTCATTTGCGGCGACGATGGATGTCATAACCGTATCGGCACCCTTTTGATAGAACCAGATCTCGCTATCCTCTTTGCCAGACTCAAGTATGTTTTCTTCATGTTCGAATTGAACAATGATTCCCATGCGCTTGCTCTCAGATGTGAAGGGGAAAATGTCAAGGATTTTGACCCGAACCACAACCTGTTTCGAGTCGGTCGATTCCAAAACAATGCTTTGTCTGTCACGATACGCCAGCTTCAGCCCAACCTCTTCAGTGTAGCGAACAATAGCAATCTCATCCGGAGATGACGCTTGGTAACTCGTCACCTTCTGTCCATCTTCTTCCTCGGTTGTTGGCGTGACATTGTGACATAGAGCAAGTGCCAGAATGATGTCCCGTACGCGAGACCCGATCTCTCGCCTTGTTCTAGGCGCCGTGGCATGACCAGCTTGCGTACCAAAGACAGTGGAAGGTGTAGTCAAAGCATTGCCCGCAAAGCCTTGACGGATAAAAGAGGCGACTTCATCCATGGCCTCATTGGCGTATGATACAGTGCCGACATGGATCTTTTTGAGCTCCATCTCATTTTGGGTCAATGTTCCGGTCTTGTCCGAAAGAAGGTATTCGATTCGGCCCAGATCCTCAGGGATAGTACTGGTTCGAACGACTGTCCCTGGAATATCTTTGTCCTTTTCGATGAAACGCCCGTACACAGACTTGGCCATGTCCAAATTGACGCGGAGACTCATGGGAATGATCGTGGAGAATAGGATGAGGTAGATCATGATGGCGACGTACCATTTCTTGTCGTTGGTTGGCTGGAAGCCTTCGAGGCCTACCAGGATAATCGACAGGGTGAGAGTGAGGATGCAAAGGATTTTTGTGAGGTTGTTGATCTCATATTCCAGTAAGCCAACTTTGGATCGCGAGGCAGAGGTTGACAGCGCAGCGCGGGTTTGTGATCCTGTGTAGATGATAGCAGCGTATGTGATGGTGTTGGAAGCAAGAACGGTGTTAGCCCAGGCAGTGTTGTCAATTGTCAAAGGCGCCGACGGAGCAGACTGATTGGTTGTAGTTTCTGCTGTATTGTTTGGAGTGGGAGATGATTTGTCGACATGAGCGTCATAGAAACCGTTAGGCGCCCCCAGCTCAATGGTTCCAACAAACTCATTGACCCTTTTATCCGGCGCACTCGCGGTGATGTGAAGTCGACCAAGGTCGGCCAGTGGGACCGATTGGGACAGGACCGAGGGCAGACGGAGTTTCCAGTCAGTTTCGCCGTCCAGTTGATCAGTGCGGATGAAGGTGTCACCAGCAGAATCCGAAGAATCCTCGGCAGGAGTGCTGGTTATTTGCGCCTGGGGCTCTGAAGATCCTTGGCCTGATTCAAGTAAGTCGGTAGGCTGGGGCGAAGCCTCTTCTGGTGCCATCGATGGACGGGGAGAGCCCGAGTCATTGGAAATACTCTTCAAAATGACAACATCTGCCGGCAAACGTTGATTCTTGCGGACCTTCAAAATATCGCCGACTTTCAAATCCCGTGACTTTTTGATAACCTCCGTAGTATTGTTCCTGCCAACGGTGAGAGTGCAATACTCCTCCGAATTGGCTTCTGCGTCTCTGCGCCGGCGTCCAATGTCATCCAGCGCTTCCTTTCCCAAGGATATGGAGACCACAAAGGCCAACGGGGCGATATAGGATGACATGTAGCCAATTCGGAGAACCGGAATGATTTGCGACATAGCAACCAGCAGAAAATATATGTTGAAGAAGAAAGAAAACTCATTGTAAAGAGTCCTTGGCAAAAAGCTCCATGGTGTGTACTTTGCGTTCGAAACCACATTGGCCGGATATTTGGCGGCTTGATGTTGCCCAACGAGCACTTGACGGGGTGGTTGGTCTACAGTTTCATTGTCATCCCCAGAAAGCTGCACCGATCTTCCCTGCAAAAAGGCAGGCGTTTTAAATGGGAATCGCAAGAACCTGGCTTTCTTAGGTGGATCATTGCCGAAGTCGCGAGTCGAGGCCCGACGGTCTAAGAGTGGTAGGCCGTCTTCTTCCAGATTGCGGGAGCTCGCATGCGAGTCTCTCACACCTTGGTCTTCCCTATTCTCCAATAGCGCATCGGTGTCATCATCAAACTCGCCTCGTCCAGACGCGCTGCGTCTCCATCGACTGCCGGCTCCAACACGCAAGTTCCGTAACGCTATCCCAGGCCCAAAGCTTCGTTTTCGGCCCGTATAGTCCCGCGACTCCCGACTTTGCTGAGGCGAAGCTGTGCTTGGATCTAGCTCTTCGAGGTCCAAATCATCGTCCGAGTCCGAGAAATCGTCCGGAGCATCGGGATGGTCCAGGGGGTGTTGGTAGTCGGGCGAGGAAGGCATGTCCTGTAGCTCGTGGGTCGGCAATCCGAGAGTGCTTTCACAGGATGCAGTATTGTGTTTTTCGATATTGCGTCAAAGAAAGCTTCATCTCAAGTATAAGTTGTCATGTACTGTAGCATTGATTGAGACTCCAATGCAGCATTAGGGTGAAAGCAGGTCCGTTGTTGCCAAAGCAAGAGAAGCGCTATAGCCTGTGATCGAGAATAATCACCACGCTCATAAACAAGAACAAATCCCAAAAATAATTGCACTGCAATGAAGATCAGTGACTGCCTAGTCGTCGGCCGCGCAATCACATGAGCGCATATCCGCTGACGTAATGTTTGCTGAGTCAGCATCGTGTCGCATGCCAACGAATCTCAAGATCTCGACATCACGACAGCAAGGCATTTGTGGTTTTGTTTCTTTTGATTGTGTCGCTTGATTCGGATTATAAAACAGTGCATGGATTGTTGAGCGGACGACTATCACTGTTGTATTCCTCTTCGATTGCTGGACTCCTGAGGCGTCATTGGAGACGTGTCAGGTTGATCCCCCCGGACTGCGCCTCCATCTCCAGTCCCGTTGCCAATCGACAACAAAGCCGCAAACATGGCGCAACAGTCAAACGAAGCCGATACAGACGCCTGGAACCCGGCATTACGGCCCGAGAACGGACACCCCGCCGAGACTACATCTGCAACTGAGGGGGGTTTATCGGATCTGATCGCGGCAGACGACTCGCGACACAAGTCCCTGGCCGACTTGGTTTCACCGCAAAGCGAGGACTTCTCTGCATGGGATATGTCGGATGAAGTGGACGCGACTCCTGCTCAATACTCCAACATGGACGGACTGGTAAACAACACATCGCCTGTTGTTGCCGAAGCCCAATCATCAGATGTACCCATCGCGGACAAGACCAGCGAACCCCAGGACACAGTTGAATCAGTACCCGAGACAGCTACATTGACCGAGCCTGCAGAGATCGCCCCAGCATCGGAATCGCCAGAGACACACATTGCGGAGTCCACACATATTGCGGAGCCTACACAGGTTGCGGAGCCCGAGTCCCCTACGCCGGATGTACATGCAACGGAAGTTGCCAAGGACCTCGATGACAGCGTTCCTGTCACAGAAAGTCAAGCCACTTCCTCCGAACCAGCGCCTTCCGATCCTATAACTTCAACTCTTTCGTCTGAACAAGCAGTTGAGCCGGAATCGACCCTTGTCAGGGAATCTACACCTTCCACAGATGATCAAGTCTTGGAGCCAGAATCAAAGCCGGAACATATTCAAGACACCAGTATCAGCCAGCCAAGTCCCTCGAAACAGTTCTTCCCCGAAACAACGGAAGCGGACGGCGAGTCAGATGACCCCTGGGCCTCATTTGAGCAGCAGTTGAGCAGCACATTGCCTTCTACCGATGATGGCCCTCGAAATGAGGTCCAAGAGACGGCCTCCGAGCCCCAGCCGACACCAAGCCAAGCTCCCACCCTCAATGAGCCCGCCTCCGCTGAGGAGGACCAGCCAAAGGCCTTGGAAGAGTCTGCAGTTGCCGAGACTCCCTCAATTGAGGAGAGCAATGGCGTCCCGCCGCCTACGGATGATTCTGCTCCAAATGGGATTGAACCCGAGCTGTCGTCCATTCCACAGAATCACCCCACCCCGGCCAATGACACACCCCTCGACACAGCGGCGGTGGAGTTGAAGACGACCGAAGACCCACTCAGCTGGGCCGACGAGTCGAATGGTGGAGCTGAAGCGGAGGAGGCTGACTTTTTCAATCAAATGAACAGCCAAACGAAACCAATTTTCCCGGAGGCTGAATCCAGATTTGAAGAAGGCGTCCCACTGTTGGACGATTCTGCCCCGGCCTCGCCTGAACAACCATCAGAGCCCAGACAGTCTATAGACAACGTCTTCGCCAATGACGATAAAGATGATGCCGCTGAAAGCTTCTTTGCCTCCGGAGGGCAAGCGGAGGAAAAGAACGATGGAGATGACTTCTTCAGTTCTTTATCAAAGGGTCAAACCGAGGAAGAACCAAAGGCTCAACTTACTCGGAAGAGTACAACACAAGTGTTGGAATCGGCTGGATTCGATATTGAGTCCCCGGCGAGCGACATCTCTGCTGCGGCACAATTTGATGACCTCCTTAAGGGCGTGTCATCGGAACCACCCGCGGCGAAGGTGACAGAGCCAAAGGCTGAGCCTACAGAAGAAGAGCTAGCAGCACTTTGGGAAGCCGAATTGGGTGATTCACCGGACGACGATCTGGCTGCGCGATGGGAGGCAGCTCTGGATGATGATGATATGTTGATGGATACGGAAGTCAACCAAGCAGCCCCTGCGCCTGCGCCAACCCAGCAGACGCCTGCAGCGCCCACAAGTGCATTGACATTGGGCTTAAGTAGCCCGTTCCAGACCCCTCAACCGCAGTCGCAGCCAAGACCAGTGCCCGGAGTGTACACGCCCCACCAACCGTCTACATCGGACCTCCTTGGTGGAGTCCCAATGCCGGGCACTGCACCACCCGCAGCCGCTGCCATGCCATCATATTTCTCACAGAAACCTGCGAATCCAGTAGCGACCAGGGGAGAGAGCTTTGCAGAGCAGTCAAAGCAGGGGTACAAGTCTCCTTATGACCTGCCAGATGATATCTCAAGACCGCGCAAGCCCTTGGTGACCCATAAGCCTGTTCCCCCACCAGTCAACAGCATGCCTCCACCTCTACCAGGGTCGTCTGGTATGCCCCCTCCAACAAGTGGGTTCCGTCCTCCTTCAGTTCCCCCTCCAGCTGCGGCTGCTCCGCCTCCTGCCCCAAAGAATTTCTACGAAGAGCTTCCCATGCCACCGCCACGTTCGAGGCCTGCGAGTTCAGGTCGTTATACACCGAACCCACAGGTTGCGCCGGCCGCAATGGCGCCCCCTATGGCGCCCCCTATGGCGTCCCCAATGGCACCTCCAATGGCAGCTCCCATGTCTCAACAGCCCCAAAATCCATACGCAGCGGTTGGATCAGTGGCTCCTCAGAGTCCATACCAACCCACGGCATCAGCAGCGGTTCCCCCAGCCCAAGTAGGATATTCACCTGCTGCACCACCGGCGGCTCAGCCGATGGGACTTCCAGTTCCAGCCTCGCTGGAACCCCCCGAGCAGTTGGATCCTTACGCCAGCTTGGCTTCCAGTGCACCGGGTGGTCCTCCATCAATTTCAAGATACTCGCCTCATCCACCTGGCTCGCAAGTCTCATCTAAGCCACCTTCGTCGTCAAGATATTCTCCTGCGCCGCCGTCGAGCTCAGGTGGCCGCAATAGATATGCATCTCAACCGTTGAATGTCCCCGGCCAGAACCTTCCATTCCAGCCGCGGACATCAAGCCCACTCGCATACCATGAGAAAGTATCTTACCAGCCTGACCCGTCACACAAACCACCAACACTTGAGCCTGCGATCAACTTGTCCCCACCCCGGATGCATCCATCCGGTTCAGAGACTGCGCCAAACCCCTATTCCCCGCAACATGGCAGCGGGCCTATTAACCTAGCACGAAGGGAGTCGGAGGGCTCATTCATTCAAGCCTCTCCACCCCAGGGGCGGTATGCTCCCCAGGAGTATATCAATGAGTTTGCTCAGCGTCTCGCACCAAGCTCTCAATATGCCCCCACTCCGCCGGTAGCAAATCCTTCGCTGTCTCCGCCACCCGCCGACCCTCAGGCGGCATTCATCCGTAGGTCGCAAACGCAGTCGCCAGGCCGTGAGATGTTGAGCCCACGCGCACTTGGGCCTCCCGTCGACACCATGCAGAGACCTGCTTCGGTCCACGCTTCGGGCTCTCCAACAAAGGTTACGAATCCATATGCACCCGTGCAAATTCCTTCGCAGAACCGTGCTGTTACACAGCACCTAGAGTTCATTGCACCCAACGATGGCCACGAGCAAGATCCCTTGGAGCGATGGAAGGGTGCTCCTATATTCAAATTTGGATTTGGCGGTTCTATGGTGTCATGTTTCCCAAGACACACCCCTCGGTACTCAGCCGGCCAAGTGGCACCTATGATCAAACCCACACCTGGTGAGACGAAGATCTCCCAGCTGAACGAATGGCTCCCACCTGTCGATACTATCGTGCAGCACCCTGGGCCTCTGAAGAACAAGTCTAAGAAGAAGGACCTGGTTACGTGGCTTTCCAGTAAAATCGCCGCATTCGAAAATGTTGGCGTGCCGAGCTTCGATCAGGGTCAGACCGATACGTCCAAGCGTCATGACGAGAAGACTTTGCTCTGGAAGGTTGTCAAGCTTTTGGTAGAAAATGATGGCAAGCTTGAAGGTTCTGCTGATATTCAAAACTCTTTACGCCAGGCCATCTTCCCCAACCTGCCTGCTCCAGATGCAGATGGCTCCTATGGAAGTACTGTGGCTTCAACTGCATTTGGCTCTGCAAACATGGGCTCGCAGCCTGATAGTTTGGACACTCAGTGGCTAGAGGAAGTCCGTCTGCACTTGATCTCAGGTGACCGTGAGAAGGCAGTTTGGGGTGCCGTCGATCGCCGTCTTTGGGGGCATGCGATGATCATCGCGTCCACCATGGACAAGTCCATTGGCAAACAAGTTGCACAAGAGTTCATTCGTCGCGAGGTCAGGTCTAAGGGTGCCAACTCGGACTCACTTGCAGCACTTTATGAGATCTTTGCTGGTAACGTCGAAGAGAGTGTCGATGAATTGGTTCCACCTTCCGCCCGGGCTGGCTTGCGGCTGATAAGCAAGGCTGACGGCCAAGGGGCCACCAAGAACGCCACCGAGGGCTTAGACAAATGGAGAGACACACTGGGACTAGTTTTGAACAACCGAAGCTCCGAGGATCCACAAGCTCTGCTTGCCCTTGGGAGGCTGCTGGCATCTTACGGACGCACAGAGGCCGCTCATATCTGCTACATCTTCTCGCGCTCTGCTGTCTTTGGTGGTCCCGACGATGCGCAGGCTAACGTGGTACTTCTTGGAGCCGATCCCCAGCGCTCGCCTTCGTCTCTGCTGGACGAGGATGCGATTCTGCTCACTGAGGCATACGAGTATGCTACGTCTGTCCTCGGGAATTCCCCCGTGGCTAATTTGCCTCACCTTTTGTCATTCAAACTCCTCAATGCCAAGTGTCTCGTTGATCGAGGCCGCAACCCGGAGGCACAGGCCTATTGTGACGCAGTTGCTTCAGCATTGAAGGCGACCACCCGTCCTTCTCAGTATTACCACCAACACCTCTTTGCGGAGGTTGAGGAGTTGAGTGCACGCTTGCGCCAAACTACCACTGACAGCGGTTCGTGGATCTCTAGACCCAGCATGGAAAAGGTGTCCGGCTCCATGTGGGCTCGGTTCAACAGCTTTGTAGCAGGAGATGAGAGCGACGCCGTATCAACTGGATCTGGCAAAGGCGAGCAAGCTGAGTTTGGTCCTTTTGCAAATGTGGCCGGAACACCGACCATCAGTCGCTCCCCATCAGTGTCTGATATTTACGGTTCATACCCTGGGCCCGCTGCCGGAGGACAGCCGATCCCCCCGAGCGGTGCTTCCAAGTACCACCCGTCCAACCAATATGCGCCAACTGGGTCCCCCGAGCAATTCAAGGGTCGTTCTTCAATGGACTCCCAGCGATCAAACCCCTACTTCCCGTCCGCTGGTCGTCGCAGCTCGCAGGAACTATCTCCGTCGCTTGACGGACACATGTCCTACGGGGGCCCCATCTACGGATCACCAAATGCTTCCGGATCGGGCTACCAGCCCACTCCACCATCGTCATCCTATGTGCCTCTCGCTCCCGTGGAAGAAGCTTTGTCCCCTGCCGAGGCCCCCGCGGCCGCGCAGCCCACAATCAATGGTCTCTTCTACCAGCCGCCAGGGCAGCCTACTGCGCCCACCGAGTCACCTTATTACCAAGGGCCTCCCGGCATGCCAGCCGGCGGGCAGGCGCCACAATCACCTTACGCCCCTCCTGCCGCAACATCTTCATACGATCCAACCGGCACTGGGTCAGCTTATGAACCAATTGGCGCCAGCTCTTATGAACCGATTGGTGGTAGCTCTTACGAGCCTGTTACCGCAGATCCAGCTGTGAACGATCAGCATGAAGACAACGAGTCCATCACAGAAGAACAGCCTAAGAAAAAGTCGATCATGGACGATGACGACGATGATCTTGCTGCTCGAGCGGCGGCTATACAGAAGGCAGAGAATGACCGCTTGGCAAAGGAGGCATTTGCCAAGGCAGCTGAAGAAGATGGTATGTATCAGGCACCCAGACAGTCACAAGGCTCACTAACGTCTTTTCTCCCAGCTAAACGCGGTTCTCAATCTGGCAAGAAGGGGTGGTTCGGTGGCTGGTTCGGAGGCAAGAAAGAAGAAAACAACACTGGTGGCGGTCCCATCAAAGCCAAGTTGGGCGAGGAGAGCTCGTTCTACTATGATAAGGATTTGAAGAAATGGGTCAACAAGAAAGACCCTGGTAGTGCCGCACCAGTCCGCGCTACACCACCACCTCCTCGAGGCTCTGCTCCTCCCAGCCGCACCGCGAGCTCAAGCAGCATGCCACCAAGCGGGGCGCCCCCGATGCCCCCGATGCCTCCCATGTCCGCTTCTGGGAGCCGACCCCCCTCTTCGTCTAGTGCTGCCCCTCTGTCGTCAAGCCCCGGTATTTCCGGCCTTGCAGCACCGCCTCTCCCCCGGTCCGTCTCCACTGGCGTCTCTATGCCGACACCACCAGGTAGCTCTAGCGGCCCACCACCACGTCCCTCGTCGACCTTGACTCATGCCAGCTCCATTGATGATTTGATCGGAGCACCAACGGCACGCAAGGGGAACACTGTTCGCGGCAAGAAGAAGGGCCGTTACGTTGACGTGATGGCTCAATGATCGGAATTCTCGCAAAATTTTTCTGACATAGTACTTGACCAAAGACCAAGTGCTATTATGTCCTTTTCTTTTGTTTCATTATGTTCCTGATACGCTTTTTATTTGTTGTTCCATGATTGTTTTTGATGAATTATCCCCTCTGCCCCTAAATAATACCTGACCTGTCATCGCCCCAGCATTTTGCATGTGTTTTGCTCTCAGGCAGACACGCCCTGCGTTCTCGCTCATCGAAGAAGCCTGGCTTCTGCACATAGCTCCTTTGCTCTTTGGCGTGCGCTCATCCATGGAGAGTATTCTCCTGGCATTATGTATATCACCCTTCCCCCCTCGGAATCTTGAATCTGGAGGTATTTTCTTGCATGGCGTTGCCTTGCTTTGTTTTACTATTGACTCTTGACTCCTAATAATTCATTTGAATTTCGAATCTTGTCCTTTTGGGTATCATCTTGGTAGCTTTCTCGATCTCACGTTGTAAATGAATTGATATAATACTAAATGCATCATTAGCGGACTTGCAAACACGATCAATTTCCGAGAGTAGCAACTTACGGTCAGACAGGATTCTTCGCCATTCCAGCTGCCCGGCAGATAAACATACAGCACGAGGGCGATATCATTGACAAAGCCTGCGAGCAGATCAAGTTAGCATCATATTGAAAAAACAAGCGAAAAACTCACAAGCAACAACTTTAGGACTCATCCGCCCAATACTCAACACCCGACTCCAATCCTTCCCATCAATCCGCACCTTAGCCCACCCCGATTCGTCCCCCTCCCTGACCTGTCGCATCCGATTTCGCTCACTAGGAAGCTGCTCAATTTGCTCCTGTGTCATCTGCGCCGGGTCCAGTGGCGGATTTACCAGGTCAGACCAGACACTCGATATCCGCAATTCATCAGTAGCAATAGCCAGGCGCAGCGAGCCATGCATGTTCGCGGATAATTCCAGCTTAGGCGACGAGTTCGTCGACCCAGTCGTATTAGCACCAAACGTAGAAGTATTATCGCTCGGTGCTTCGGGCGCCACAATACCCGATTGGTTTCCCTTGACACTGGTCGAGGCAAGTTTGGTAAATCTATCGGATATACTCTTCAACTGGCCCAGATTAGGCAAGATGATGTGCACTTCCGGATCTGGACAGTGCGGTTCATGTAAACCTTCCACTGCAGACTCGTGCAGGATCTTGATCGGGACTTCTTGGGTAATCCAAGTTTGGCGTTCGCGGGGTCCGCGATCACCTGTTGTCTCGCCGGGTGTTTCATCCGTTGCGAGTGCCATGTTACCATCTGTCCATTCGCTGGCGAGAACGGTTAGTGCAAGCAGGGGTAGCTTGTCTTTCTTTGTAAGACGGAGTTGCGTATGTGATGACCCCCATGCTGATCGGAGTGCGCGATTCAAGACGCTGATGTTGACTTCGATGTTGATGGCGTCTGAGTTGGATTCTAATGAGTAGGTAGTTTCATCGAAGATCGTGCCCTGGATACTGTGAGCTTTGATCGGACCTTGTTGATTTCGGGCATACCACTGGTATTGACGCCCATACTTGGGTGCCTTGGTCGGGAATGATGGTGAAGCGGATCACATCGTACTCCAGGCGCATCCAACACACCTTGCCCAGGGTGGAGAGGGACGCAGTGAGCTCTGAGGTCGTCAGTACTCTTGATATCCCGATTTCCAGGCATTAAACTTACTGGAGAATGTCCTGCTATCTTTCAATTGTGTTCGGAAGCGCATGGCTCGAGGAGATGGCAGAGGGAGATTCTTATCGTTATCTCAGATCCTTTCTGCCCTTTTACTCCTTCAACTCCTTTCTCTCCTGTTGACTTCTGAACTTGAACTTGATTCATGTCATTTCTATCTAACATGGCCCTAATTCTTCCTCGCTAAGACATAAACTCGCAACTAAGGCTGCTCCCACGCCAGATCCATCCTCTGCCGCGTTGAGAGCAATTAAATCCACCTCGCCAGGCTGCCAATCGAAAATCTCTCGAAGCCCCTGAGCAACTCGACCCTTGAACATACTATATTTATTGAAGACTGCACCATCGACTCCGACGTGGCACTGCCGCATATTCATCTTCTTGCAAATGGCCGCAATGCCACAGGCATAGAGACGCGCCGCACGCGTCGCGATCAGCCCGATAAGATAACGGCAAGTCTTCAGCTCCTCCAGCGTGGGCTCCAAGCCGAGATTCTCCTCGAATTCTTCCCTCATATCCTGCAGTCCCTCGGAAAGGTCCATCTCAGCAATGGATAGAAATGACGCCTCCAGGGAGTTCTCGGTCTGAAGTCTCGTGACATCTTGATTTTTAAAGAGTACACCCTTCTCGTGCAGCGTCAACATCATCAGTCGCAGCATCTCGCCTATGTATAGCCCCGCCACCATTTTCTCGTAGATTTGAGTCCCCGGACGGGCAGACTGCTTGTCGATTTGATGGTCAAAGGGGGTCAGTGGCAGTACCTGACGTTCGTTATCGAAAGCCCCGTATTCGGTGTTGATGATGACAGTGGCATCTTCGGGCAGCCCTGCGTCTTGGAGTTTAGGAATCTTGCGACATTCTTCCATGTATGCGGCATTACATCCGGTACTGAAGATACTGCCCATCTTTACCTGTGGGTCTCGATAATGCGAGGCGACCAGTGTGCCTACCGTGTCATTGAGCAATGCGACTACTGTTACAGGGACATTCTGGGCTAATCAGCAGTTGCAAACTTTTACTAACGGTGCATACGGAATACTGACCTTTCTTTTCAGTGCTGCCTCCAGCTGGGGTACCACGTCATTTCCTTCTACCCCAGGGACATTGAAGTTCTTCGTCCAGCGTTGTAAAATCCCACTGCGAATAGACCTCTGGTCGACGGGAAAGGAAAATGTGAACGACAGTGGCAGCGGTTTGTTCGGTTTCTCGCCAGGGTGATGGTCACTCAGAAATGAGGCGATGCGATCCGCAATGAACTCCCACAATACTTCTTTGGTGTCTGTCTTGACTGATTCCGGAAGCTTGTACTTGCGTTGGATCTGTTCGAAATCCCTCTTCCCTGCAGAGAGACACACGTCACATACACGCAGATTGGTCCCGCCCATATCAACGGTCAGGATTCGCCCTTTCTCGCGGCCCGTTGGGTATTTCATAACCCATGTGATATTCATAGGCTTGACATGTTGCCTCTGTCAGCGTGCCCTCAGTTCCAGATTTTTTTCTGTCGATTCCAAAATACTAACAATACATCCACCCTCGATGGACAGTCCTTTGTCCAATTCCGTGAGAAAATGCTCCGTGATGGCCTTCAATTTGGCCCCATCCACGATGAACCAGTCTTCATACTGCTTCAATTCCCCCGTGAGTTGCTCGGCAACCCCCTGCAAGAGTTCTGGGCGGTAACGAAATGTGTGCATGGTTGTCAACGAGCATCTCTGCAGGACATCGTCCCGTGGCCTAGTTCTATTCTCCGACGCCATCATGACCACATCATGATCATCACCAGAGGAACTGGCTCCCATCCCCATCCGGTAGTTTGTTTTTCTCTGCTTGTTCTGTGTGTGTATAGATCGCAATCAATAATCGGCCGAATATTCCTTTTTCTCCTTGCAGGGTAGGATCTGCACTAGTTGGAGGTGCATAATCAGCTCACATGGATTTGTGAGATCCAACCCAATCCTGTTTTCCTCTTGTTTTTCTATCCTGTTTAGTGTTTTCATCTTCTTCTCTTCGTATAGAGAGCTTGCCTCTATACTCCTGTATTGTACTGGTTCTGCCGTGTACTGCCGCAACGCGTTCGCGGATCAGCCACTCCACAGTTAGCCGCCCCCCTGATCTCCACTCGAATTATTTCCAGCTTCAGAAAAACTTCCGACTACTCCCTCCAACCTCTTTCGACTATTGCTTTTATTGAATTTTTACCATTTGTGATCAGAAAGCAGGCCTTTCTGTGTCCCCTCGTTTGCTCCACTCGAGTCCTTGCCTCCCTCGATCTCATCTCAAATAGAAAACCCCCAGGGCTGCATTCGGCTGCAAGTCTGCAAGTCTTTTTTGTTGTTGTTTTTATCATTCACGTTCGAGCTACGCCAAGTTCTGCACTTTGTTGTTCCGCGCGTCTCAGCATGCGGGCTCGACAGTCCTCTTTTCCGCCCTCGTTCCGACCTCCATCACTTACATGCAACAAAGCTACCGTGTAGGTAGTCGCCTTTCGCTGTGAAACTCTCACTCTGTCGGGATGTCTGTTCGAATAAATCCTCGCCCCTCCATTCGCTTCTCCCCCTCCCACTCTCGCCAAAACTCCTCATCTGAAAGAATCGGCGCCATCTATCAACAGCTCGACCCTCTCCTCAGCAACCTCTCCCCCGAATCCACCCTCCAAGCTCTCACATCCACCTCTGCGGTTCCCTCAAACGAAAAAGCCGCCCATGATATCCTTTCTCAAAGCATATCCCAGGTCTCGCCAGCAGAACGCGCGCTGGGGATTCGCGCCGCGGTAGCCGCCCAAAATCTAGACCTGTGGCATAAAGAAGTTCAGACATGGGCCTGGGCAAACCAGCAAGACGTGAAAGTCGGGAAGGGCTTCATTCCTCCCGCTTCGAGCTCTGATATCAATTCCGCCGACTCCGGGTTCCCCTCACCCCTTAGCACGGACAACTATTATGGCAGCCTGCCATCAAGCGTGGTGGAGCGAAATGAGAAAAGAATAGAGGAGATCCGCGATGGAATGGACGATCTTCGCGTGGAAGAATTAAAGGAACACGTTTTGAATGCCCACATTCCATCCAGGTCTCGGCCCTCCTCCGCCACAAGCTCCGTGTCTGTGCCACCGCCACTGAGTTACGTGCAACTGAGTGATTTTACTGCGGTCATTACCGCGACAATTCTACGCGCTCTTCCCCACCTGTCGCGTCTCAACGCGTTGCTCATTACTTGGGATGTTCGCCTTTTGGTATTGCGCCAGATCCCTGGGTTGCTTAGGGAGCTTTCCATCACACGCTCCGCCATCGACTCCTGCCTTCGCATATTGCGCGAACCAACCCCGGACTCCAAGCGATACGCCGATGAATGTCTAGCTGCCGATCATGTTAAGTTGGAGTCTGCCATTGTCAGTGTAGGGAGGCGCATGGACCGCATTTTGGACGCGTTGGAAGGTCGCCCGGATTCATTGCCCGAACAGTGGATTGACGATCTGGAGGCCATTGAGTCGGATTTCGCTGCTTGGGTGGTCGAGGCTGAAAAGTATAAGGTCCACAACGCGTGGTTGAGGTCCAAGCCCGAGTCTCAGGCTGAAACGCCTAGAGCAGCTCCCGTCCAACCGGCCTTAGAGAAATCCGACGATCACGCATTGATGCCGGTATCCACCCCCGCAAAAGATGAAACGTCCAAGGAGCTTGGTAACGAGGTCACAACTGTTCAAACTTTTGTTGATTTACCTGTCGAAGAATCAAATGTTACTTTGAAGAGCGATGTACCGCCTTCTACGGATGAAGATACCCATCTTCACCTCTCAGTCTCAACCTCAGCAGAACCGCTTGTACACAAGTGGGATGACCTGACTCCGATCATCGTTGCAGAGGACTCGGAGACCCCAACCCAGTCAGACTTCCCACCCACCGTCTCCGCTGTCAACGGGAAGCCCTCTGGCCTCGCAGCTTGTTCTGTTCACTCTGACTCCGATTCCAAGGAGAACACCCCTCCACTGGGTTCCCAGCAGACAGACGGATCTGATTCACCAAGCACAAATACCCCCTCGACGCCGAATGCGTTGTTTGAGAACTTGACAGCTGTTGTAGATCGCCCGGTCGATCACTCTGTCCCCATCAAAGAAACAGCTCAGCCCCATGTCGTCATCGCGGGAGATATGCCAACTGCGGAGCTCTTATCAGATGTCACACCAAAGGACCTTGATGTGTCACAAGAAGCCCAGACTCCATGTCAACCTGCCCCCCAGCCCCGGTCGATTGAATTCACCCCCGAGCCTATAGGTCATGGTGCTGATCACAGTCCCGAGGCGCACCCATCAAGGGTCGACGCCGGGACCGAGATCCCCGCCCCAGCAACTGTTTCTCCGATGTGCACACCCAAGACAGTGGACAACCGACTGCCCAGAATCAGGCCATCTATTCGAGGATCACAAATTCCGTTGGCTTCTCCTAAGTCTGGCTCTAACCACACACCTGTCAAGCCTGTGCCACAACACGAGGAAAAGCCTGACCATGTCCAGAAGACTGTTCGCAAGCCGCTCCAAAGTCCCATCAAGCTCTCTGAATCCCGTTCTGTGAAGCCCGGTCTTGATAAGAGCGCCCCAATGCCTCGCCAGATCTCTCACCGTCGTCGGACGTCCACTGGGTCGGTCAGCTCCCTACTGTCGGACAACTCCTCTCTCATATCTAGCCCCGATGCACCCGAACCACGGACTGCCTCTCCACACGAGCCTCCAGAGCTGGTCTCGTCCCGCTCTAAGGCTATCGGCTCTCCCTCGCGCGGTGTTCACCGCCTCAGAGAAGACCGCCTGCGCCGTTTCGAACAGAAGCCTGATCCCAGAGCGCCGTTCCCACAGAACCGTGCCGTCAGCCTACCTCTGGAACGGTTCATCAATGAGAGACTTGAGCTGGGCCTCGCAAGGGAGTCGCAAACTGGTGTGAAGTCTCCTCTTGATCGTCCGATCACCTCTTCCGATTTCCCTAAGCCGCCCAAGGTATGTCCATTTTCAAATATGTAAACCAGGGCCCTAGCTAACCAATAATCAGTCTCTGAGTTCATCCCCTGTACAGAATGTTTCGAAGTCAATTTCGTCAGTGCCGCGTCCCTCCAACCGTCGTCACACCCTTTCCCGGGGAAAGTCTTCGTCGGGTTTGAATATCCAACACGACGCGGCGAGAGTCACAGAGCAACACAGAAATGCGTTCGCTCAAAACACCGCTCGACGAGCATTGGAGCACCAGGCAGAGCCCAAGTCCCTCCGGCTCCGCAAGCAATTGACTGCCCATCCCAGTCTCGAAAGCCTCGGTGTCAAGCGACAGGAGCTGTCGCATGTTGAAGAGCACGCATCAGAGTTGACCGATTTTGGATCTCGTGCTTCATCCCCTGCGAGAAATCTCAGGCAACCACGAGACCATCTCGATGAGAAGATCAGCTCAATTCTGAACTCTCTTCCTGGTCGCATCCATTTGGTTGATTCGCAGCATGAAGGGGACACATCCTCCTCTTCTTCCTCGGTCGATCGCCGAGTGCGTCATCGATCGGAATCACCTTGTGGTCCTCCGGCTCGGAGCACCACGCCTGGACCCTCATTGATGCTGATGCCCGCCGGTCGGAGAAGGTATTCACATGCCTACAAGGCTGAGGACAGCTGTGTCAAGCTCTACCACCTTCACCACGGCGGCCAATCCGCCCCTACCAAGCTCTTTGTTCGTACCGTTGGAGAAGAAGGGCAACGAGTGATGGTCCGTGTCGGTGGTGGTTGGGCTGACCTTGGCGAGTACCTGCGCGAATATGTCATCCACCATGGCCGTCGCAAGGTCTCCGAAACTCCCCGTGTGGAAGTTCAAGGAATCAAAACTCGTCTCTCGCCTTCCTACAGCTCCCCAGGTACCCTCCTGACACCCGCAACCTCCACCTACCTCACCTCTGGCCGCGCCACACCATCTCGACCCCCATCCTCTCTCAGCGCCCGTCCAGCCTCTTCCCTGACCGTCCACAAAAAGCGCCGCGGCTCCACCGCCTCCGACATCATGGGCACACGCGCAGTGACTACTGGTCACATCAACTCTTTTACCTCACCACCACCCCCTGTCCCCCCTCTCCCCACCTCTACCGGCCGACGTCTCTCCGTGTCATCGGGCTACTCAGTCGGCGACTCCCACTCCCCAAACGCCGCCACCGAAGTCCGTTCCACACCTCTTGGCCTCGCAGGACCTCGACCCCGTGCACGCTACGAGTCCATGAGCCCAGAAGGCGAAGCCTGGGTTGAGAACGTCCTCAACAAAACCCGCCGCTCCAGCTCCCACCATCCACCCAACTTCACACTGGGTTCCCCTCCCTACATCGACATCGACGATCGATCCGAAGACAGCCACAACCACTCCCTCCCTAAAGTCCGCAGCATCGGCGACATCGGCTCCATCGGAACCAGTCGACGAGTTGTTCTCCGGGGCCTGGGCAACCGCCGTTCCTGATCGCAAAATACCTGCTTCTCCATATTGTTTATCTTCTGTTGTATTCTTTTTTTCATTCTTCCGGTTTTCATCGGCCTGTGGATTTCACATTTCTGGATTTTGCGTTTTGCATGCATTTTACATTGGTTTCTTTTTGGGCATTGGCTACATTTCCCGGCGCCGTGCTTTTTACATTGTTTTACATTTCGGGGTTTTCATTTGCATCAGCGTGGCGAAATCTGGTGTTCTGTTTAGGGGGTTGGTGTTAGATCTATCTACAATACCCTGTTTGATTCTTAGTTAGAATGATATCTACATCTACTTATTCTTTTGGTTTCCAGGTTATTTTCTAGAATCAAAGTGAGCTTTGAATAATTATTAAATCAACTTGAATTAAACAATCAATTTTGATATATGGGAAACTGCAACGGGGAGTGCAATTCAAGCAAAACTGGGAGTTCAAAAGATACTTAAGTAGATTTTACATCTGATCTCTAATATCATGCATCGGGTTCACACTTCATTACATGTTCCAGAATTTCCCCTGTCATCACTTGGTGCTGAGGTATCGATCAAAATGCTCTTAAGCAGGTGGTTACATTACCATTTATGCCAAAAAGGCTCAAATAGAAAGAAACGAAATATGATCATTCTGTAACTCCAAAATGCTAATAGCAAAGCGAATGGCTTCACTGATTTTGGTATTTGCGGATCTGATGACCACACACGGACAGAGCTGGACAAGAGATGAACAAACGGATGGGCCTCGGGCTACGTATATCACGTATCTCTTTTTCTGCTGCCGGTGCTATCAGGAGCAAAACAATCTCACGCATGGTGTCTCAGTATGTGCGCAATGAGCGCCTCTGCAGCTTCATCCACTTGAGCAGATGTTATCCCAAGAGCCATTAGGTCGGGGGGCCAGGCATTGGTTGCTTGACGTCGCGCAATGAGAGCAGCACGCAAGTTGCGGACCTGGTTGGTGTTGAAATTCAAATCCATTTGGGTCCTCTTGGACAGAAGACTGAGGACTCGTTCATTTTCGTTGTCCTTTTTGATGGTGCTGGTTGCCTATCAATAGAAGGTTAGAGGCATTTTGGGGAGGGCGTGTTGGGACAAGCTTGGAATCAGACTGTAGACTTACCCCGTGCGATAGGATTGAGAAATTCAGGTCTTGGCAGTTCACCTTGCCAATATTGGCAAGTGAGAACAGCTTTTCATCATACACGCCGTCGATGAACACGTGGATGTGTCGCTTTAGGTTCTTGCCCATGTTTGCGGTGCGATAGTGGTTCGAGAGTATGTAGTAAAAAGTCTGGCTTGTGTGTACGTTTTTGAACAACAGTTTTGTAGAGAAGAGAAGAAATGAGAGATAAAGAAGAGAACGAAGAAGAAGAAGGGGATGGAGAGACTGGACGAAGATGGGATGAAGAGTGAGTTTAGGAGTGAGCGCAATTAAAGCTGCTTCACCAAACTAAAAGCTCTCATTTCCGAACAACTATATTGAATCACCCTGCCTTCAGCCATTGTGATGTCAAATTTTGATAACCATTGCTCGGCTTCCCCGAAACGCCAAAGTTACCATCCTTTTCACATTGTTCAAAATGGCGTCCAGTCTTGGTTTTGGTACCGTTGGAATTCGGAGCGTATCACAAGACGGCAAGGAAGATCCAAGCCAAAGGGTGGGAATCCCTTGGGTATTTGGCTTCTTCCTCGGACCTGTATATTGCCTCTGCGAAGTATCAACGAGCAGCCGCATCTCTCCATGTCGGACGCAGAAGAGACAGGTGTCGGCACTGCGAGCTGTTCGGCTCTTCTTTTGATAGCCATATTGGCGTTTCCTTGTGCCAAAATTCAATGGCGATTTTCTGGCTTCCCCGAAACGCCAGAGTCATCACCCTTCTCACTCGGAGGGGTCAATACCCACACTCGAGACCCCTACCTCTGCCACCATGAGACGTGGCCGAAATAGTTCTATCCGAAGAAATGTCAGTTCTGAGCATATGAATGTGTGCTTGGAAGCGGACAAAAGCCGTTTTCTCTCACCTCTTCTGCGAGGCGTCAACCCTGGCGGGGCGCGGGCGCGGCCCGCTCTTCTTCTCCCAGGTTGTGTGCTGGCTGCATATACCATTTGTGTCCAGGGGTCCTGAGAGGGGCACGACAGCGGCACTCGGATCCGCGAATCCGCGAGTTCACGATATCTGGAGTATTCACGGGACTACAAGGGGTTAGCCGATTCGCAAAGACACAGAGACGAATCACTTACAGTCCATGTTGTACCTGAACGATGTCGAGACAAGTGAGATATGGCAAACTCGTCCAAGGCGTTGAACAGACGCTGGAAATTCCTTGCAAGCATTCGGCGAGACCGGTCGTCGAACAAGGCACCATTGGGTAAACGCCAAAACTCTTCTAGCCAGCGCGCAAATGCTTGTAGCTCCAGAGGGCCACCTTGGCTACTTATATATAACCCCTTTCTCACCACTCTCCTCGCCTTCAGAGTAGAATCTTCCAGACTGAGTCTGGAGCTCAGAAGCAGAATGGATGCTCGTGTGATCCGTTTTTAATGATTGCGCACTGAACTTCGAAACAGTTCATGTTGGCGAGTGTTGTTTCCTCTTCCGAAGAATGCGACGGTATGATGGCAGAGGCTTGTCGGGACCCTCGAACAACGCCTCTGCGAATTCCTCAAGGACAATGTTGGAAAATTGGCCAATGTGTTTTTCTGGAATATGTTAGTATTTGAGTTTGCGTTAAATAAACCAGACGATACTGTACCTCTTTCTTCGTATTGGGCTGAGCTGGTGCATGGCCGTAAGCGCCTCTCTGGTGGGTTGCAGGAGACGACCAAACACTCGGCGACTCGCAGGAGTCCAGCCTTCCGGGTCGCGGTTTGGTGGCTCATTGGTTTGATAGGCATTGGCTGGCAAACGGAAAGAACAATTTTCTCCGCCTCTCCACCAACAGTTAGCGCAGTCCGCTCTGGTGCTTTCATCCCATACAGGATTTCGAATGACTCCTGAACATCAACATTCCTGAGCGAGATGACCAGTCTGCATATGGCCTCGGAGAAGACACTGACATCTTGCTATTCCTGGTTAGTCACATGTAAGCTTTGGGGTGTTCGTTCGAGCGGTCACTCTTACCTCACTTGTTTGCAGCGGGCAGAGGAATCGACCAAGGCGTGGTCGGTATGATCGAGCTTCAAAGATGACTTTCCATTTGGACTCCATAAGGACATGGAGATAGCTGGCCAGTTTAATACCACAAGCATGGTCCAGCGTGGCTCTAGGGTGGACCCCAACGCTTGGGTAGACATGGGTTCCCCCGAAGCGAGGTCATCGACGGATCCAAGGGTAAATGTCTTACCACGAAAGGACGAAGCCCTAAATTGGGCTCGACGACAAGCGCAGACGCTTGCCTAGGCTCCTGTCTTTGCACTTGGCCATTGCTGCCAACTGGCGAAAAGCCGCCGCTTGGCTCGTGAGACGACATCCTTGAGTTTCGTCGAATGTCACCGATGAAGCCGTGCTGCTTCCCGGTGCGCACATAATCAATGATAACGACGTCCGCTTCGTTACCCTGGATAGCGTCGATTTTGAAGGGCCGAACGCTGCTCCATGCTACACCTGACTCGGTCTGCGCGAGTTCGTGTAGATCCTTGATTTAGAGACGCCACTGCGCCTCATATGCCACCAAGATAACCCCTTGATCAAAGATGAGGTCCGAATGTCCTCATTTCCAGCAAGACTCCATTGAGCTGCGCATACACGGCAGGTAGACATGTGAAGAGGTAGAATTGAAACGAATGATGCAAAGTGGAAGATAAGGTAGAGGCGAAAGTACTAATCGGCCCTCGTCTCTGCTCCTCGCATCGCCTCGAATTCTTCAATTCTCTGTTCGGCACCCACTGCATCGCGTTCCTTTACCCACTCGGCCTGCTCGCGGGGCTCGTCTTTCCACAGAATCAGGTATTGTTGTGGGTGAACACGTTCGACATACGTCTGCGGATGTCCGAAGAGGCTGGTAGCTTCCTTTTGCGAGGAGAAACTAGAGGAGGACTCTCAGAAGAAGCCATACACAGGGAGCTGAACAAAAAATAAGAGCGGGGCGTTCAGAAAGGGGGGATGAAGTAAAGAAGAAGTAAAGTGAAAGGTGTTTTTGGCTGACCTGGTATATTGGATTAGCCTCTGCGTCTTCTCACTCTGGTGTCAAATCAGTCATACCCAGTCAAGTGATACCTGGGCATTGTGCTCCATGGTCTGGGGCTGAAGGAAATCAAGCTTCCCTCTTCTTTACCAAGTTTGCCTTGACGACACCAGTGAGTGGAGTTTTCAAAGGCCCATTTCTATATAACACACATGGTCAGTAGGGGAAATATGATAGTAGAGAATAGGCGCACAAGTTATCACAGATCAATTTGATCAGTAGTCCAGAACCTGCAGCCTGGTCCTACCAAGACGAGGGCACAAAGGACATGAAGTGGGCCACCGGTCATGGCAATTCAGATTTGATGTGATGCAGTGGATGCCACTTGCCATTGTTTCCAGTGAGGAGAGCATATGGGTGAATCACCTATTTGAGGCAGAAAAAATAGTCAGTAAAGAGGTGAAGAGAAAGAGTGAGGAGGAAGAGGAGAAGAGGTTAAAAGTGAAGGAAGAGGGTGTATAGATGCACTTACCTCTGTTGGTACATAGGGCCATAATCTGGACACGGAAACAGCCATCAACTATTTGTTGCGCTTTCAGGGCATCCCAAATGTTTCTCAGTCCAAGTGTCGCTATCAGCGCAATGCGAGGTACCTCGCATGGAGGATATACCCAGGGGGTTGAATGTGAGTGGGTTGAATGTGAGTGAGAAAAAAAAAGGAACATTTATAGATGGTTTGCTTGACTGAGGCTACCTGCGGACATATGGGGTATTAATAAGACAAATACCAATTACCAGATACTTAAGTAAAGTTTAGGTCAGGATTATACTTCATTTCATGATTGCTAGATGGCTGATGGACGCAATTTTGGAACTTTAGGATGGACAAACATTATTGTAGAAGATTCCAGATAGCAATCTACAATTTATATTCCATCTTGATCATGCTGAAAGATCAAACAAAATTGAAATTACACCGATCACCACTATCTATGGCTCTGCGTATTTACCTGCTTAAGTATTTGAGTATTTGAGAAGCAACGAAGAAAGTAGTAAACATCATAAAAAGGCAGTGACACCTGTATACTTAAGTATCATGCCTAAACACAATCATACGAAGCCCAATCATCAATGTCCCCAACCAGATACCGGGCATTCTTTGGCCATGGGCAAAGCTTCCGCGTAGCATTAGACCCATCCGGAGGGTCCGATGTCCGAATTTGAGCTGGATGAACTCCCTTCTCTACCCATGGCACCAGTGCGTCCAGAATGTGATACGTGGACGGGACATGAGGGTAGGCAGGATTCGCACCACAATGTCCACCTCCAGGGATCATGAAAATCTCAATGAAATCAGTGGTATTGACCTCTTTCATAGTTTTTTGAATCTGATCCCGGTGCTGGATTGGCCAGAGTGGTGCGTTGAATTGGTCTGCCCAACCTTGCGTGGTGATGAGTTTTCCGCCGCGTTTGTGGAAAGCAGAGAGATCGGGTGAGATTGCGTCAATTAAAGGTGAGGCTGTTTGGTCCAATTTTTGAACATCGGTCCCCCAGTCAAAGGTGGAGATATTGTAGGTCAAGTCCTTGAAGACTAGCTCTTTCAGAATGAGGGCTGCGTAGGTGGTGTAGAGGGTTGTTTCTTGTAGCAGCCAACTGCTTTCGGAGCCCAGTTTCATTCCTGGATAAACCTCTTCTCCATCAATCACGTTCTTCGGGCCTTGATATATAGCCTTTGCCGCGACGAGTTGGTCAGAAGTGAGACATGCCACTACTCCATTCGAGCTTGGATCTTGTCCCGATGCACACTCAAGTTGAGAAATGTCGTATTCACACAGCAGGGGGTTTTCAATCAGTCCATCGATCGCCCCATCCAGAGAATCGCACGCCGATATCACGTTCTCAGTGATGAAGTTCAGAACCTCTTGACTCATAAACCCGCTGCCCTGTGTATGCAATCCATTCCAAAGAAAACTCAGCATGAGGTGACTATACCAGTTGCCGGGACATCCAGTGTAGATTCCATCAAATATTTCTGAATGAAACTGGGCTAAGGCGTACCCCTGGGCGCCACCGGTAGAGCAGCCGTAGTAGTAACTGAAAGCTGGTGTCTCGTTGTAGTATTGCGTGGTCAGGTTGCGGGTTATTTCCGTCATCATTGCAATGGATTCGTGAATCCATACTCTCACTTGTGCATTATTGGCCAGGAATGGGGCGTACGTTGAATTGCCACTGTCAGCGAGGGAGTGGCCACTGTCGCAGCCAGCTACGGCATATCCGAGATTGAGCTGGGTTATCATTGATGCCTCGTCGATATCACCGGCGTAGCCACCGTTTCCTGGGCGATTGAGGTTAGTTAAATGGGTTTCATTTGAAGTGAATTTGAGTTTTGGTGGAAGGACATACCAACTGCCATGAAGCGACCATTGTAGTCGTTTGATGCCGGTAAATATAGATTCCAGGCCAAAGTGTTGGGGCCCTTGTCAACAGGCGTGACATCCTGGTCATAATCAATGGTTCCCTCCACTCGACAAAATGTGAATTCATTAACAATCCCCGACGAGTTCAACGAGCCAGGTGGGAACACTGTAGAATCAGACACTCGATAACCCGAAGCGAGTTTGACGTTAAGGAAGCTGTCACAATCAGAGGAAGATTTTGAGACAGGGCTCGCCTGTACAGCGATCAATACATTCAATGCACTAAAGGCGATGCAAGACAAGCGCATATTGTACTAGAGTGAAAAATTTTGCGTGCTTTGAAATTTGTTTCACTATGCAGTTACCATTGAATCAGGATGGTTTTATACACCGTTCTTTTTTTCCGTTTCCCATTTCCCCCGCACAATCTGCATCACCGAATCCATCATCGTCCCGGATAATGTTCGGGAATTCACTTAGCACTATCACGAATGGGGTAGAAGATCTACGTGATAATCCGGGGTACATGGTGCAGGTATTGGTGAAAGGCGGACGTCGGATCCGAGGGCCGATCAGCTTGGAATAGATCTCGATTTTGAATGCAGTCTCAGAGTTCATTCAAGAAAACATGAGTTGCCAATAGACTACTGGATCCTTCACTTTTACGTAGATTCCACGTCATATACTGAAGTATAGATCGTACCTGCCCAACGTAAATGGACAAAGTAAACACCCAACAGTAGAACCCCCTTTTCTCCCTCAACTATTCGCAACAGCAACACCTTCAGCCCATCAGATTGGGGGTTCACCAAATGATGAAGAGAACAAAGACGGATTGTATGATCATTCTTAAATTCCCCAATCTTCACTGCTAACCATACCCAGGCGCGGTCCAGGGAAATGATCGGACTGTCACACCTAACATTTCCGATCTATTCCACCGAGAATTTCACTTCATGGGACACCTTGAAAGTCTAAAAAAAATCCCGACACAATGAACGAGTCACTTGGAACTCAAATCTCAGTCATTTCTAAAACGGTGGGACGATCCCTTGGCCAAAAGGGAAATCCGGTCTCCTTCAGTTGTCGGAGCCTGCATCAAGTTGTCAACCAGTTCCTCAAGGTCAGGCTGACTGCTCTCTGATACCTCTCTTTCATCTGTCGGGGAACATGGCAAATACGTAATGCTATGAACACTGTTTCATCTCTGTGCTTTCACATGAGGCATCTCGAGTCACTGAAAGGGACTACAGCGACCGCTTACCCGAGTAACGGGTCAATCCACTACTTCATCTTTAGCCCCTTCCATTCTTTCACCACACCGTCCGAGCAAACCCTGATGACAACCTGGCTGAGTCTCGCCATGGGCAAAATGGATGAAGACATTCCGCCAGCGATCGTGATCATGCTGATCTGCTTTGAGGGAGCCTTGATGGTACTTGCGCTCGTTTGGAAGATCATACATTCGAGGTACATCCACTCTCTTTTTCCGGATTTCCTCTGCTAACTATATCTGTTGGATAGGACAAGACCATTACATCAGAGATTTTCACACTTTGGCTAGAGACAACAAATTGCACAGTCATCTTGTTAGACCGGGGCAAATGCAAGAACTGAGCGCAATATGAGGGCTGAGTGAGGGTTGAATGTGCCAGTTGCGTAAGTGAACCTACAACAGTGAAAATACTCGAAATGCTAACAGACCAAAAGCAGCGAAGAACTAAACACAAACGGTCCCAAGATGGTCATCATTGATAATCAATTGGATTTGATCATCAAATTCCTCAATTCCCGGGCATTCACTTATGTCTGAGCATTGCCTATATGCATCTACACCTTCCCAACAAGGAACACGATGGCAATCAATGCATCCGATGGCTATTTTCGGAGGGTACTGGCACCTTGACGTAGCCAGGCGATGTGATTGAAGTCGGCTCATGGAGTGAAGTGGACGGTATGAGCTTCTACCTGGACACTACTATTTCACTTTCACTTCAACCTCAATCCTCACTTCGGGGTTGTTCACTTCAATCATCTCTCTTCAACTTCACTTTACCTTACGTCTCCCATGGACCTCTATATTACGGTGTGCGCGATGGCGATGTCACTCACCAGAGTCACTGGATGAATGCATACAAACCGCGGGATAATGGGGTTCTCAGGTTGGTGTTCGAATCACAAGCGATATCGATTTGGCCAAAGGTCGGTGTCAGTGGAAAAACCCGCACCACCTTGGTGATGACACCGACCCTGGCAAGTCGCGGATCGAAGTGCTCATCAGTGCTGGCTAAGATCATGTATTAGTATGACGGGAGTTGTCTCTCACAAACTGAGAAATGGGAACTACGACATACCAGGGGCGTTGGCCCTTAAAAATATGTCAGCTCGTTTGTTTTCGACATTGAAGTCAACTACCAGCACAAGTTTCTACACCCTGGACAAAACTGCCCAGAAGCCAACATTCCCTGCATTGTCGCCGCTTGGCGCCCTGTGTTGGCAATCACAAGGTATCCAGCAGTACCGCATGCCTCAACTCCAGAGGCAGGCTCAAAATCACTCGTCGTGAACCGTTATGGGAATGGGAACAGAGAAAGAGACAGATCTCATCTCGATCTAAGTCCAACAGGCGGAATCGTCAGACCACTCGATCCTCGGCAAATCGACGGAGACTCTCAGCTCTCACTCCATTGAGCAATCCTTCTGATGATAACTGGCCTTCGCTCGTTATTGAAACTGGTTTTTCCGAATCAGAAGCACAGCAACGAGCGGACGCATATTCCCTGGAGAAAGATTTAGACCACACGACCTCGTCTACTTTGACCCGGATACCCTGGCAATTTCCGAGGTGCGCTTTTGCTGAGGGTACTCGCATGTATAGCAAGGCTTTCAAAGTTCGATCGTGAGTACATTCTCCATCTCCTCTGTGCTCACTACTTAACATGTGTGTATTATATAGCGACGACAGTTTTACGACTCGTCAATGAATGAAAATTCTACTTCAGAAACAGTGACTGAAACGAAGACCACTGCCAACAGAGGATTTTACACATTAGACCCGACCGTACAAACAACAGTCATTGTCGCCCCCATTGCTCTGATCTGTTTTTTGGTTTTGGTCGGCGTCCTACTATAACCGGGACATTGAAATCTAATTACGGTATCTTAGCCCACAATGAGCACCTAAGAGGTGCAAGTGGGATCCCCGCTCTGGGTGTGGACCTGAAAGCCGAAGACGCCAAGACTAAAGACAAGTCCGATGAGGACGCCGGCACGGGGGCCGGGGACGGGTCCGGGAATGTCGGGGAAGCTGAGCCTAAGGCCAGGGAGGAGTCCAAGGATGACAAGCAGGTTCAGACCAAGACCCAGGCATTAATGGCGAAAGTCTTCAAGGCAAAGGGCAAGTCTAAGGATGTCGAGGACGATGCGACTAAAGTTCAAGCAGAGGCCAAGGCCAAGAATGAGTCGAGGGTTGCCAAGGACGCTGAGACAGCTATGCCAGACCACAAGCTCCACATCATTGTCCAAGCACCAGGGCCCATTGGGGACTCAAACTCTTCCATCAAGGAAACCAGCAGTGGCCATTTGGCCATACATGCCCTTCCCCCCGGCTATACATTGCCTCCTTGCGAGGCACCAAAGCCACCCCCTCGCACATCGCCGTTGAACTTCGGCAGTCTTTTAGATTTGGCTAAAAAGGCCAAAACATACGAGCCTCCAACATACCGCCAGATATACCAGCCTATGGGAAAAATGGACTTGTTTCATGGTGTGACTGCAACTCTGTGGCGAAAATCGAGAACAGCTTTGTTTCGCATCATGCCGGGTGAACAACATGAGTGTCCCGATGCTGTCTATCAAGAAAGGAAGCCTTCAAAAGGCACATGGGTGTGTTTTAAAGTTTCATTTTTATTTGTCGGTGAAGAAATGCCGTGATACACTCTCCATCCTCGTTTCACTCAAGATGTCTTGTAGTAATGTCCCCAAACCCCAGTTTGTAGATGAGAAATGTATCCGTACTATTTGTACTATTCGTGGTCGGGGTGGTTCTGAAATCGCTGGTATTCACTATTTCGATGAAGTGTACGATTCTGGATTGAAGATGTGATCTCTTGGTCTATGTGCCTCTATAGATCATGAGGTTTGTAAATATGAAAATCGGTCCGTTTACTTTAGTGTCAGTTTACATTAGAGTTACTTTTAATAAATAGCCGTGTCAGGATCACTTTGATTGGTATTAATCTTACCATTAGCTCTCAATATACCTCTTTGGTGACTCTGTCCTCACCCTGTCATTCCCAATTACTCTGACTCCCTGTTCGACTACCTCTCCAACCATCCACAATCCTCTGTATTCTGGTAGTTTTTTTTACCCATGTACATCATACAGCCAATAAAACACATGACACGTTTGTTACCTCTTTTTGTTGCCCTCTGCATATCTCCGAAGAAGGGAGATGCTGTCATTTTTGTCACCCGAGCGACTATTGCAGTGATCTCTGGCTAACAGGTTCACTGCGCTCTTAGGCTTCTCTTGATCGGCGAGCGGTCCTTGAGCGGCGTCATAATTACATTCGTCGTCAAAAAAAAAGGCATAGGATCAGCAGCTGCGAAATCGAATTGCTTCTTCAGTATCCCTGAACATCTCACATCCTTGGTCACGTTTGAACACCTTGGCTAAAACAGCCAGATTACGAAAGAAACAACCAAAATGCAACAGGCACTTGTGCTACTCTATGCTTAGGCTACGTACCGTGGATACCTATACATTTGAAGCTTGTCCACGGGTCCACCTGGGCAGGTGCTGTCACAGTCAAGCTCCTTCCACCTCCGAATGCCACTTCCTTTCCACCAAATCCCCAAGCCGTCGCCAACCTGCTGAGGTGCATGGCCCGAAGGCCTATTCGTATCCAACTACGACGTGCGGGGAAAAATCGCCGCGTTCCGGCACGGACTCTGACTTAGAGGCGTTCAAATAGACCAACAACTCATCAACACTCTTACACTCTTCGCACTTGACATAGGCCATTATCAAGACTGTCAGACAGGACGAGAGTCCAGAGGATCGACAGTCCGGAAGAAACGGCCGCCAGCGGGACGTGAGAAACACCAAACCTGATCGCCTGGAAGGCCAAAGTAAGTGAAGCCAGAGTAACCAGACAACGCAACAAGCTAACGAGCCAACCTTGCAAAGACATTCAAACTTCCCAAGGCCATCTTGGGAAGTGGGCAATTGGATGACATCATCCAATATCCAATGCCAGGGGTTTTCAGCTTCTCTCATCACACAAACAATGGGAGGATATCCAAGAGGAACTACCGGGGATCAGGGACTTGACTACCAAGTCAGCGAGGAACTAACCACGATCCCAAAATACGAGATCCGCCAATTACGAACGGGCAAGTGCCCACTCGATGGCTTTCGCCTCCTGCTCGTCCAGCGCCAGAAGTTCTATTATGAGCTCCAAAAGAATGGTGGACAGTGATGGATTCTACCCCTCCGGGCAGATCTCAACAGGGAACGGAGACGAGAGTGACAGCACACCCGTATACCTTACTAGCCTGACGGATGAAATCCGCTGGGCGTGCTAGTGGGCCGCAACTATACTCACTTCCTGGCCACAACGAATACATTGCTCGTCAGTTTCGGCAAGAGAACAACATCGATCCAAAGACTTCTTATCAATCAGCAGTATCGAGCGTCACCCGTGAGAACCCGAGGGCCGTTGTGTCCGCCCCCTGACAACCCACACTTGAGCGATGAGCTAGTCTAAATTGGCCCCAAAAACTTACCAACAAGCAACTCTTTGGAAGGTGAAAGTACGACTTGGACTCAAATGGAGCCCCAAGCACACCCGGTTTGTTTTCCCTTTCCAGCCACTTCACTCACTCTAACCCCGCATCAGTTATGCCTTGTGCCTCCAACTTCCCAGAGCCAAGGTTTATCAACACCACTCCCACAGCTCGGATGCCCTCAACGGGCACCTCAAGCCGCCCCAGTGCGTTCGTTGAAACAACGCGGTGACAAAGATCCCGCGCCAATGAGCTCGGCAAACGCACAAGCGTGGAATATCTTGACTCGGGCATCGGTGTCTCCTTCTGGGAGGGTTTTACTCAAGCTGGATGGCGTTGGCTAAAGCAAAGTAAGGTAACAATGTCGCCGCAGCTAGCACTGCTTGGGCGATGGGACAACTCTCTAGCAAGAGCCTGAAGAGCTCTAGCGCCCCAGGTCTACTTATGTCAAGAGCTGTAAATGAATTACAAGTCGAATTCTTGTTCCAATTCATTTGAAGTAAGATCCATGGATACTTTTAAAACAGTAGGTTGTCAGCTAATTGCGCTAAGAGTTCCAATAATCTTTCATCTGCACCTTGTATCCCTTCGTGTTTCGGACTCTCTACCTGCTTCTGGTTGTACTTAAGTAGGAATTTGCCCACGTCACATAGTTGGTGGCCTGAAAGAAAAAAACAACAAAGTGGGGGCGATGTTGTATCGAGATCTGCGGTGTCCATTGCCCACTTTGCGAGTTGTGCTGAGCCGGTGAGGGTGTGCGAATTAGAGATCCCATTCGAGGATGCAGGTTAAAATACTACCACACTCCCCCGCAAATTTGGTCCAATCCCAATGTGCCCCTGCATGATCCTCCAAGGTTGCTTTCCTTCAGCCATATGCCCAGACCTCTTGGCTGCAGTTTGAGCCAGGATTGGGTGCAGAATAAGGCGCCCGAGGTACTGCAAGGCGCCCAGCTTCCCGGGATTGCTAAGATGATCTTCATTCTCTTCCTAATCGGGAAGTATAAGAGTAGATCACCTGCGGACCACATCGACGTACTCGATTTGGGTGTAGAATTTCAGGTATAAATACCTGGTCAAAGATTCCTTATGATCTCAATTTATTTCGCCATCAATCCTCACTAGCACACCATCCATCAACAACACTTTCTATACTATCACTTTTTGTATGTCTTATTTGTTTACTACATCCTTGGAATCTCAGAAGTACCTTGACTAACTCTCCCAGCCCATCAAAATGAAGTTCATCTTTGTCCTTGCCCCCCTCCTGGCTCTGGCTATGGCTGCCTGTGATGAGTTCCCATGCTGCCACCGTCCAGGAGACCTCTGCAGAATTGGCAGTGGAACCGACGGCGACGGTGTCTGCTGCCACGGTAAGACTTGCGTGAAGTCTAGCGGGGAGAACTGGGTATGTATTCTATCGTCCCGTGTTCCCTTCAGCATGGTTACTTATACTCTGGAAATCAGTACTGCCAATAAACGGCTTTGCGGAATGACGTGGCATTGTCATGAATCAACTTTGGACGGGGAATTTGCGGATTGCAAGGATCACAGTCGTTTCAATAGCACAATGAATATTGTTTCCTGGACAAGATCTTCGATTGCGCTCAATCAGCCCGAATGTTGTTTTCTGCTTTATCGTAATGAAGAATGCCAGATATAGGACACCATGGCATCTGGAAAGCTCAAATGTGAGACTGTTGCTTCTATGACGTCATAATATAGATCTGGTCGATTTCGTTAACCTCCAAAAGGGCATCGGCACTGATCGATAAACTATCCATGGATTTTTTTTAATTCGGGAATACTATGCCACGTAGATAATATGGTATGATTGGGTTCCAAAAATTGACGATATGTGCTCCAAGGTTATCCAACCATGACCCTATCACGCCCCGAGTTGGGATCGGCTTTATTCCCATAGAAACTTCACCGATGCTATACTTAAGTAATGATTTCCGTTACAACTTCCTGAACCTTTCATTCATCGCAAAACTTCACTCGGCCTTTTTCGAAATGTTCACAGAGCTTGGCATAACGCATATGTTCGACGGAACAAATAGATTTAAGCCGAACGATACGTGGGGACAACCCTACAAAGGTGAACGAGGAAAGGGGAGCCCATTACGTACCCTCAATTTTTATGAAGGTCCTCGGAAAGTCTATTTTGAGGCGGAGTTATTTGCAGATATTCTTATTGCTGAATACTGTCTGCGCGAGATTGTTCAGCGCGAACAGGCTTTGAAGAGCAAGATTATGATGACAAAAAAGTTAGGGACTTGTGAAGATCGCCACAAAGGAACGGAAGATCAGCGAGAGGCGATAAAGCCACTACGCCGATACAGCGAGGCTGAGTACAAACTCTATGTCGCGGAAGGGAAGCTTCCAGTTGGAGCTATACGCATTTCATACGATTCTCTTCGACAAAAACGAGCTTGGTACCTTCGCCAAGAGCTTGTCATTGACTGTGCGAGAAGGGGTGGGTGCTGCAGCCGAAATTGTGGGTGTTGTCAAACTCGCCACGAACTCGCTGGAAGATCTAAGGGTCTCGGGCACTGCACGCCCAGTTGCGGATGTTGTACGAATGAGCGAGGATTTGAGTATTCGGCGGCGGAAATAAAATCCTTTGTCGACGATTTCAGAGACCAATTGTACGACGACAACCCAGCGTATATTTCTCATATGGCAGAGGTCTTCTTTTTGCTGCCATCCGTGGACACGGAAGAGAAAGAACCTATTGATTGAGGACCTTTCAGGAACATAAAGAAGAAATGAGGGGGGAAGAATAACTTCAGTAGCAAGTGAGATGGAAATGCAACCGTCGGTTTCAATGATTCCGAGCGCTGGTGCTGTGTTGCTTACTGCCGGCTATGTTCGATCGCTTATAATTCCTACCCACAAGTCTAGCAGGATTTCATCTTTTGCTATAAACTGTTTAATTCCTTTCAAAATAATTTCTAGTGGTCTGCCTTCGAATAGTTGCTACCATGACCAAAATTAGACTTCTTCGCATTCTCAATCAGAGAACCACAGTCAACTTTCTCCTCCCAATCTCATGACTTCTGTTGGAATGTGATGTGTATTTCAAAATAACAAAGGAATTCTGCGTTGTGGAACGAACAATGGCTCAAATAAAGGGAAAACTAGCTGTGGGTTGGTGTTAAAATCTCTGGCACTGGCCTGTTTGCTCTTATCTGTAACTCTGTGTGCTATTTGAAAGCTCTAGTAGCTATATTTGATCTGACTGTTGGCAGACCTTCGATTCAACCAGCCATAATATAACCTCAATGCGATGCAGACCGAGGATACAAGGAGTAACAGGGCTGCGTTTGTCCAGTGTCCCGTTGGAAATCCACGCTTGGCTTGATCTGATTTGTAAATCCAAACTCCCACTATTTGGCCCGGCGCTCCAAAGGAGATATTCATGGCAATAGCTAGTCCGATCCCAGCAGTTGAGCGAAGGTTAGAGGACAGCCAGCCTAGGAGAGGGGGGATGCAAGAGAATGCGCCCGATGTGGCAACGATCAGACATCCATAACGGTGCTATTCGGCAAGTCAGCATTGATCTATCTCGTCTTCGATCTCAAGGATTCCATCTTACCGAATAAGCATCTGGGGGAAGGACGGCAGATACTATGAAGCCCAAAGCACCGATGAATGCAAACACTGCGGAGTGCAAGCCGCGGCTATTTCGAAAATCAGCAATTTGTCTTGTCGGTAATCAGCAGAGCACAAAGGAGAGGACATACGCATTGAAGTGATCCGCCGACCAGGAGACTGCAAGTGTCACCACATATGCAACAGCATATGGAGGTACTGTCATCAACTGGGCTTGTAAATTTTCGTAGCCAAGGCCGGCTGTGATAGTGGGCGTGAAAAGCGACAAGCTCGAAAAAGGCACCGAAATTCCGAAGTAGACCTGAGTGACTAAAGTCAGCACTTGAGTCGCATCGCTTGTCGCTGATCATGATTTTTGGCCTACCAGATAGTGCGCATAGAGTCGCCATTCCTTCAATACTTCCTTCGCTTCACTCCATGACATGGCCTTTGCTGCGCCCTGGCCTCCTTCCACGGATAGTCGCTGTCTCGCTAATGCCTTTTCCTCGGGGGTTAGGAATCGACATGTCTCTGGATAGTCTGGAAGGAAGAACCAAACAAGGACAGCAGATGCGCACGAAGGAGCACCTTCAATGATAAACAGCCACCGCCAAGCTGCCAGTCCATGTATACCATTCATATGACCGACTCCATAAGCAATGGCGCCTCCAAAAGCACCGGCCAATGTAGCGGACGCCAAAATGATAGCGACTCTCAAAGACCTTTCCGATACTCTGTACCAAAAGGTGAGATAGAAGACCAACCCAGGGAACAATCCCGCCTCAAGCACCCCAAGGAGAAAACGGACACCTGCCACTTGAGAGTAGTTCTGTGCACCACCAAGTCCCATTGTGACCGCTCCCCATGAGAACATGAGAAACGCAATCCAACGCTACATCCCCAAGTCAGCCTTTTGTCGATCGGTATGTCTTGGACAGAGATGGGCTCACGCTTGGCCTCAATTTCTTGAGCAGATAATTGGATGGAACTTCAAACAGGGCGTAGGCAATCAGAAATACCATCAATGCTATACTACAGTGTGTCAGAGATGCCAAAGTGCTCAGTTGTCAAATCGACTCACATATATTGGTGCTCTGTCATATTTGTTTCATCGAGCAGATCATTTCCTGTTCCAGAATTGAGTGTCTTTGCATTTCCTGGTGTCAAAATGTTCAGCAAGATCGCTTGATGCGTCGGAGATTAAATTGACCTCATACCAATGTTTGATCGATCAAGGTAGCAAAGAAGATATATTCCGGCACACAATGGCAAGATTCGGAGATCTTGTCTGCGAATGAGTTTTTTCTCCTGTTCCAGGTCGACCTCTACCTCTCCGATCGGAGGAATTGATTTCTGTAATTGTTGTCAGTATTCTATTCCCTCGATTTTCATCAAAGGGGGCTTCTTGCATTGTTTCCTATCTCGACATCCTCCACCATATCTCCCTCAGTGCTGTGCTTCAGCTCTGCCATATCTCGATTTTCAAGTGAAAAGTGAAGTAGAAGTGAATATCACAATCACACAAATCCGGGGTATCTAAATCCGGGGAAAACAGATTTGAAATATACAACTGCCGAGCCAATGGTGGAAATCGATTCTTCGCATCGGCCTCCGCGTCCGGCTAAACGGCTCTCCACAAAAATGCGGGGAGACAGCGGCATCGGCGTCTCCGTCGGAGGTTTTCGGCCGTCCTCCGAGATATCCACACCCCCTCTCGCAAGAGACAGTGAAGATGCAGGCTTGTGATCGCTGTCGGAGGCGGAAGTCAGGATGCGACAAGGAACAACCGTCGTGTGGGCTATGTGTCAAAGCAAGCGTCACATGCGTATACAGTGACAGATCGAAGGAGCCTCCGATTCGGCGAGATGTGATTGAGAAACTTGAAAGGCGATTGCGACAAACAGAGGCGACAAACCGGGCACTTGCAGCGCGGTTGGCGGCTTCCAAATCACAGGCCGTTGCAAATGCTTCCACAACACAGAATTCGCAGGTGCAAGAACACCAAAATGAGGTCTCGGATGAAGTTTCTTTTCTGTCTCTCAATGCTGGAGGAGAGCGTCAATTTCTCGGTTCTACGAGCGGAGTCCTGTTCGCAGATTTGATCAGATCCGCCATTCGAGCTGATGCTCCGAGTACACCGGGGGCTTCTGAAGTAGGGCCTACTCCGGTGTCTGAACTGGCCACCAAAGGATCACGAAATGGACCGCCCGGATCGTCTCGAGAGGCACCGCCTCTAGTGCAGGAGAATGTAGCTCGCGAACTCCACGATGCATATTTCCATCATGATCATTTGTGCTATCCCATCCTCTCCCAGGATCGAGCGATGGCAAGTCTGAGCGATATATATGCGGACCCAACAGCATTGGAAAACAAGCCCTTCGAGACATTCTGCTTCTATATGGTTATGGCGATCTCCACATCAAATCTTCAGAAACTCCATTGGCAATCATTGCCAGAAGCAGAACTTTACCATACATATGCCACCTCCCGGTTGAGCGACATATTTGCATTGGGCGGACTCCAAGCGCTACAGGCTATACTACTCCTTTGCCAATATCAGTTGACAAGCTCGACACAAAGGACGTCCACCAGTCTGTGGCACATGGTCGGCATGGCTGCACGCATGTGTTTCGAAATGGGTCTCCACCGAGAGGAGGCCTATGACTATCAATTGGATTCCACGTCAACACCCCATCGGCGGTGGCTGTGGTGTGTATTGGCAATGGATCGGTATGCCATTCCAGTGGCCAACGAAAGACCCTTGCTGACTGTCATTTCCGCCTCCAGTGTCGTGAGCATCACTCTAGGTCGCCCATTCGCTATTCAGCTCGAAGACGTGAGCCTAAAACTTCCCACTGACGCCCTGGAGAACGGGGATTCGCTTGACACAGAAAAGCATCGAGACGCAGTATTCGCTCACATAACCCAATATCGCATTCTCTGTGGAAAAATAATGTCATCTCTCCATCGAGGGCGCCACACAAATAATGAAGTATCCGCTTTGGCCGCGCAAGCCAGTCTCGCAGATGATCTGGAGGAGTGGCGTTCCAAAACGGACACAATATTTGCCGGCGAAGGGTCATCGAACACAGGAAAGTTCTCCAGCTTTCTGACCGTCGACTGGTATGAAATGATCTATCATAATGCTTTGCTCATGCTTTACCGACCTTCGCCAGCCCTGCCGCTGAGCTCATCGAGAGCAACCGTGGCAGTTCCGATAATATACACCTCTGCAAAGCAGGCTATCGGCTACTATGCACATCTCCACGAACTACAACGCATCAACTACACCTGGATCACCCTGCGCAGTGTATTCATGGCCGGTCTTTCATTCGTTTATGCAGTTGGGCAGCACTTTCGGACCAAGAAAAGTCCCCTCACCCAGTTATCTCACATACTAGAATCAGATCCATCGATCATGGAAATTGTGAACATTTGCCGCTCATGTTCCAATGTCTTGGTGGCAGTATCGGAACGCGGTAACATACCTCGGCATTGCCATCGCGTCTTTGATCGACTGAGTGATGCTGTGCTGAAGGATGCTGTGGACTATCATACATCTCCGGTGGTGAATCACCCGCCACCAGGATCAGCATCTGTCCCTCTTTTCAACAATAACCCCACTCATGGCTCTGCCACAGATTATCCCATAGAGATGTTACCCTCCGGAGGATGGAATTTCAATTATGCGTTGCCATCTTCTATACTCGCGGTTGATGACGTCTTTCGAGACTGTTTTGATGATCTACAGCACTTCCATGAGTCCGCGTTTGGTGAAGACCCCATTGGGCAACTCTCACAGGACTGGTTAGGACAAATCGGTGGGGTGCAGCTATCAGATAGTTCAACATAATCAATACAGTATATTCCAATAATGCAAATTTGAAGTCTTCGTACAAGGTTGTTCTCTTTCTCATTCTGACTATTCCCATTCACCTAGCCTTGAAATGCATTTTTATGCCTCTTATCATTAAAACTAATTGACCACCAAAATCTCTAGATACACCCTCGATCCAAAAATCGCACTGGAACAGAAACCAGCTTGCTTCGGAGGTACTCCCCAATCCCCTTGCCCAGTCCATCAATTCTGCTAGAGCTAGCAATACCCCCATCCAGAAAGTCCAAAACTCGGAAGTGAACAGCAAATACATTCGGAAACTCGCACCTCTCCACCCTGCGCTCAGCGTGGTTTTCACCTTTTGTCCAATCATCCCCGAACAAAATCTTAATTCGGTCAATTGTTAAGAATGACTGTAACCAGGGATACTCATCTGCATTCCGCACGAAAAATCCAATATTCGAGTTATCGGCTTTGTCGCCTGATCGAGCGTGTACTATACTTCCCAAGGGAGCAAGTTGTGTGGGTCCGAATTTAGTCAAGTCAAGAGGATTTGTGGTTTCGTATGAGTTCCTGATGATTGGATACTTGGCTGTGACGGCAGGCGGGTCGATTTTGATTATTTGGCGTGTTCCAAACCCCAGAATGTGAGTTTCGTGCTGTAGAGAGGCCATTGACACGACGACGGGGAAGATCTCCATGAATGGCTTTGGGTCCATAGTTCGGAAATCAAGATTCATGTGATACCCCGGATAGCTTTGCATTCGAAGGGCGTAAATTGGGATTTTGAATTTGTCGGCAGATATATCCTCCATTTTCTTGGCTTGTACAAAGACGCGAAGAAAGACCGTACCGGCCTGTTGACTGGTTGGATTAGATGCAGGAGACCCGTACATTTCGATGGAAAATTTGCTAAAGTTGTGGGCTTTGAAAATGTGGAGGAGCTGGTTGCGCATCATCTCGACTTTTTCAGACACATCGAGCCCGTTGATGTAAAACGTTGCCTCGGCCTGGTATCCGCCTTTGGCAGCGATCATTGCTTTCGTGGTTGGTGGCGGAGGTGACCCAGTGATTCCGTGTACTTTGACTCGATTTGAGGAGATCTCTTCAATACAGATGTCATGGAGATTGGCAACGACGTCTGGGTTGAGGTATTGTTCGCCTTGGAGCTCGTACAAGAACTGTGAAGTGGTGTTGTACTTCGTTACGGCTCCGGCATGTGCCTCTGGCTTGGTTATAATGCAAGTTCCATATTTCGCAATCTCTGCAATAGGGAAAGCGAGATCAACCAGTTGAGACAGAATATCTTTGAAGCCGGAAAAGTTGGCTCCTGTCACATAGGGTCCGCACTCGATCAGATCTATGCCGAGGTCAGCAAATAACTTTCTTTTGCGACGATATTAACTAACGACCAGCAACCAGACCACCGGCAAGTTGATCCCAGTCATCCTTCGCCCAGCCGTGCCACCACGCGGCCGCGCCGATCACCGGAGAAGCGTCGGTAACGCGTCCACAGATGACAATATCAGCACCAGCTCTGATCGCTTCCACAATTCCCCAAGCGCCAATATACGCAACTCCAGAATATGGCTCCAACTCCCATTCATTGAGTGCCCACTCCGGATGATCGAGATGGAGCAGATTTTTGCGCTTCGTGGAATCGGTCACTGTCTGCGATATATCATCACCGAGAACCATCGCTACAACCATGTCTTCGTGACCTCTCTCGTAGCACATTTGCTGAACCTTGGCTGCCAAACCCTCTGTATTCAAAGCCCCTGCATTGGTAATGACTCTGATTCCCTTCTGGGCGATGACATCGATCGACTGGGTCAGTTGTGTCAAAAACCCCGGTTCGTACCCTAGCGCTGGATCTTGGTCTTTGGCTATGGCATTCCAAGCAATATTCATCTCTGAAAGCCAATCACCAACAATTACGTCCACGTCGCCGTCTTCTGCCATCCGACGCATGGCGTGTGGGCTGTCACCCGTTGCACCGGAAACATTGCCAATTCGGACATCACGTTTGGACATTTTGGCTTTCTTTTCCCTTGTGGCGGAAGATGGTAACCAAGCGGAGCAAACAAAGCTACCAGGCTTTCTTTAAACATCATGGACTTTCATGGCGCAGAAGTAGTATGAACACATTAGGGTTAGCGTTGAAAATCGGGGTCCACTCCGATGACTTCGGAGGTCTTGGCCCGACAGATCGGCTCCTTCTCCTCGCTAATTTCCCTTTAGGTGTCTGGATAAGCAATTCGGTTGATTCTCGGCTATTCTCATTCGAAGCTATCTCGGAAAAACAAATTGACTGAGATTTGGCAGGTTGGATGCCTAAGGCGTTACTGCCTCGGATTCCCAATTCTACCACTTCCTACCCTTCTCTCTCTTCTTCCCTCCTCAGCTTAGATCTCTTTTGCCAATTGGACCGTGCTCTTGCGTTCAACCAGCCTGTCATTTAACCCAAGCGTAATTATCATTGTAGGAAGCCGAATCATCGGTGTCCCAACCACATACCGTGTTTCTTTGGCTGTGGGCAAAACTTCCACGTAGTCTTTGCCCGATCAGGAGGATCTGAGGCCAGAACCTGAGCCAGAGAAACTATCTTTCCCGGATCTATAGTGCCAATTTATTTCTACAGGTGTCGTTCGTCGGCCTTCGGTACTTATGAGCTCTTGTGAAGTATATCTTGGGTCTTCATTGTGCTAGAGTTTTCTCTTGTAGAAACAATGTAAAGTTCGACGTGGCCGTCTCTGCTGTTAATTTTTCCAAGGTTCACATGGGGGCTTCGAAAGCCCTTTCATAATCCTGGCCAGATCCAAGATTTTGGCGACACCCAATGGCGCCTGTTGTGGAAGAATGCGAGGTATCTCGCGGGGAACCAAAGTGCAGCTTTGTGGTCCCCTCAAGAAACCAGCAACCTGCAAGTGCGGACCGGGCTATTTAATGGCCGGGGACTTCCATGGAAGCATATGCATATGGGATTATGTGGGCCCCCTCGGTACGTGTGAATGGGATATCCACTGGCTCTCTTGGCGATATCCACTGTGGTTGATCCATGGCACCCGTGATGACACAGCGATTGTTGGCAGACTTGACGGGTTTTTCGGCGCGTGGCTCTCCTCAGCCTTTGTCTATGCTTCCTTGGCTGCGGGGGTATTCTGGCTGGCGATGCTGCTGGCGAAAGCTCTCAATTCCAGGAGATTCGAAGTTAGAATCTGCACTTCGCTTGAGAATGCTGGTGTCAATTCAGGCCCTCATTTTCTGTTCATTGGCCCCACGCGAGGGCTTATCGACCGCATTGAAGAGTTTCCCAGCCATGCTTGAGGATCCCCTGGCCTTGAGTTCCCCATTGTTGGTCTCATCCCCAGCTGATCTCTCCAGGGGCTTTGCGCTTGGCACAAAAGGATTGGAGTAACGAGTTCCACTAGCCCTGATCTGTGTTAGTATTTTGAAAGTGTGCAGGGGTATTGAGACATACATTGCTCAGAATTGCCGATTACTGTCTGATCATCAGTCAAAGACCACGGCTCTGTCAATTTGAAGATCGTCCTCCCCGATACAGAAATTGACATTCCTGGCCTTGGGACGTTATTGCTCGGTCTGAGTCACGGCGTCTTTGACTTTGGTGTCCTCAACTTCGCTGGAAATCCTCCCTGCACTTGTGTAGTGCCATATTGGGATTCGCAGACACATGCATCAGGACCTCATCAGAGTACCCAGAAACAACACAACGCGAAGCATCCCGTCTGAAACAGGCATCGACAAACCAATCTGAACGACTAACGGGTGTACTTGCTCGGTCGCTGATAGTCTGTGCAGGATTTCGAATGACTCCTGAACCTCAACATGTTCCTTGAAAAATGATCTTATCACAGTGGCATCGGTTCTGATATGACGTCCTCTTGGAGATGGGAAATTGGGGAAGAAACGGGATATGATTTAGCACCTAGTGCCTTTACTAAATTGAGATAAAGATTAGTCAAGTCTGTATTCGAAATTTAGTTGAATCAACCTTGCAAACTTACTTGGTAGAAGGGGCGCAGTACGTATGTGCTCGTACACTCCGTACAAACCTTCATCTGTCGTCGACTGGTCTGAAAGGATATCCTGGGCGATTTTTTCCCGCCCAGCTTGGGGGAGCCATACGAGCAATGTAAGGAGCGTCCGCACAAGAAGGCGATCGGTATGATCATGGGATAGAACGTATTAATCTCGGCGTGCCTTTGCCTGGGAGTTGAGGGTGTCCCGATCTGGTTCATTTGCAGGGTTAACACTGACAAGTGCGCTAGTATCGGAAAGTGATTGAGCGAACGTGGGGGGCGACCTCAGGAATCAGACCGCCAGGTGTAGATGAATGCGTGGCTGCCTTCCCTCTCTGTTTCTTCATCTTTGCTAGAGTCTCTCCTCGGGTCTCCCTTCGTCTATCTTCATATCTCTTCCCAGTCTCAGCCCAAGAGGGGCAACGCGAGCGACTCCGTTTCATTGCGGCGGGGGCTTTCGGCAGGATTCGAATTGTCTTTTTCTCCAAAGGGAGGGCTGCGCCATGCTGGCGTTACCGGATGCCGGTAGGCCTTGGATCTCGTCACTCGCGCCCGAGGAGAGCAAATGGGTCTAGGACATAGATGTACCCATTAGAGAGGTCTTGAAATGCGGAAGGCGGGTTTCTGAAATTTGTGTCACTGTCTCTGTAGTCACATTGTCCCCATGCGAAATCTTGGAGACGCGGGTGGTCGTTTTCGTTTCATTCGTTTTGGTCGTCATTTTGCAGGAAAAAGAAGATTAAAAAAAAATTGATTTGTATTACTGCAGCTACCTACCTCCATATAGAGTATTTATAGACCAATATTAATTACTAAATAAAGTTTGGATGAATACTATTTTTCATTTTCTGATCTTCGTGTACTTGATAGCTACAAATAATTTTAGAATGGACCAACATTACAGTAGCACATTTTTATATACAAATCTACAATGTATATTACATGTCAATCTCTGTGTGCTGAAAGATCAAGAAAACAATTTTGAAATCACACAGATCAGAACATTCAAAATTTGGCGCATCATTGTCTAAACCGTGGTTCTGTGTCTTTCTGTTGTAGCAACCTTCGATTCAGGAAGGTGCGAGAACGATAGAAGATCCCCTGCGACTGGTGCTTGGATAATACATCAGGGATGGTGAGGGCTAATTCCAGCTTATTAGTCGAAGAATAGCATTCTCGAAATGCAGTTCTGATGACCAACGAGCCCAGCACCCGCGCAATCCCCCCAAACTACATGTCATCGTGCAATCTCCAGAGGAAGCCCATCCTTGACTCACTTCACGGACCAGCCAGGCGAGAATACATACGCCTTTCGAAATCCATTCTTCCCGCTGGGTACTCATTGCCTCATTGTGAGGCACCACACCGCGTTCCCAGAGCGTCGCCATTGGGCCTCGCCACTCTTTAGGAATTGACCAAGAAGGCCAAGGACACAGAAGGGGCTGGAGTGGTCGTTGAAATCATGTAGGTGGCTGCTACATGCTCGCCGGCTCCTATCAGAACCGGGGGCCTGACGTGTCGGCACTTCGAACAACAAAACACCCGTCGCTGATTACCACTTCGCTGAAGTGTCGCCTCTTCCGCTATGATGACAGACAAAAGCACGCTGTGGGTCCAAAATGGATCAGACATCAGTTGGTCTGAGGAATTCAACAGCTTGGTCGTATGTTTGCGAGATGACAAACAACCCCGCCAGCTCGCGTTCATGTGGCAAATAAAGGTTTTACTTTACTAGAGAAGAGAGAGCTGATATGACAAGTTTTGTACACTTGTCATGTGAATTTTCATACCGGAGGCCGGCTACACGGACAGGAATGAATATGATGAGCTTGAGAATGACCAAAAGAATAGATGTAGATTTAATTCCATTCCCGAATTCTTGGATTGGTATAGCACTTTGCTGGGCTATGTCGATATGGATGGAGTGCAAGATATCCTGTGGAATACTAGTGATGGTCACGATTACCCCGGGCTGTTAAATGAGGAATAATTAAGCCCGAGGCCTTTCCGCTATCGATTGCGGTGTCCAGGAACCTCAGATCAGTAATCTGTATTTCCCACGTCAGATTGGCCCCTTTATTTGGGGTCCGAGGCTTATCGCCACCAGGGATGCTGTGCTGTCTTCAGGTACACTATTATGTCCTCTTGCTGAGTGCGCCCTGTCAGATCTCCGACATTCCACGTCAAGTCGAGCCAGAAAAGACCACGGATGTTTTCCCAGCTTTACGCTAGCGGGTTACAAATTCATTTGACGTTTGATCGCAAATTTGATCAATAGTCAGGAAGTTGTCACACCGTCCTCGTGTTGGCCTGAACTAGTGTGTGGGGCTGATGCACTCATCAAGACCCTTTCAGTTGATGTGTCTCCTCCGAATGGGGAATAAACCCCTCATCTTTGCGAGTGAAACAGAGAAAGTCTGAATAGGCTGAAATCAATCTTACTTTTGCCTGGTCCATCTTTTTTCCTTTTTTTTGGATGTAGATAGAAAGTCGCCTTACAGCAGCAAACATCACCTGAGAAGCAATTTCAAAACCGACCGCACTGGCAACCCCTGATTAGCTTCATATCTTGGCGCCTATGCATGCACCCGTTTTGGCGTTGACATCCATCGTCGTTCTCAAAATTCAGACCCAAGACTTCGTATGTTCTAGCCACTCCAGAAAAAAAGACGCCATCGAGTCTTCAATTGGAAAACCACTATAACCAAAAGATTCCGCCAAGGCAGTGATGATTATTGCGGCAATTATGTCAAACACCGGCTTCCGAGTCGTTTTATCTGCTGCGAAGATCCATTTAAGTACAGAATTTGGTTTGTGTACGGGAGTAGAAACTTACACGTATTGGGAGTACCACAGTACTGAGCGAAAGACAAAGTGGGGCTGTGGATCGTTGCCGAGGGTGTAGCGGACACTAGTAACTTACGAAGATCATACCACTGATACGCCGGGGAATCTAGTTGAAATGTCTGGGTTCCGCCAACGCATACAGTACTGTACACCTCCTTTCCGAGGATCGAGGTGGATCAAGTGAGGTCCAAGTGAACAAAGAAACTCACTGTTCCAACGCATACAGGCACAAATCCAGCTACCCCCCCCACATAACCCTGTCATTACAATACTGGTGCCTGGCCCCTGATATCCCGGGGTTTGGATCGTGGGGTTCTTCTATATACAGCTCGAAATCTCGGACTCTCAGCAACGTACCCGCCAACCTTCAAATATCAACTACGAGTCATATTCCAACATGCAAAACTTGCGTGATTCTCTACTCAGCTCTACGCCGAACGGCGCAGATGACCTCAGGATGCCCGATGAGATCGCCCACAATCAAGGAAAACGTCCGAAAATGCATCGCTCGAGGCGAATTCGAAGAGATCCGCGGAGCCGCCTTCTTCAATCGAGCTTGGATTATCACCGAGCGGTTCTGCAAGGACGGAGACGGGGTTGATTCCGTTGTAGGCTACGTCCATGACATCTGGTACTCATACTACCAGCTGAGCCGACACACATCTCATGAAAAGGCCGACCACAATAGCCTGGTTCTGGACATTCTCCGTATCCAGGGTCAAGGACCCTTGACCAGACCCGTGAAAGGGAACTACGGAATTGATATCGCGCGCACTGTTGAAGGCACCCTGTGGAACGACCTGCCGTTCCTGGTGACTGATATGACCGAGTTATGGCTTAGCGATGCTGTATCGATGTCGGGTACACACCGCATCAACTTTGCTTACTTCCTGGCTAAGTTGGCATCAACTCGTGTGAACAAGGATAGACTCTGCCAGCTTGCCCTTATCTTGTTCCGTTACACATTCGAGAATAATCAAGAAGTTTACCCCTTCGATGAACCGGATAATGAGAACCGCGACAGAAGTCTGCGCGACCTCCAAGTCCAGCATCTTATGCCATCTGTCTTCGCGTGGATCAAAGAAGCAGGAAAAAATCTACTTCTTCTGTCCGAGGTCTCGTGGAACGATTGCCCCAGCACGATTGGCCAAGGCGGGCCGTTGTTCACTGAGTCTGAGTTTGGCAAGCAAGCCTCAAATGGCTTCAGTCCGTGGAGATGGATTTTCTGGTTGAAGCGACTCCACGAGTTCAAAGATCAGGCGAAGAATGTCGGCGAGAAATGCATGGAGGAGCTTTGCGAGGAGACCATTCGTAACATGCTGTCGGAGACGAAGACTCGAAACTCGGAAATCCTGCGGGCTTATGTTTCTGGTGGAGAAAGGTTGCAGCAAGAAAAGGACATGATATGTCTTCAGAAGATTGTGGATGGAGAGGATTCTGACGAGGGCGAATTTTTTGAGGATGATGACGAGAACGACAATGATAGCTGATCGAGTTACTGGGTTCATTTTGAGTACGGCAGTAGACAACGGCCCAGCCTCCTTTACGGATTGTACTTTTTACAGGGTAGAGTATTTATTGAATCTAACTTCTTTTGACTATAATCTAGAAAGAATGTGGGTAGATGGCGAGTAAAGTGACAAAAGTCTAATACAGTAAAAATTATAGATGAAGGGCTGTGATTCTGAGTATTGAAATACTAGATACAAAACAAATGTGTTTGCCCCAAAGCTATGGGCGCGTTTCCTCCAATCGAATGCAAAGTCGGCACGAAATGTCCTTTCCATTGACAAATCGTCACATTGTAGAGACAAATCAGCTGCACTTCGTAATACCAGAGTAGGTATCCACTTTGCAGGAGTTACCGTCCTTAAAGCACTGTGAAATGGGAGTCAGATTTGGGCGGATGTAACACGTGAATTTGTGGAGGCTTTCAAACACTTACTCTATCGTTGGCGAATTTGGAGTTGCACTTTCTGATAACAGTCTTGCCTCGATCATCCTTGTATTTGCAGGTGTTGTTCGATTTTGTACATTTCTGATTAACTGGCTTAGCGGATCTTTTAAATGCTGATTTTACCCTTGCGGATCGTGATGACTCGGTCACTTACTCCTCAAAAATCGCGTAGGGCTGCGGCCTGGTCTCTAGCCTCCAGGTCATTCGATTGCAACTCGATCGGAGAAGACACCACGCCCATTGCGGCGAGGAGGAAAACGGCGAGGCTTGTAATTTGCATGATGCGAGGATTGGACTGGATCTCGGAAGGAGGTCTGATCGAATAGAATTGAGTAAGATCTTTGGAATTTGTTTCTAATGTTGCCGGTGGGCTGTCTGTTTTTGGTGGATGCAGCGCAGACTTATATAGAGCGAACCCTCCAGCAGAACTGTGAGCAAGAAACAAAATCGAAATTTCAACACATCCATATTATTAAAGGCACCCTAGGGCTGCATTCTTTTGATCCCCACATCCAATCAAATTAATGCCGCATCAGCTGTGGTAAGATTCAGCCTCAGGGTCGACACATTTCATGGGGGTTTGATCCTTCAGGATGACATCTGCACACCCTGCAGGTGTGATGGGCGAACTAGTGTGTGAAAGTATTGCTTTGGTATTGTCTGAAGTTGACCGTCCCAAAAAGCCTCCAGGGCTCAAATGCATGGCAATCACAAGAATCTTGGAATCAATCCATGGATGTCAGAACTAGATATTATAGAACCAGGGGTCTTGTTTTCCAATATTCACGACATAGGCAGCACTCCAACATGCTTTGATAAGTAATTCTCTTATGCACCACCCCTGTCTGGGGTGTTATGTTAAACTTTCCTCTTTAACACAAAATGTAGTTCTCGGATTGAGGTTTGAGGTTGATTTAGCCATGAGCTTCAATAAAACCCAGATATATTACTTCGCAGGACGCATATGCCCAGCTTCTAGGGCTGATACTTAAGTAATACTACTTAAGATTTCCAATAAACCTCGCATGATGAGAACGCACCTAAGTCCATGAGTGCATTTTCATGCACAGCGTTTCACGTACATTTTCCTAAATAATCAAGTGGTTGACTATCTCCACTCGGTGGATATATTTAAGTCGCCCCTTCGGGCATGATCTGCAACCTTGGCTCCAAGGGTGGCTGTTGATCACAAGATGCTGGCCCAGAAACATCTGTTATTTGCCTTTAGGGGCAAGAGCTGTAGAGGAAATGCATTGATGTGATCATTACATACTTGTGACTTGGTTGGGTACGCGCATTGTTGGATACAAAGGTTCGGACGTTAACACAACCAGACGAGCACATTACCAGAGCTCACAGATGAAGAAGACCCGGACAAAAGCACTCGATTCTTGAGTTTAGGAGGTACTTAAGTAGAGCCCTGGAGAATTGAAGAATACAACGAAAAAGACACGAGGTGTCTACAGGACTGTGGTCAGCTCAGTAGCATTGAAAATACAAGATATCAGATAATTGGCTAAATACACGTTGAAATTTGGGTGCCCATGAGAAGAAGTATTAGATTGAGATAAGTGGTACTTTATCAAAGTATGGACTATGCACACCTGGGTTTATCGAGACAGATCTGAGGCGTAATGGGCGACTCAGCCTTGGTGAAACAGCATCTATAGATTTGACTTGACGGAGCACTTGAGCAGTGGGCGCTTCGCCACAAGATATTCAAAATTGGAAATATAGACTCTCTCATGCTATCGGAACAGCATAATTTCCACAATGAGGCCCTATAAAAGAAAAAAGTGCTCGTGGCCCAAAGTGAATTTGCACTAGCATTGTGTCATGGGCCCCTCACGAAACTTTAGACGTTCCTCGGGCTGGAGAGATAGTCTCTTCAGCGAGTGTGCCGACCTAATGTTCGAGTAGCAATGTGGCTATCTGTTGAGTCTGGGGTTTAACCTCGATTCTTGTGTTCTCAGACATAGAAGGCATTCGAAGTTTATAGGATGTTGAGCATATATGACTGCGAAGAAAGATAAGCAGAGATGCAGTTGACGAGTCAAGAAAGGAGGGAAGAAGCAGGGTTCAATCGAATCGGGGGCCAACGCTACCCCACCCGTCAACAAATCTCTTCTCATGGTCAAGCGCGATGTATGGATGCCTAATTCCTCGCTTAGGCCAAGATCAGGCACCCTCGGCCTCATCAATCCTATCAATTGCCTCCCCACCTTTTGGCCATCTCATCGCCTTGCCTTCAGGACGGCTTGTTCTTTGCTTTGTATCTTCCTCTTGCAATGTCTATCGGCTCACACCGTGTGAATTCCAATAAATCCCACTATCCAACAGCTACTGGAAGTTGTTATATATGCGATGACATTGAAAATTTTTTGAAATTCCAGAAACCCAGTTCAGGTTTGATGATTGCTTGTCAGCATATGGAGTGAACAGAAAGTGTAACGAGCAAGACTAGCCCCATTCGGGAAACGGGAGTCAGTTCTTGTTGCAGGCGAATTCAGGCAGAGATCGCTTACTGCCGCGAGGTTCATGAAGATGCGGTCTGATGATGGGATTATCGCGGGGTATTTACCATGCGTGCATGATCAACTAAAACGATCAAACACTCCACCGAAGGGGAGAACTCCGCTCTCGTGTATATATAGAAGATGCTCCTGCGGGGGATCTAGTTCTTCATACTATTCCTACTCGTTGATTAGGACCAATTTTATTATTGATTTGCCTGTGTATCTCATTAGGAATAGTATCACTTCACACTTATCGCTGGGAAGCAAGATCTTCTATGCAAATCTCTGTTAAGAAGTTGCACCCAGCACTATCCAAAATAACCCTTACTAATGTTACAGCCGCTACTATGCAGTCCGTAGAAGAGGGTTGTTGCTCTAACCTCCGAATCCGTTCTTAAGTATGAAAGAAGAATCCCAACAAACTGAAATAGATTAAGAAGATCTTTGATGATAGTTAGATCGATGAAATGACGAACATAAATAATGAACAGCTTCTGAATCATGTTCTTGATTAGTTAAAGCTTAATAAAGAAAGTTATAAAGAAGAATATATCGAGAAATTTGATTGTTAGAATAAGTAGTTTGCAAAGTTTAAAAATGTAGTGAAGAAGTTTTAGAAAGACTATAATATTCTTAAAATAAACTATAATACCAAAGACAATAAGATTAATAAAATTTTAAATAATATTTAAGATTTTCAAAATGAAGCTATCGATAAAAGAATAAAGTGAATAAATTTATAGAATGATAATAACTAGCTTCAAGAGCAACTATATCTTGCCGAAGAAGAAATATAAATTATTCAGAAGAACCTAAATGAGATAATCTAAACATAAAAAAAGGTAGTTATATAAATGTATTAGATTAAAGAAGTTTTGTAGATAATTATTGAAGAACGATAAGTTTTCTTTTCAAAGGTATTCAATTTTAAAAAACTCGATAACAATATAATTATTTGCTATAAGATTTGGAAGAGTAGTGTATAGAAGAGACTTAGAGCGAATGCGGATTATTATATTATATTAGTAAATTAGATTAACTATATTGTTTAACGATACTCTGGAAAGATATAGGAATATTTAGTCTAATAACTAAGATCTAAAGTAATTAATATTTATACTAATATGGAAGATATACTTACTTATTTAAAAGGTTTATATTTGAATCTATATCAACGAAATGAAGTTAAAATAAAATTTATTCTTTTAATACTAAAATTAAGAGACTTATATTTGGAATTTATTGTTTAATTCTATTGATTAGTCTAGAAAGTTAAGATTCTTTAAAGTATTTGAAAGAAAGAGTTTGCAAATCAACTTCTATTAATAATCTAAAGTCTGATTAATATTAATATTAATAATAATATAATCGATTTTAAAGAATTCTTATAGAAATACTAATAGAATATAAACTAAATTATTAATAAATTAGTAATCTAAAAGAAATTGCGATTTTAGACTTCGCTAATAATATTCAAAACCCCTTCTACTATTCTAAGAATACAAACTCTAAGAATAAATACTAATATTTTTATATAGGATTAATTGATAAATATTGAGAGAGCTGTATTACTGAAAGAAGGGAAATGTTTTTATTATAAAGAAAGCGGTTATATTATAGCTATGTATTTTAAAAGGTAGAAGGACAAGTTAGCTGTGGCTGCTATAGAGGTTGGGTTTAACAAGAATATTATTCCAACTTCAAACTCTTAAATAATTAATTTGAAAGGATTAGATAATAGTTAAAGAAAAGAATATATTTGAGTCTAGTCTTCTATTTAGATGAGATTAGAAAGTCTATTAGTGTAGATATAACAAAGTTGTTATTGGTGGATAATTTATTAATACTAGTTCAAGTATTATTTAATTTATTATCATTTCACCTTGATGCGCTAGTAGACACTGGAATAGATATCTACATCATAATCAATAAAAGAGCTATAGATTGATTAGACCAACATAGCCTGAGAACCACCTGATTAAAGAACCATCAACCTTTGAAAGCATTTGATAGAGCA